AAAACTAAGATGACATTATTTAGTTGACGTTATGAGTTTTAAAGTTATTACTGTTTTCTTACAGACTTAGATTACTGTGATCCAAACCCATGTCAACATGGCGGCACATGTCAGCAGAGACACGCCTCTCACGAATGCATCTGCAGAGAAGAATTCAAAGGAAAACTGTGCGAAAGTAAGGCGAGTTTACAGATCCCGTCTTATGACTGCCCAGTCATTTGAATCATTCAACACCAGTTTATTTATACTGACTGGGAGATTATCTTAGTTCAGTTTTGTTTATACATTGTTTTGAAATATTTTTGGCCCAATTGAAATACGTTGTGTGCGTTTTTTTCCTATTCAATCGGTTTGCCAATTTTTACATTTACACAGAGAAACGAGTGTGTCTTGCTAATCCGTGCAAAAACGGCGGCGAATGCGTTGAGGATAACTCCAATTATCCTTGCATATGTCCGATGGGATATAGTCCGCCATATTGCAGAGGTGAGCACGTTTTCTAACGACCTGATATACAAAGTTATACCCCTTCACTTCTCTGCTTTCAAAATTTCCAAATACATAAAAATATTTAAATGTAGTTCTTGGAGTTTTTCCTAAGTCACGATGTGCTCTGTGCTTAGTAAAAATTTCTTTCTGAAAGCTTAAGTTGAAGATTTATTTCATCTTTATTACTTTTTCTTTTCAGTCCATGTTTGTGACTCCAACCCCTGCCTAAATGACGGTAAATGCGTTCCGGGGAAAGCAGGAGGGCACTGGAAATACCAGTGCATTTGCTCCCTCCTTTACAAAGGAGAAAATTGTGAAAGTAAGGAAACACTATAAAAAAAAATGAAATGACAATCTTACGAGGAATTCTTTTCAGAATTGTTACAGGCCTCGTGAACCATATCAGCCAAATTAATTCACATCTTTCTACTTTATTAGTTCCCAATCCTTGTGTAACAAATCCGTGTTTACATGGTGGAAGATGTATTGATACTTTTAGCAAGTACACAAACTTTCCAAAGGACTGGGACATAGGCTTTTTACATTACTACTGCGCATGTCCACCGGATTATACAGGGCAGAAATGTGAAGGTACGTCATCCAGCTCTCACCGTCAACACATGACAAAGTTTAAAAAACATAGAATGCTCATGAAATGCATCAAATGGAAAGGTTATTAATTCGAGATAGATGCAATGCACGGAACTGATCCAAGCAATATCTTTTCCATCATCACAAAAAACAGAAAATTTGTGTCTAAGGTGCGACGTAAATGCAACTTGCCAAAGTGGACAGTGCATCTGTAAGGATGGATTCAGAGGAGATGGCTTCAAATGCACTGGTGAGTAGTTTTTTTTTTATATATCCTGGTTAAACTTTATTTTTTCGTTCCTTTCGTCGTTTTGAAATACAATAAAAGCCCTATATATTTCGTTGCTGAGGATAACTTTAATTGCTTTTATTTTTTGGTCTTTATTATTTCATTTTGTTCATATTCTGCTCTGGAAGCCATCAAGGATCCATGCGTTCCAAACCCATGTCGAAATAACGGGACATGTAGCAAGGGACCTGATGAAAGCTTCGACTGCACGTGTCCAGAGGGATTTTTCCCCCCTCTTTGCACAAGTAAGTGACATATCTTTCCAAATTCGTAGAAATAACAACGGCAGGCTTGAGATAAGTGTTATAAAAACTATCACAGGTCTCCTTTTTGGAAAATAGAAAGTCAAAACTTAAAATTGTTGTCCGAAGCCAAATCCTGAGAGTGAGTAACACTAGCTATTTTCTTTTCAATTAGTGAAGCTTGGTCGACGGCTCCGTCTAAAAGCTTTAAATGCGCAGTGAATCCTACATGTAAAATAAATAAAAGTACCATCTATCCTAAAATCAAAGATCAGAGATTCTGTCCGAGAAAAGAAATGATTTCACTGACATCTTGTATGGGTAGATTCTTGTTAGTCAGTCAAAGTTGTTGCGAAATATAGTGATTATGATTATATTATCATTATTATATTTATCATTACTATTATCGTCATTGTCATTATTATTACCATTATTGTGATTAATTTATCATTATTGCTATTATAATCACTATATTCATTATTGTTTTAGCTATTATTATTATTATCATCGTAAATAATAAGTTATCGTGGCAGTATTACCTTCAAACTCCATTCGTTCGTCCTCATCCATTTCTTCAAGCCACTCTGTCGAAAAAAAGGCAATAAATAGATAAATCACGCGTTGTAAGTCGATTTCCATAAAAATTAAACCAACGAAATCAAGGAAAGGGTCGAAGAATTAAATTACTCGATTCTAGGTTTTCTTCATAACCAACCATTTTCATAATGGACTTTTTAAGGTTTAAGATAGAAATATTTTACCATTGGTTTCCTCCAAAACTTTTTCCGTGTTTTCATCCTCGGATAGAGAGCCAATTTCTGATAGCAAATGTAGAAAAAAGGAAAAACGCGATCAGAGATGAAATAAGAAAGTACATACCGTAAAGTTAAAGCAAAACTTAAAGGGCAATGAAAGAGGGCAGGTGGGGAATTGGAAAGATATGAAAAGACGAATGAACCAGAAACAAAAGGATATGGGGAATCTCAACCTGTTTGATGAGAATGCAAATAAAGGCAAAAATGATTAGAGATGAATTACTTTAAGTTCTTGTCACTAAATTGGGAAATTCTCAACTCGCAAAATGATGTCTATCATATGAGTATAGATACTTATGTTGATTATCATATTAATTATACATCATTTTGTCCTATTTTTTTAGTTAACCTAAAACTCCATTTTCACTTTTTCCAGATTTCATAGGAAGTGATGTTTGTCTTTAGCCGGTTTTCATTTCCTTTACAAACACAACCAAAGACTGAGTCATCATGCCGAAAGTTAGAGCGAAACACTTTGTCACGCAAATTTGTCACAAAACACCAAGTCTATTATCTGAACCGGTAATGAGACTGTAATCAAGTACCCGTGAAAAGATTAATTACAATTGAGAGTTAATTTTCTTAAAAGAGTCAAATTTTCTGAGACTCGATTCCTTCCTGAGGGAAGATGGGGTCCTCCAGAATTTTTGCTTTCAGTAAACTGCATGCATTTGGCATAAAAGTTTAACGTTATGCCCCGGAGACTCGTCCTTTGTGTCAAATGTCAATATTTACGTCGGCGAGGCGCTCTATGAATCAGCCACATACTTGAGAAGTCATTCGAAAATGAGTTATTTAATTTGTCATTTATTTTCGTCGTAGTTAGAATTCAAGAACGTAAATTAATTCTAGTTCGGCTCGATTAAACCGGACTTCTATCTTAATTATTCATGGATTAGTCAGTTATATTGTCTCTTTTAGTTTCAATGTGTCGTTCAGTTTCAGGTTTTCCTCGAAACGGACACCTTTTCTTTCACGTAAGGGCCTTTAAACTAACAAGAGTAAAGCCAGTCTCTCTGCTTAACATCACAGGATGGGATTTGGCATTATGTCGCAGTGATCTGTACTGGTCATGCAGTCATGGTTTATAAAACCTCTCTATGCGTAACAGAATTAATCTAATCCTGCTTTTAGCGACAGCCGCTCCATCGCAGTGTACTTTCATAACGCAAAGTTCAAACGTGAATCAATGAATCTTCGAGACGTGACAAACAACGTTTCTGCCTAAAAAAAAAAGGTGCTGTCAACATACCTGAATATAAATCCTCGATTTCGTTGGCAATATTTTTTGCTCTTGCGACGCTAACGGAGTGAAGGAGTATCAAAATAACTGCAAAACTCACGAGGTGCATTTTAACGGACGATTCTAGCTGCTGCAACTAGCCAGCAGATCATTCAAATGTTTCCCAACTTCAAATTTCCAGTTTAAAAGCGCTAGTCTCTCACCAGGATGCCTTGATTCGTTATCGATGCTAAATAAATAAGCAGCTCATTAGACCATGGCAATATATAACCGTTTTTTTTCTCTCCTTTTGTTTACGTCGTATCCAATTTAAATGTGTTGATATGGCGGGCTGGAATTTTGCGCCACAGTCAGGAGATCGTTAACGGCCAGCACGCAACGGCGAAAAATCATCTTAGAAACAAAAATATGCTCAAATTCACTTTGTTTTTCATTGTTTATTCACCAAGACTCATTTTGTGAACACTTGAAAAGTATGTCAGATGTGAAAGTGTGTATAATTTGCAAAATCAACGAAGCGGATAAATATTTGTGCTCAGTGTGAAAGGAAGGTATCAACCGTGACCTGAGCGTCGGTTGGGGACTCTCGAGGAGCCGTTGCAAGTCTGGAGAAGCTTTTTCAACACCGAAGTCAGTGCGGTGAATGGCTCAAGAAGAAGAAACCTTAGTGTGCTGTACCCGTCTCATGACATGAAGCTCCGGGACATGTACCTACCTTAATGTTAATGCCTCCAGGATATAATTTATTTTAAATACCCCTCCTTAATAAGTAACTAGTCCTTAAGTATTACTGGCATTCTTGCGACCCTTTCAATTCAACGAAGAAGAGGATTTGTTTTGAAACACCTATAGTGGCGAGCATAAAACCGTTCGCAATGCGGTATATCTAATTTCATGTGCAAATTAAACGGGCTCTTGATTAAACATCCTTAATTGACAGTTGAGCAAACATTTTACTAGATATTCTAGATAGTTTTAAATTTACCAGTATTATTATATTTTTTATTCAATTTTAACTAAATAGTAAAAGGAATTGCTGATCCTATTCAATGCCCTCTCGTATAATCGTTTTTGGACCTGAGTACCGGCCTATTCCTATAATCAAGGGGAGTTATCCGCGTGTTTTTAATTGATCACGAACTAGTTACTAATCATTCGGCTACGTAATAGAAATCGAAAGCTTTTCATCGAAAATGCCACCGTTCAGAGTTTTTCCCATGGTCATTCAGCTCTGGCTGAGAAACGTAGCTGCGCAAAACATCTTTCCAATATTATACAGGCTTACCACGAAAATAAAGTAACTGTTAAATTACTTGCAGGCATTTTTACAGATGAGTCTTCATATTCGGCTTCAATGTAATTTAAAATTCATGTTTTGTTTAGTTGAAATAGGAGCTAAGTTGATTTGGAAGGGATTTTAAGAGATTACCTACAAAACCTAGTAAAATGATACTTCGCAGAAATAAAACTTTTACTGATTTGATTCAAAAACCTGAAGTTACCAGGTGGCTAAGAACGATTTACGATGTACGTAACAAGTGTTTAAAAATAACTAAATTGGTTGATATGATCGAGGAAGGTCCCCTTCCCCCCACTTTAAAGCGGGAACATTTCTATGGAATAGAACTAGCTTTTTTCGAATAATTGAATATGCTAACTGTTATTAACCTACTTAATTTTTCTATTGATGTATTTCAAATATCAGTTTTGTTTTTGTTTCTACAGCGGTAGATGTTTGTATCCCTAATCCTTGTAAGAATCAAGGAATTTGCACAAAGGATGGCGTCGATCAATATCATTGCATCTGCCCGGCGGGCTTTTTACCTCCTAATTGTGTAAACAGTAAGTTATAACAAACTAAACTGTTTTTGAGAGAGTTCTTCTGATTCTTGACTCCTCGTTGGTTATCTGGAGGAACCAAAAGTTTTCTCGTTGTGTCACGCTGTACTTTTAACCCTTTACACAATTACTACACACTTACATCAGCGTGCCTAGTCCATTCTGATCTCCATACACTTCATAGGATGCTGACAAAGACAACTTATCTAACAATTAAGAGCATTTTTGGTCATTAATCTATCTCTTTTTCTCTTGGCCTTTAAGTCTTATTCGGGAGTGATAGTGTGAGGAGGTATCAGATTGAGAGTTGAATCCGACCATAAGTTATCACCGTTACTTACTGAGCAGCTGGGAAATAACTGCTCTCTGCTATGCTTGCTTCTTAGAGACTGTTGATCCTTGCGTCCCTAATCCATGTCTAAACAGAGCAACTTGTCAGGCGTCACAAGATAAAAAGAGATTTACCTGCAACTGCAGAGGAAGTTTTAAGCCTCCTCTTTGTGGTAAGTAGAGTAAAATGGTAATGATAATGATGATAATAATCATAATTACGACGATAATTAACGAGTCAAATTAGGGCTCACATTAATTACATACTAATATACATTGAATCTATATATACAATGAAATGAATTTTCTTTATATATTATACATATATATATATATAACGCGATATAGAAAATTCATTTCCTAAGGGCACAAACAATGCCATGAAGTCTGATTAAATTCTATAGACCTATCAAATTCTAGTAGAAACTGACTCTTTATCTCGATACGAGTAATAAGAACAGCCTAAACAAAGAGAATATGTTGATATTCTCTTGTTAAAACAGAATTGTTTTAACATCAAAACGGATTTTTATTAAGGAATCCGAAAGCATCTAAGTAATTACACTAAAATAGTCATTCGTCTAAGGCTCAGTGGATATTGTTAAATAATCCCCGATGCTATATATATATACATATATTCACACCTCTAATATTCAATTTATATACATATTTTTTTTTTTTTTTTTTTTTTTTTTGTTTTTTTTTTTTTTTTTTTTTTTGTGCAGTTATCATTTAAACTTAACAAACGAATAAAGGAGAACTACTCCGTACAACTATAGAAACCTCATTCCACTAATTTTATTCCTCATCAACTGAACAGACACATATCTTAAAGAAATGGAGAACATCCTCGGTAATCATAATTTATTATTCAGTGATTACTGATTTTATCAATATTTTTTTTTTGGCGCTTAGCATGTGACTGTCCAAAAGGAGATCCTTTGTGGGTTCCTCCCATTCTCGCTCAACAGTGCAAAGAAGATGGAGAGTGTTACTGCCCAAGTTACAACGGTAAAACGCACTCTAAGACAGAGAGAGGCTGCGTAGAGTCAAGTAAGCAAGACATTTTATCTAACCTACATTATAGTTTTCCAGATGTCTCCCCCTCTAGTAGTTATTTGAAGGATTCCTTATGTTAAAATCACACGCAAATTTTTCTCCTTAGATGTAAATAGGTCCACGTCAGTTTCGATCCTACCAAGCTTAACTATGGCCAGAAGCACATACCTTATGCTCAACTTATGCTCAATGATCTTGCTTAGAGCCGTTTGCAGCCAATAAAAATCACGAGAAACCCTCATATTTATATACTCCAATTATCTATTATATATATATATATTTTTTTTTTTTAAAAAATCGTTGCTAATTTTATTTTGCCTTCGCCCACGAAGTTGCGAGGCCTCAGTCCTAATCTAAATTATTCAAAGTCTTTAGTTGTAGACCATTCTTTGTGCAAAATTAACTTATGGTACGGGAGCAGAGAAAAGTAATGTTTTTTCCCTATAGTCTATCAACCGTTTTCGACGGTAAACTGCTTCTCCACGTTCTGTCTCGGGTTCTGCAAGTAAAAGATAATAAACACAATACAAGGAATTTGACTCACACGTATTTATTTTTTTTTTTACCTTGATATCATTTGTTCCGCGAAGCTCAAAAACCTTCTCTATTCTCGGAACAGATTAAGTACTCGGACAAATTTCCCAACATTACCATTGCTCGAGGCAATGTTTTATAACAAAACTAGTCGTTCATGTTGCTCAATCTCATAGGCCACTTTTTTTTATTTATCCAGGACAGGATCCCTGCGATAGTAATCCGTGTCAAAATGGTGGTGTGTGTTCTGCTAACCCTGACAATTTGTCCTTCACTTGTCAATGTCCTGAGCCATGCACGGGAGATCGCTGTCAAAATTGTAACAGTAAGTCTGTTTTTAGCCCATTAGTTAATGTTAGAATTTGTTTTTGGCTGTTCCTTTCAATCGCCGTTACGCGGTTTTCCATTCCGTCGATATTCAACTACTGTTATTTAATGTAAACAAACAAACAAACAAACAAAACACTCACAAACAAAAAAACAAAACAAAACAAAACAAAGAAACGAAGGCGACAGACTCAAGAATGCTCCCTAAATATTTAAATGCATTTTAGTCCGTGAATTACTAATCTTTTTGTATTACTGTGTTTTCGGTTTGGTTTTGTTTTGGTACTTTGTTTTCTTTTGTTTGTTTGTTTTTTCTGTTTCGATTGCTTGTTTGATTTAAAGAATGATTCCTTCCTTTTATGTCAACAAGTTGACGAGATTTGTACTCCTGGATATTGCAAGAACGGTGGAACCTGTATAGTTGTGGGAACGAAGCCTTTCTGCAAGTGTCCTCCAAGTTACCTTCCCCCTCTATGCCTGATGCACGTTAACACAACAGGTAAAGGTTTTCTACATCTTTTTCAACTGGTTTGTTTCATTTTATTTGTCTAATCATCTTTATAAAAATGTTTCGCTCCAGAGTTTTCACGTCCTACTGCAGATTTTCTGTAAATCATCTACTCGCCTAATCTGCTTGATCTAGCAAGAGTAAAGCCAATGGGTCAAATACGGCTTTAAAAGGTTGCCCATTCGTTGCCCACCTTCTCCCCTCTTCCCCTCGCCTTAAACCTTAAATCGTTCAACAGAAAACCTCGCGTACTACTTATCTTTTCATTGTGAGACAGAAAAATAGATGTAACATAAGTCGTATGACTTAGTATATATTTGTTGCTTAATGTTTTACTGTTTTATCAAACTGATCAGATAACCGAAGTCTTTGTCATCCCAACCCATGCCAAAATGGTGGAAAATGCAGGCAAGTGAGACCGAACAGCCTTGAATGTAGCTGCTCCAAGCAGTACCATGGAAGATACTGTGAGCGTAAGTAAGCAATAAATACTCTACGTTTATGAAGCCAAGAACACTTAAATTTACTGCACAAAGTTTATACTACTTAAATTTGTGCAAAAAAAAAAAAATGTCTCGATCCATTTAATAAAAACATGTTCAATGAACCTAGGTGCATGTGAAGGCTGTTATAGAGATAAGAGTTTTTACGAATTTTGGATATGCAGTGCAATTGAAAAATTGAACAAAAATCTAGTTTTTTTTTAATCTTTAGTGAAGCTGAAAAGTTCAATAACACTCGTGATTTAAATGGTATGGTAGAGGATGTTCTAAATGGTTTGATTTGGCTTTTTTATACCCCTCCCCTTACCCAACACCAACCTATTTTTTTGGGTTGGGGCAGGAGTAGGTTTGTAATTGCTCAGATACTGACATTGATGCTTTACTTTTTTCTTGCTTTAGGTGACAAGTGCATGGATTGTGATGTCCATGCCATATGCTACAATGGCCGTTGTAAATGCAGACCGGGCTACAAAGGAGGTGGATTTCATGGAGATTGTAAACCAGGTAAAGTAATACCAAATTATTATTTTTAAATGATCCTTTTTGATGTGAAACCCACACCATGAACATCTAGAGTATAAATGGAGTGTTCATCGCGTTCTAACAAATTGGTTACAAGAGAATTCTCTCTAATGGGTACTTTGTTTACCTCCAACACAAAGCATTTCAGAAAATAATCTCTGGTGTTCAAGATTTCTAGAGTTTCATTGTAAAATAAGCTGTATTTTTAACCCTTAGTTATCAACCTGTAAGCGTGTTATTTACAATTAGCTCCCTGTCGTTAAAGACACAACACAATCAAAATGTGCACATATATATATATCTCTAGATTCTTCCTACAAATGTTGCCTGAAGACTTTAATCAGTGCAATATCTACAAAAAATCCTACTGAGATTGAAGAACTAATGTGATAGAGTTTAACTCTGATCATATCAGAAATCATCTCAGAGCATTAATTTAACTTTGGAGCTGCCATAAGTGATGTCCGAGATACAATGAGCGGAAAAAATTTATAAGTAACTGTTAGTGGTCAAAATTAGCGTTAAGGTTCTTTATCCACTCATAAAAAAGGCATTGTTGCATTTTAAGTTTATTTTATTGTTTTCAGTGTCTTTCTGTAACACCTGTCCGCTAAACGCCGTCTGTGTTGGCGGAGAATGCGCTTGTATCGCGGGATTTTACTTTATTGATAACACTTGTCAGAAAATAGGTGAGTCGATGTATGTTTTTTGTAATTATCTAAATTGATTCAGTCATTTTGTTATATATCTCTCGTTCATTTGCTTATTTATTCATTTTTTCATTTTCCTGCTCTAGTTGGAGACTAATTCAGTTTGGTAACGTATGCATGACTGAAGCAGTTGCTGAGGACAAGGACTTCGAAAGCACGCACATTAGGTCGAATCAGATCCGAATAGTTATCCAGCCCAACCCTTTCCTAAAATCCTAATTCTTATTCTGATTCTCACGGTTTGAAGGGTGTGACATCCTTCAAAATTTTAGGATTAATGAATCGACTTCTTCCAATGTTAATTAGAGATACGTGTAATTTACGTTTTTGATGTTTCCAAAAACAGTTCCTTGCGTGCACTTCGCACTTAGCACACGGCTTTATTGTCTTTATAAAGCAACATAGCTATTTACAATAAACTAAACATAAAGCTATCACTACTCAAGGTTACGTTACAATTTATAATTTACTTAGATACTTGAAATCAAGTAAATATTAATTTTATGCCACATGCTGCATACAAAGAAAAAAAAAAGATGCCGCCATGGAAGCCAAACCTGGTCCAAGTTATCGGTAATGTGGCCCGTGTGTATGCCATTAGATTAGCTACAAATGATTTTTTTTCTCTCTCTTTTTCTGTTTTTTCTTTGTTTGTTTGTTTCAATGGATTTGCTTATTTTTTGAAATCATATATTACAGTTAAGTTTCGTCATCATAACTGCGTCATGTTAGTAATCTCTGAGGTTTCAAACATTCAATAGAATAATTTCCAAAACTGAATACGTTATGAAGCGTCTCTAACGCCCACTATCTGCAATTGGAAAGAATGGGACAAAAAAATTGATTAGTATAAAAAGAAGTCAAGCCTCAGTCAGTTGAAAGGAACCAACTTCCTATTGGTTCAGAGAAATAGGGTAATGAATTTCGTATGCCCATCTAAACGAAATGAAATAGTAATGATAGGATTATTTTGTCAAGAGCCAGAATATTTTGCCAAGTAGGAAAACTAAAGTTTTCCCGAAGAAAAAAACACGAGTGCATAAACTCGAGCCATTAAACGATAAAGAAAAAACACTGTATACGATGCAACTCAAAGTAGCATGGATATTCCAGTGGCATGAATATTGCCTTTACCTTGACAAATGAACCCTGGAATACAAACACAGACTCCCTGGGCACAATGATGATGAACAGGACAGATGCCACATTCTTTTTCCTTATCTGCTTATGTAATACAAGACAATAAAATCAGTATTAGCCTGATAAGTTGTCTACAACTGTCGCATATTTAAAAGTATCATTGATATTAGATTCTTTACTAAACTCTATCTGAAATAAAGTACTTGAAACTGCAACTCGATCGTTACAGGTAAACTGACCTTTCTCGCAAACGTATCCAGTTCCAACGTATCCTTCTCTACATCGACAACGTCCATATACACATTCTGCCTCCTCGTGACAATTAGCGCACTTGTCAACTGAGCAAGAGTAATAATTTTCATGAACAATTGTCTTTGGGCATAGCCTTCAGACATAGGCAGCCTTAAAATTCACATCATTTTTTTCAGCAACCATCAATTGCCATATTTTGGAGAGTAAAAAAATTGAAGAACTCTCCTCCCTTTAAATCTCGGTTGCACATTTTTTCCTTGATCTGAGAGATCAATCGGGACCTATTCATATTTCAAAAAGTGGCTATTACCTCCACAATGTGGTCCTGTGTACTGTGGTGTGCAGATACAATCGTATCCATTTGGACGCTCTACACAAGTGCCTCCATGTAGGCAAGTGACATTTATACAACGCTTTTCTGTTGGTGTCACTGGGGCTGTAAATGCAAAAGAGACGCAGAATCTCTCACTGTAAGGTATTATTTTTATTTGCCCTACGTTAAATAGCATAAGGGGAGTGGAATGGACATTCTCTCCTAATCTATAATTGCCAAACAAGGCATCACGTTATTTGTGACTCAATTAATTAATTAGTGTATAATACCAATTTCATGGCTGGAATGCAGTTCAATCCGTACGTACATGTGTATTTATATATGGAGATATATTTAATCGACCACTTCCCCAATAGGGCTTTTTAGGGCCTAAACGAACGAGGGAATAAATGAGGAAATAAATGGATGAATGAATGTATACACAGTGTTTAAAAATCCCAAAAGACAGTGGGCAGACCAGTTGACTATATACATGCAAGGTGCAGCCAAGGTGTTAAACTCGGGGCAACTGGAAGAAAATCCAGCGAGCAGTTGTGTAGAGGACTGAAACCCGGGACCACTAGATCACAAGCCAACTGCCCTCGCCACTCAGCCACATTGCGCACACAAGGCAGTGTAGGCACGTAAGGAAAAAGGAATATTACAACAATTAGGTTTTTTTTTTTTATCACCGCTGAGTTAAGGGTATTGTTTGCAATCCTTAAAAACTCACGTCATCTAAATGTGAGCTACTTCAATTCATTTCGATGGCTAAACATTTACTAAGAGAAATATCTCTGTTGCGACTGGAAGTTGACTTTTTGTTTAGTTTTTATTTATTTTTTATTTTGTTTGCACGAATTGTGTCCCATTGCATTAGTGACTTTTATGTCACGTGATTTACGCGACCTCGTGGTCGAAAAATGTAAAAATGAATGGTTCTATTCTGGAAAACAGTCGTTAATTTTGTGGTTGAAACGATTTATACGACAATCTCCCTGCATATTCTGTTTGGATTAACAACTGAAAGCTTAACTATTAAATGACTAACATACCTGAACAGTCAGGACCTTGGTAACCAGGGGGACAAGTACATTGGTATTGTTTTGTTGCAATGTCAACACAGGTAGCACCATTCTTACACGGTTGCTCACATATACAGGAAGTGCCTAGAGGAAAAGATTGAGTATACGTCTGAGTTGATAATGTAGGGTCACTCTATTGACGCAGCTTCGAAGTGATTTCAATGAGACGTTATTATTTATCAAGAAAGATATGAAATATGACTTGAAACCCTCTTTGCTAGCCGTATATATCTCATTGGTATAAAATAATCGCGTTAACCTAGGCCAAGTAACTATTTGTCGTAGCCTGCTAAAAACATGAAGATCATTGCTGTTGGTAACAGTAGGACTTACATTCACAGAAAGTTCCGTAATATGGAGGAGGGCATTCACATATGAATCCATATAAAGTAGTCACGCATGTTCCTCCGTTCTTGCATGGTTCACTAAAGCAAAGGCTTTGGCCTGAATTTCAAGAACAAAAGCTTTCAGTAAGTCTTGTTTCTTGTTTGTTTGTTTTTTTTTTAATCTTTATGCATACACGTATATATTTGTATTTACGATATTTAGACAAGCTGGCCCAGTTCGGCTCCAAGCTAGTTTAAATGGTGACCCGCATAAAAAATTGATAAGGCCAGAATAGTGAGTGAATATCCACCAATTCCATCTACACTTCGGTGAATCATTATTTCAGTGTATAACACACAGAAACCCAAAAAAGTCAGTTTATTTCAGTCAGTATACCGAAAAAATGGTTGAGAATGAAATTACGCGCGATTTTGTTTCTTCGGATGCGTTGAGGTAAATATTAATTGCTAAACTTGCAATTACATTTAGGATTTACTACGTAGATACCATACTAACAAAATTTTTCTTTCTCATTCTTGCTACTCATCACGTACTCGTTTACTTACTATTCAAAATATTGACTGCGCAATCATAATTGCAGCTCTTCGCCTATCAATTTACAATCACTCACGTTCTTAACAAAGCCTACAAATTTTGCAGGGCTCTGCCGAGGAATCTCGCAGAATCTATGATGTTATGCACATCAAAGCTTTACTTTACCAAGTAACCCAAAGTAACGATTGCGCAGACATGATTTTGTTTGCTAAATTTAAAGGATTAAAACTTAACATTCTTGTAACCTACGGTCAAGAACGCAGCCGCCGTCCGTAAATGTGACTTTAGGAACACCAGAAACAAGTGGACAAAAACATTCCCCAATTGCGTCGCATTCAGAGTCAATTACCTCTTTCCCATCTGGTCGTGGTTTGGCCTTAGGGCAGTCGCAGTCTGTAAGAAAGAACATTTATTAAACAATCAAACACAGACTGCTGTCTATATGTCATTTCTTAAATTTTTTTTAGTTTTGTTTCGTATAATTGACTTGGTAAAATAGAGAATCCTTAGGGAATCAATGATGGATGTCATCTCAACGTAGGGTTGAGCCAATATAGAACCAGGAAGTACAGTCATGGAATTTTCTTATCCGAACCCACTTGAAATCGGATGATAAGAAGTTGTTGTATAGCAAGGTAGCCCTGAGGTAAATCCGAGCGTTCTGATTGGTTCATACTTTGTTTGGATTTTGCCATACGGAACGTTTCCACGAAAACGGTCATAAGCCCTGTATTTATTTTCTCGAAAGCCGGTAAATTCAAAATAAACAGGTTTGGTCTGGGTGCCTTATAATAAACTACTAACCTCACTTGTGCGAGCCGTACAGGCGAGTGTTAACCCTCGTCCGTTTTTGTACGGACCTCGCTGCGCTCGGTCCGTACTGCCATGCGTTCGGGCCAATATTCCCCAGTATGGCCCTAGCGCTTGGTCAGTAGGAAGGTATTATTTTTTATTAACTTTAGATCATTATGCAATTCCTAGGCGTGTTGCACGTACTCCGTAGCGTAAGGTGCTCTAATTAATTTTATGATATGCAGTATGCGCCGAAGTGGTCGTGAAAAGGAAAGTTCTGCATTATTTCTGGTATTACGGTGTTAATTTACTTGATCATTTTTTTACGCGTGTGCTTGAAGAAATAATGACAAAACCTTACTCACTGGCGCAATCCTTTCCAGAGAATTTACCGACGCAGTCGCAAATGTAGTCATCTTTCTCTGGCAAAGACCTACACGTACCACCATTTTTGCAAGGATTTGGAATACATCGATTAACAGCGGTCTCTGAAAAGAAGCAAGCTAACGTTATACCGAGCTTTGTTAAATTATAGTATAATTAAAGTTATATATAATATCCCAAAATGGAACGCTCGTTGATTTCCAAAAATAAACCACAACATAAGCAACTAAAACTTTCAGTCACAATTTTCAATAAGCACCCATAATTACGAGAAGAAAATGAATTGATTCTATGGATTTATGCTCCACAAATGTGCACACGAGCATTCATACTCTTCTAGGTGGGGTGCCTGGAGTAAATGACTTTGCAAATAGATAGACGAGAGGTACACTTTAGTTCATAGCATAAATTTACCGAGTCATTGGATATCATTTCTACTTACCATTACAGTCAGGTTGAATGTAAGGCGGTTTGCAAATACAGATACGTTCCTCACCCTTTGGGATACATTCTCCTCCATTAAAGCATGGCCGTAACAAACATGGTTCACAAATATCTGTTGAAAAGTAAATCTCTTTTTAAACCCAATGCCTTCCCTGGATCAATATCAGTATCTGGGCAACTGCCCACCTACCCCTCCCTAACCCAACAACAGTCAATTAATGACAAGTTAGGGTTAATGTTGGGTTAGGGGAGGGGTAGGTGGGCAGTTTCCCAGATACTGATATTGATTCCCTTTCCTCTAGAATAAATTAATTTGCACCTATCCTATTCATGCAAATTGAGTAGTTAAGCAATAGAACATTTCCAAAGTGATGGTTGAAGGTAAAAGACATCCGGTATTTAATTGCACAGGGAAAGTAAGCGAACACCTAACAAAGGATCCTCTATATACCAATAAAAAGGTTCGTCATAACTCCCTTATTTTTTTTCGTCGATTTCAATTATATTTTTCTCTTTATAAAATTCAGTTGACGGAATTTTGATTGCCAAGTAAACGTGCTACAACCTAGCCGTATATAATGACTGGGATCAGCGAAGCAGCATCCTATCTTAATATTTTTTATTAAAATGACTTCTTGAAATGTCGCGAAACGACTTTTTCACGAAACAAATGTAAACTGCCTCAAAGAGGTACCAACAATTCAAGGAACCATGATTAATTTGCCACTTCTCGAGTTTAGACTTGACTTGAATACTTCTTGTCTTATTTCTCTCTTCAAGAAAAATTAAGGTACCTTTGCAATGAAGACCACAATATCCTGGGACACATTCACAGTCGTAACTGCCGTCCTGTCGTTCAGAGCACGTTCCCTGATTAAGGCAGGGATTGGGATGACACCTATTTGTTGGCTCTGCAAGAAATTTAACATAGTTATCGTTATCTATCAAATCATTTACTCGAATCTACAATTTTATTTGTGACTGGAAAGTTCCATAATGGTGTGAACCGTGGTTTCTGGGCAATGTTTGAAGGATAGTACACGTAATTAAAAATAAACCCATTCTGATTCCATTTTATGAAATGGAAGGAACTTACAGGGTCACCTCAGCTATTTTTTTCACCTCCTCCATTTTCCATTTCAAAATGTTTTCGTGTTTGCTTTAGCTTGAGGTATTTTCCAATGTAGAATAAAGCGCACGAAATATGTAGTATGCACTGCCATGACAGAAATAAGCTGACCCAGGCCCTCGCGACTGCCGAACCAAATACACCTTGTCAGTTTACTACATGCGAAGATAGCTTTTTCCATGTCGCACTTACTTTTACAATAATTTCCGTTTCCAACGTAGCCACGCTTGCAAACACAATGATGGTCAATACATTCAGCCAAACGATGACACAACGAACAAACATCAGCTGAAACGATAATTTGAGTGATTTTAGAACAAAAAAAAATTATTAATCATTTTCAAGTCGCTCACAGAATGTTTTTCTTTTATAGACGTGATCTATTGGATTCATCTCTATCTTTATCTTTTTTTTAATTGAAAGAGAACGCTCACTCTTTTTTTTGTATGGGACCGTGGCGACTTCGAAACTGATATTTAGTAAAAATGCTCTCGTTGCAACTCGTTAAAAGACTGAAAGAAAAAACAAATGGATAAAAGCAAAGGATAAAAGAAAATGATGATGGATTTTTTTTGTTTTTTGCAATTTCTCAACTGCAATCACCACGAAATTTTCAGAAATATAACGAAAGGGGATTCTCTAACCAACAAGAATCTCATTATCAAAGGTTTCGAGTTGGCAACGCTCTAGAACGCGTCGACATGATTATTACAAGTACCGCAGTGAATGAATTAACTTTCTGTGGACTTACTTTCGCACCTCGATCCCTTAAAACCAGGAGGACACTGGCAATGGAAGTGCAAGTGTGTCCAAGGGAGCGTTACGTCATAAACAGGTTGCTCCTCGTTTTCCTCTTTGGAGGTGAAGGCATCCACGCAAGTCCCACCGTTTAGGCAAGGTTGACGAATGCACGGATGAGGAACTTAAGATAGCAGGTGGTAAATAGAGCACTTCATTAAAATATTGTTAGACGAATAACCTGAAAATGCTTTGATACGTAGTGATAACAGGCGGTGATAACAGGCGTTAAATAGAGCACTTCACTCAAATGTTGTTAAACGAATAACCTAAAATGCTTTAATACACAGTGCTATCTTTTTCTTTTTATCTATACTTACTATGACAAATATGCCCTCGATACGATTCCGGACATGTGCAGCGATAATTCCATCTCTTGTTCCTGGACCCCGATGGATGGTCTACTACTTTGCAAGTGCCTTTGTGCAGGCATGGATTTGGTCGACACACGTGATCTTAGGAAGAAAGGATGTGTTTCAAATTAGCATGTTTTTTCCTTTGAGATATAAGATATAGTATATGATCACTGTAACAGAAAAAAATTCTTACCAATGCAGTATTTTCCTACGTATCCATTTGGACAAAGACAAGGGGCCAAAGGATTTTCTACGCATATCCCTCCATTATGACAAGGATTCATGAAGCAGATATATCTCTCTGAGAAACAAATAATACAAGATCGATACTGATGAATTTCTAAGGCAGGAAAGTAGCAGAGAACCAAGTGATAAAGTTGTTGACTGCAAGCCAAGGTAGACAAATCAAAAGTGTATAATTAAAACACATCGAAGTGTTTCACAGTGGGTAAAAATGGCATTTGACCGCTTTACGGCTTGCACAGATTGAACTGGACATGCACAGCGACCATACGCTTCTTTTAAATATCTCTCAAGTCCATGCGGCCGTGAACTCCAATGCCGTCGATACAATAGGCATACAAACGCCTAAAAACCCTTTGGAAATTTTATTAACCTCGTTTATATTAAACGAACTGACCGTTCTGGTTGATGAGATTGCTTCAAAGAATATCTAAAATAAACTAAAAACATGTTTCTTGAGCTGTCCATGTCTGGTAGTTTGCTTCAATTTAGGTTTAATCTTCATCCCGTAATGAATAAGCTAGAAAACGCCATTTTGCAATATTTAGCTATCACTGAGCTACAGTTACGCGTTCATAGCGCTCACTTACCATGACAGTAAGTTCCATGATATTGCGGTTGACACAGACAGCGTGGGGAACCATTTATGGTTTCACAGCTTCCGCCATGTTGGCAAGGGTTAGGCCAACAAGCATCAGTATCTATTCCGATAAAACATTGTCTAAATTTGAGAATTTATCATGTTCATTGAGCTTTCATAGACTTAAAACTAAGCTTTTCTTCAACGGTTTACGTTTCAAAAAGAAGCTTGCCTGAGAATGTTTGATTTCAGCCAAACATAATTTTGTTTGACTCATCCAGAGAAATGTATTGGCGTACAGCAAAAATGGTGTGCGACCTCGTTTGTATCTAGTACAATGCTTTGCATATTAAACGGAAGGAACCGATTGAAATCTTTATAATTGGAATATCTTGCACCCAATCCATCATCAATGCGTGCTAACACAATGTGTGGTGACCAACGAATTCAAACATGCTTCTAGTTTTTCAAGACGTGTATCTTCAACTAAATTTCAAATGAAACCCCCACAAAAATCTACTGTGAATGGTCAAGGTTTTTCCTCTTACCTTTACAGTTATCGCCCTTGTAACCGTCTTGACACACGCATTTATAGCCTTGAAGAGTCTCAACGCATGTACCTCCATGTTCACAAGGGTTAGGGGAGCAAAAGGCTCTGTCTGAAACAATTGCCATATTGTGAGGAATCAACAAAACCTCATTTGGGTTGAAAACAAAACGCAAGAATTTGTATATAACACATTAAAAATTGCCATTATTCTCATTAATTAATTGATTCTTACCTTCACAGTCATTGCCAGTGAAACCAGCAAGGCATGTGCATTTATAACCATTGCTAATCTCTAGGCACTTTCCTCCATTCTTGCATGGTTCAGAAAAACAGTGCTGTTGTACTTAAGAAAATGAATAAAATCAGAATCAAGACATTATTAAATAACAAAAAGTTACAGCTTGAAACAATGTTGGTCTAGGTCAGAGTGTTAATCAGCCATTAAACGCAATGTCAAGTAATATGGTCAATAATATTTTCTTAAGATTCACACCTACACGAGAACTCAAACAGTTATCACGGTACTTGAACTAAGTATTTGCCTGTTTGACTTAGTGTGTCTGTTGGTGAGTTAACGATACGAAAGTTACTGACTCTCTCCTTGACTGCACGAAAGTGTCAACGATTCACAGTTCTAATTTCACTACGCCAATGTCCAACTTGTTAGCATTGATTATCTCTAAACATGCCGTCCTTCTTTTTAGGGAAAACCTACTTTCACAAGTGGATCCAACGTACTGAGGTGGGCAAATACAGCGATAATTTCCTGATTCTTCTCCCGAAAGTACTCCGCCATTTTTGCAAGGATTTTCTGAAAAGATAACAAGCTATACATGATCGCGTTTAAATAATTTTTGGAATGGTTAGGTGCATTTGAAACTTTGCAAGACAAAAAGGTTGAATAAATATCCACGAGATTTATTCTATGAACCAGTTGCTTAACAAAACAATGGGATATTGAATGAAAGAGATTGCACTTACTCGATCAAAAAGCATACAAAGTACATGTTTGAAAAACGAGAGCCTGATTCAATCTCATCTGACTCTGAACCGGTTTTGTGCGAGATGTATGAAGACAGTACATTTTAAGTTTGCGCTTCGTTCAAAGTACAAACTAAGGGTCTCAACACAAATTTCAATCCTAAAGTAAGTGGTCCTATTGAGTCCTTTTGTTCTTCTTTAATTTTCCGTCTTTTATCTAAATATTGAATTGTTTTCATGTTCTACACAAAGAGGCGTCAGGCTTTCAATTATTTCTTTATCTATGAACATTAACCCAAAGTGTTTTGAAATTGGTTTCAAAAATCTAATATGAGAAAACAAACTCACTGTCATGAATGTGCACATGTAAAATGTGTTCAGCAGTTTCCTTCTTGACTGGAACAGCAACCGGGTAATCTTTGATATGCTCGATGTGAATTGGTAACGGAGCTTCGGAGAAGTGTGGTCCTTCGTAACTAGAAATTAAAGGGTCGAGAAGATTCTTTCGTGTTCCTTTCACCGCTACACCTGTTTCCTTAGACTTCTTGGACAGGTTCGGAGACCTCGAGGATTTAAGTCTTCTTGGAGTACTGTTTCCAACTTTGTCTGTGCTATGCTTGCGAGATACTTTCTCAGCTGTAAATTTTCCGTAGCTTAAAGAGGGTAAACAAATGAGACAAAGCACAGCCAACTGTTGGGCCGAACAACGCATTTTGACTCCCTTTTGAAGATTGCCAAATTGAAAGTCCACTGTTTTCGTGAAGTTATTAGTTGAAAGTCATTTGGTTCATGATTTATTGATGCTAATTCCTTGCTTCAGAACCTCCTTTCATGAAGACAGCAATCGAGTGACCTGTTTCATAAACAATGCGAAACAAGACAAGAAAACCTTTTTTGGGACAGTCACCAGTTTAATTTCCCAAACGGCTGGTTATAAATGTTCCTTTTTTTCCGGGTCAAGTTAGCTTTTTCTTCCAAGATAAGAAGTTCCACAAATACCCTTCTTGTCCCGTTGAATCCTTAGAGAAAATATTGAAGAAAGATTCATTTAAATTCCTTCCAATTTGATGCACTCTCTCGAGGGGGGTAACATTTGTTGTTTCTTGGTAGAATAGATAGTTTAGACTTGTCTCCTTTCCTCTGCTCGACGGCATTTTGATATTCTTTAGCACGATAATTGTTTCATTTATATACCGAGAACGGTGAAATAAATTTTAAAGAATAATTTCAGAAGGTTATCTTGATAATCTCAAGTTGATTAAGTGGAAAGAGAAAGATACTTTTAAGATACATAGGAGACGCTGCCTTTCTAAATCATTTTTAACATGATCCTTTGTTTAAAAAAAATATTTTTTCGATTTTGCCATTTATTCTTTGAGTCTAATAGTTTTCTTAAGTCATAGCCTAAGGGTTAAAAGGCTTATACACTGGAGGAATATCATAGTCTATTCAAATTGGTAAGAAAACGGTTTTCGCAACAGAGGAATGAAAAAGAGTAAATAAATGTTCATTAAGAAAAAAAGGCAATTGCATAATTACAACGTATGCACTGGTCTCTCTCTCGTGATCTGACCCGCTGATAAGTGACACTAGACTAGTAAGCCTCTTTACTAATATATCGCCCGCATTTCAAAATGACGTTGCAGACCGGGTTTTGTTTGTTTATAACAGTTCTTGTTGAATGAGGACAGGTGGCGTGCTTTTGTTGTCGGGCTAGGCGTTATAACGCACCTTTTGGTTAAAATGACCCTGTTAGTGCTTTTATCAACCGCCCAATGACCATCCGTTTTGCATTTTTAGTGAGCACGGATTTGTTGCAGACTGACATTATTTCTTTTCTGTTCGTTTGGTTACCGTTACGTGTTTTAACAATACCACTAAGTTTCGAATTTACCGTAAGTTAGTAACATTCAAACGCGGCCTCTATATTTGAACTTAACATATATTTGAGGCCATGTATTTTTATTGAAATCCACGCCGACGATTCGACAGAAGAAAAGATTCAAATCCGAATTACAGTATCAACAATCCCACGCAATATAATCTCAAAGATGTCAACAAATAGTTCTTTATTAAAGAAGACTTTATAATTTAGATGACACTCTTTGCTTGTTTGTTTCTTTTTTTCATTTACACTATTTACTAATTTCGAATTATCTTTGACCAATCTTTTTATCTATATTGTTGTGTGAATAATGAATTGTGCTATCAAAATAAATCTTCCGGTCAATTCCTTCTTATTTTCTATTACATCAGCTCGGAATTTACTTGATGCAATTTGTGTTGATCCTTCGTTCAGTCCTTTTTATCCTGAAAATCAATCACGTACAAAGGAAATAGTAAGAATATGAAATAGTAAAACGAAATTTTCAATCAAGAAAAATAGTTTCCTCAAATACAACCATTCTTTTCAACATGTTAATAACCATACAGAGCCCTGTAATATGGTCTGTAATTCGACCTGTAATATGGTCTGTAATTCGACCTGTAATATGGTGGGTAACGATAGTTTACAGGATAGTCAGAATACTGAGGATAATCCATGGAAGGCGGCCCATAAGATGTCGGAGAGGGTGGAGCAGCAGCAGATGGACTGCTGATTGGAGGTGGTGGACCGGGTGCCGGTGGAAGAGCAGGTGCGACCGGCGGTGGAGCTGCGGAAGGCTGGGGAACAGGTGGTGGTGCAGATGGTACTGGTGGAGGAACGGGGGGAGGAGAGGATGGTTGTGGTGGTGGGACAGGGGGAGGTGGGGATGGCTGCGGGAGAGGAACGGGAGGAGGTGGCGATGGTTGCGGTGGAGGAACAGGGGGAGGTGGGGATGGTTGCGGTGGAGGAACAGGGGGTGGTGGCGATGGTTGCGGTGGAGGAACAGGGGGAGGTGGGGATGGTTGCGGTGGTAGTGGAACTGGAGTTGTAGCAGGCGGCTGTGGGGATGGTACCGGAACTGGCGCTGAGGATGGTTGTGTCGGGTTAATTGTACTAGGAATTGGAGGAGTAGGTTCGACTTCCTCTCCTTCTTCTTCCTCCTCCTCCTCCTCTTCCTCTTCATTTTCACCGTTGTGTATAGCGTAAACTGTCACACCTGTACGTCACAGTTAAAAACAAAACAAAACAGAACAAACAAACAAAAAAAAATAGAGAGTAGATGTTGTGGCTACGTTTTTCATCGTCAGTGATAACATGTGTTGTTAGTGTTTCAACATGTCAAGGAGCCCTGTTGTGATGTGTGTGTTACGCAGTCCGTGTAACCTTCCTCCAATCACCTCCACCACTGCTTAGTAAAAGGGATAACTGAGTTGTTGAGGGTTAAATGGGTTTGAGAAAGAGCAGAGCAGCCCCGAACAAACATTGATATCAGCCCCTCCTTTTCAACGGACATTAAGACGTAAAACAAGCGGCCTTTGCAATATTTATATTATTAAATGTTAAGCATCTTAAACTTACAATTAGCAGATTGAGTCAGTCGTGCAGACTATTTATTATTTCATTTTCCCATCAGTTTTACTTCGTTTGTATGGTGCATAGTACATTGCAGGGAGACCATACTGATGAGAAGACACTGGAGGGGCTGGAGGCGGCGGTATTGGTGATGGCACTGGTTGTATTGGAGGAGGTGGTGGGTGTGGAGGCAACGGAGCTGAAAGAACCTTTGGAATTACTCGAATTTGTGGAACTTAGTAAAATTTTCATTAAATCCAAAATGATACCGGTATGACGAATCTAGCAATCTAGTGAGCAAAGTAAAGATCTTTCTTAAGTAATTTCTAAGCTTTTTCACGTTCTAATTTCAAGCCATCACAAATAAAATCTATATCCCAAGCACTTTTTACTTTGGAGGTTGAAGAAATTAAGTAAATCCAAATGTTTACTTATTACTCTTTGATTAAGGAAGGTGAAAGTTTAGTCTGAAACCATATTTCTTACGTATGCAGGTGTTTCCTTGCATCTGATAGCCCGGTAGACATTGACAAGCTCCTTGTAAACACGTTGAATAGACTGGACATATTGTCGGGCAGCGCTTGTGACGAGCTATAAAGCAAATTAAAATCAATGGTTTATTTTTTGCCTACTATTCAATCTTAACTGCTTTATCAAATGAAGTCAACGACGTCACTTGCACCTTTCTGACGGTTATATAAACCGGGGAATATATTGGTAGAATTTCAACTCTTAGTCTGCAATGAGTTGAACCTAATCCCTATTTTCACCATAAAGTGTTCCTACACTGTACCATCTATACAGTATGCGGATTTAGTCTTGAGAAACAGGTAAGTTAATTGCAAAAATGGAAGGAAAACGTACTGTAGACTGTTTGGATGGTTAAAATAACTTAAACTGGCGAGTAAATACTAGATCGTGCAGGTTGTTAGCATTGAATTAAAATTTGACTTTTATCTTGCCTTTTACACATTGATACCCTGTTCCTATGTAACCAGGCATACACTTGCAACGGCCTCTGACGCACAAGGCGTGCACATCACACTTGGCGCACTTATCAACTGTAAAATGAAGGAGCACAAACATTATAAAGTGCTCAATTTACTATTTTTGATTTTGAAGATGGCAGTTTGAGCTTAAAACTATCTTAACTGCTCACAGACACGAGATTCTCTCACAAGGATACCAGAGATTGTTCTAAGTTTATGTGGCAAAGAGCCACTCCTATATGAGTATATCAATTATTTCTGTATGTCATTCTTTGGCAAGTAAGCCCCGGAACTTCGTCCAGTTTCAAAAGGGTTAAACTGCCCCTCTTTTTAATTGTCCACAAATTAAGGTAAAATTAGCGTGTATAACAACTGGTGAAGCTTAGCACCTTCAGAAGACAAAAAAAAGGAGACAAACAGTTTCGGTTTCGTACCTTCACAATGGGCCCCTGTATATTGCTCATCGCAGTGACAGTCATATCCTCCGACAACCTGAACACAACTACCGCTGTTTAAGCAGGGATTAGGGTGACAGTAGTCCTTGGGCTTGATAGCTGTTACAAAGTCGGTGAGACAAACGTATGAGATGTACAAGAAAGAAAGCACTACTTTAAAGTCCATTTGATGGGTAAAAATATGACATCAGACCATAACACCTGTCGAGTTTTAAGAACGAGATTTTATTTAGCTGTTTGCTTCCCATAATACCTGTCAACAACCAGTTAGGTACTTCATGAAACACTCAGTACTTAAGGCTATCATTGGGTCGGAGCCTTTGGGTGTCAAAAATATCTTTGAATATTTTGCATTGTCGTCAACCTGGGACGAGTTTTTTAATTCAAAAGGGAGAGTGTTTCTGAAACCCAAAGAATGCTTGTCATCACCAGTTTAAAGTATACAAAAAAATTGAACGTTTTTTAAGAGCCCACTCATTAATCTACTCTTTCGAAAACTGCCTTTAAATGTGCTAAAAATAGTCTGCGAAGGCTGCCATCTTAATTAATCCAACAGAAAACATGCTTGCAAGAACTTAGGCTTCGACAGGATTCAAAGCCGTACCTTCCTGACCGCAATCGCGCCTGAGTCATTTCAAGCGCATCTGGCTTTAAATTTCTCACAGATTTTTAGCTGCAAATCGAAATTAAGTGGTGATATAGGTAAAAGGACAAACAAACAAACAAAAAAACAGTACGTGGTGTTTTTTCACATCTTAGTCCCGTGTAGCCAGGCTGGCAAATACAGGTTGGCGTATTCCCAACAGGTTTGCAGATTCCACCATTCAGACAATAACCGGGTGAGCAAATCGCTGTCGAAAAGAACATAAAAAACGAAAAAGATTGATCAGACTCATTTTTAGGAGCTCAAGTAAATCTCTTTAATGTACTTGTTCATTGAGATAGGCTCAATCCTTCTCGCAAGGGTAAAGTTAGTAGCTTTATATATGTCTGACTGATTCACATCTTGGTCATTTCCACAATTTCGTTTCCTTGCCGACTCATTTTTGTTTGGTTTTTTTTTCCAATCCACTGTATGATAGCCCAAAAGGCCGCTATTTGCTTAAACTTGAAATTGCTGCGTTATCCAAAAACATGTGTTCAAGGTTTTAATTTAGACAAAGGTCGTTTATACCCAGTTTTCTAATATGTATATCATATCGTGAAAGTTTAAGACATTTTGACTGGCGTCCAGGCTTTTCCAGCGCTCATGAAGTCAGTTCCCCTTTCTCTTTTCTTTCTTTCGTTGTTATTTCTTTTCGTGTGAGACGAGGTGATGGGAAACGAAACATTTTATGCACATACCTCGGGTGAAGATGAGACATTTACGTCGTTTGTTGTTATAACTGCTTTTAAAGTGGATAGTTATGGCATAATTTCTCACCCTTTTCACAATTGGTTCCTGTGTATCCCTCTGGACAGTGACACTTGTATGCTGTGTTACTATTGATATCCTCACAAGTTCCTCCATTCTGACAGGGGTTGGATAGGCAGGGATTATTTGTTCCTGTGCGAGTTGAAAGAGTTGAGTATGATTTTCCACTTACGTAAACGAAAAATTACACTTGAAAGCCATGATAAACAGAAAATGCTTCATTACTTACTTCCTTTAGCGCATCCGTCGTCTCTTAGATCCAATCCATCTTCACAGTAGCAATCACCCTCGGCGTCACATTTCTGTGCGAAAAGAGGAGGATTTGCCGAGGGGTTTCCTTTTGGACATCCACATTCTTAAAACCAAACAAAAATCTTAGAATTCGTAGCATAAAAATGCAGTTTAGTATCGATGGTACTCGTGGAGACAATCAGCAAGTGATCATCACTTAAGATGATTTTGGAAAAAATTAGAAGCCTAGTCTCTGACCGCAGCAAAGTTTTCCTTTACAAAAATTACCTAAGACGTTGCATTTTTTTAGCGCATAGAATTGAGCAGTATCACATTCTCTCACCTTGACAAGTTGGTCCAGTAAACTTGCCTTTACACTTGCAAACCACCTTTCCGTTTTCACTTTGACAAGTTCCTCCGTTCTGACACGGATCACTTTGGCACCCATCAATAGCTAAAAATATGTATCATAGATTTTTATGAACCAGTGAAAAAATAACTTTAGTGAACGGATTAATCAAAATCATTTCATGCAGGCCATTTCACCATTTGTCAGGTAAAACGAGAATTTATCGGAGCTTGTTTTGTCGTGACCACAAATGCATAAAAGCTGGCCAGAAGCACAATATTAGACAACATATAAAGTGAGTTTCAAAAAGTGAGGAAAGCAAGGATGCAGGTTAATACTGCTGGGCTCGATTGTTCAGCTATACTTTCAAAGGGCAAGAAGCGTTTCTTGAATCTTAAGAAAGATTTGTTTAGAGAGTTCCCAAAACCACTAAGTTTGCAATTTGAAAGCTAGAGAAAACCACGAACCTTTCGAAAACTACAATAGCGATTAAATGCAACAATTCAGATGCTGAATTCATACCACATTACTGAGCACCTTTAATCATTTGTCACGTGAACGCGTTGATATTATAAATTTTTTACTAGATTCCGGAAGATATCTTATTAAAATCATGCTTATCAGTATCTCAGTCTAAGAAAATGTATACATACTCCAGTTCTTATCATAGACCTTGATATACATTTTTGTGATCAGTTTTGTGCATACACCAGTTGAGAAATGATAGAAATCAGGTGACACTTTACAGTTAAACATATCGCTTTTTTGACATACGCGGGCGTCTCTAAAATATTCAAATGTCACCCACACAAATTGGATTTGGCATGACAAAAGGTTTACTTACGAAGTTCGCAGTTTGTACCAGTGTATCCATTCTCGCAAACGCATTTAAAGCCGCCTTCTTGAGTTTGAATACATTTGCCATTATTTTTGCAAGGATTGGGGGTACAGGCATCCTTTTCTAAGGTATGATAAAATCAAGACAAAATGGTTGCTTATTAATCAAAAAGGACACCCGTTACACAGAAGTGTGATATAAGATATAAATGTGACAGGGAAAAAATTCGCATATACATGTAAAAGGAAGTATACAGTTACCTTCGCAGTGCTTGCCACTTGTTCCTGGAGGACACTCGCAGTCATATTCTCCAGCACCAAGCTCTTTGCATTTAGCTTCATTTTTACAAGGATTTGGATGACAAGGATGCGGAATTTCTGAATGAACAGAAAGAGACAGAGGAAACAAAGGAAGAAAAACAGTTCTGTAAAGTCTTTACATTGCGCTCCTTAGCCTACTAGTAACTCTTCTAAAACTATGATAAAAAAAGATGCAAATGACTATGGAGACTTACTTTTGCAGGTAAAGCCATCGCCATAATATCCTTCGACGCAAAGACAAGTCTGATTTATACATTTTGCGTTTATGTCGCAATGCTTACAGATGTCCACTGAAACAATTTGAAAAGTAGAGAAATATTTTAGATTCACCAAATTCAATTTCGATTTCCTTCGACTTAAGTTATCAAATTTTACACTTTGATATACTAATTTGCTCAGTTATGATTTTTCACTACATATCAATCTGTTTGTGGTGTGTTTTGTTTTATTTTATTTGGTTTTGTTTTTTTTCATCTAACGGGGCATTCAACATATTCTGAATTGATCAAATTTTCGGTGCACTCTGACGGGTGAGTGTAAGCGTTTCTAAGACAGCCATAGGCATCTACTTTTTATGATTTCTAAGGGACGGTTATTGACCTTTGATAGATAAAAGCGTTACGGTACATTTCCCATACGCCTCTATATATAATTAACAATTTACAACATTTTCTTGTGAATGTGTCTGTTTTTTCGGCCGGCGTAGATTGTTGGGTTCCTATGTCGTGTGACTGCCTCCTACCTTCACAGTTTGACCCAGTATAGCCCGAGCGACAAATACATAGGTAATGTAGGTGGCCATGATTCCAATTTTCAGGATACGTGTTGTAACCGCTATAAGAGTCGATGCAGATACCGTCATTTAAACACGGTCGGGTATAACATGGATGAGGAACTGAAAAAAGTATTGAAAGAAGAACCGTTTCAAGAAGTGGGTAAAATTTTCATATCATCCGTGCGTTGCCAAAAACACTATCTGCGACAAAATTAAATACCACACGCTATTTACGTCACTATTTTTAGGGAATTTTTAAGAATAAAGTATAGAAAGGACTGCATTTTGCTATAACATCCTTTCCCACTGCACAATCAGAGAATAAAGTGGAATATTGTACTGGGATGGAGGGGTAAAACTGATCTGGTGCGAAGAAAAAGTAGGTTATCTTCATATCTAGAATTGCTTAGCAACTAGAAACGTTTAAATGCGAGAAAAAAATATATATATATATATCTACGTACTTTCACACTTATTTCCTTTAAACAGAGGAGGACAAAAACACTTGGAATGTCCAAAAGATACCCTGCAGTGACCACCATGCAAGCAAGGGTTGGGGTGACACACATGACCTGTCAATCATGAAAAGGGAAATCATTCCATAACTATTGCATGATGAATGTTAGTATCAATCTCCTAGCATTCTATCCCAAACGTTGCAGTCTGATTTGCCACGTTACTAAGTATTCTTTATCATGATAAATGATAATTAAAGTTGGTAGCCTAACGTTGTGTAGTTTAAAACAGTACAAGATAGAGACGTGAGCCTGTTTTGTTGTTATGTATGGAAGGACAAGTAGATCTGAATAATAGACTAATTCGATCATTCGCTCTCGATTTCTGTACATGATAACTGATTCGGACTTCACCCTCGCCAGCCATCACGCCAGAAAAGTCTCCAGGCTATAAGCTAAGTCGTCCAGAAAAAATAAACAAAAAGGAAACCTCTTCTTTTCATTAAGTAAAAGCATAACCGTGGACATATTTCCTCGAGAGGCCAGGTTCAGATTCGGCTTATTGTTTGTTGTTATTATCTGTTTTATGGGGTGAAAACCTACTTTCACAGTTGCTTCCGGTGTATCCCAGTCTACAAGTGCAGTTATATCCAAACCCATCCTCGTGGCAGGTTCCGGCATTAAGACAAGGGTTGGTATAGCATTGCTTTGTTTCTATAAGAACAGAAAGACGTGGGGCATGAAAATGCTTCCTCTACGCCAAAAATCTGTAGAGTCGCTGTACCAAACATTTAAACAGTGAATCAAAGAAGTTGGTTTGATTAAAGAGGATCGATAACAATATTTTCATGGATGCAAAATGGTATATATATGCAAACATCTTGATGTTATATTCATACCCTAAAAATTTATGGATGAACAAACGTCATGATTATGAATTAATTTAATTACACCTGTGAGGCTATACAATCTAGTTTTAAGGTTTCAAGCCTATTTTACTTTAGAAGTCCAAAAATAAATTTCAATTCTTTTTTAAAGATCACTTAAAACCCGAAAAGGAATTTTGGCATAAGGTTTTTTGGATTTAAAATGCAGAAAATTTCAAACTTTTGCTTTGAATAATGAACTTTGCTATTATAAGCCTTACCTGTGCATAGAGTTCCTTTGAAAGATGGAGGACAAATACAGATGTAATTATCACCAGCAGTCTGCTGACAAGTTGCACCATTTTTGCAAGGATTTGGATCACACTTGTTTATGGCTGAGAAGAGAAGTCAATCAGAAAATTTATGCCCCAGGCCCACTCAAACAGATGTGCAATTTATAACCTCCATACCGCGAATTAGCTTGAAATTTATATTAGACAATTTTAAGTTAGTCTGTCTGTTCTATCGACCGCTAATTTGCTACTTAGTTAGTTAGTCAGTCAGTCTGTCAATTAGTCTGTTAATCAATTAGCTGGTTAGCAACTTAGTAAGCTAGTCAGTCCAATGGCATCATTTAATCATTTATTTAGCATGTTAGTTAGTTAACTAGTCACAATCTACGTTTTAGTCTTGTGACTGTAAAAGGATTTAACCGAAAGTACACTATGAGCGAACCACAGCAGTCATAGTTTCAAAGTGGTACTTACAGTCACAATGTATTCCTTTAAATCCTTCTTGACAGATACAGGAGAACTTTTCTTCAGAATCCGATCTAGTGCATACCCCCGAATTTTTACAAGGGTTTGGGTGACAAGGATTAGGCTCTGTAACATGAATCAAACGACAGGTAACCAGGGTGAAAAACAAAATGGTTCATTGAGTCGTTTATCAAGTGACTCATCAAAACTTAAAAGCCGATGACGAACTGAAACCAAGCTCTATCTCCAGCGCAATACTTTTAGTTGTACTTGAAGTTTCCCTTAAGAGCCTCCAATATATTTTTATATCGAGGTGTGATGTTAAGGTTGTGTTAAGAAACTGCCTTTCACATTACGATGGTAAAGAGTAAGATCGACTATTTCAACAAAGTTTAGCCATTATTTAAGAACACCGCGCTTGACCATCTTCAAACTTTTAGTCACGTTTTTTTTCAAAACGTTACTTTGTCTTAATATAGCGAAGAATTCCTATGGCTAACAGTGAAAATAACTTCATGCACTAAAAAAAAAAACCCGTGGAGATATTTTGAGGTGTCAATGGTTATCTAGATGTTCGGCTTAAGTGATACTTCATTTCAGTATCAAGTTGAAGTGCTTTCATACCTTCACATACCACCCCGAGAAATCCATGAGGACAACTGCACTTAAATGCGCCAGAAATCTCAGTACATGTAGCTCCATTCTTACAAGGGCTTGAAGCGCAGTAATTTCTATCTAGAAGGAGACGGTTGGGAGAAAAACAGGAAAAAAAAGAGAGAAGATTTTTAGTTTCTCAAACTGGTGATACTGTATAAGGAAAAACAAATATTTACCTTAAACAGACGTAAAACATTTTACCTTCACAGTTCTTGCCCCGAAATTCTTTTTGACAAATACAGAAGTATTCATGGGGTAGCTTTACGAAAATCCCTCCATTTTGGCACGGATTTAGGTGGTCTGCAGAAATAAGAAAATTACAATATTAATTTTAAGAATTACATCGAAGGAATTTCTGTTTCCGTCCGGCGTAGTAAGTTTGTTTTCCGCTTAATTTGCTGCTAAATGGAACATGGCAGACAGTAAAGGATTGCTTTTACTAGAATTATTCCACTTAGTTGCGATGTATTCACGTTCGTTATAACTAACTGAAATAATTGCATTTTAAGTTCTTGTTCTCTATTCACTCTTGAACTACCGCTGTGCTTTTCAACCAAAACTATAACAAAATGCGGGATTTGTTTCAGTAAATGATCTAGAAAGTCATCATTAAAACTTACACCTTGGGCTGTACGCCTAATTGAATGTGAAAACAGTAAATTTAATAGTTGAAACACCTTGAAACTGGTTGTAAGTTCAATAGTAACCAAAATGCGAAAAATAAATCACTCATCATTCGAGATATTATTTGAGCTCGAAGTCATCAAACACATTATTCAGTATTTATGGTACAAATTTGAAATTTCATCTTCAAGGAGGGATATCTACTGGCCTGGACTTAATCATCTCTACTTAAAAGATGACACCGAAACAGACGAATTTCGCGTGTAAAGGAACCTTCTCCGAACGAGCGAGTTTACCACCTGTTTACACCCAGTGAGAACTTTCACCTTCACCTCTTTTTCTTTACACAATGTTAAATAATCATTTTATACTTACATTTGGGGCGAAGATGAAGATGGGAGACGTGGACATGAGGCGCTACTGGGTATGGTACAGGATATGGCCTTGGGACGTACTGAACGGACACAACAGGGTACGGCTTTGGTACCAGGTGAATGTGATGATTTGCGAATGGCGGCGGTATTACATTCAAAGGGTGTGGGAAAAAATATCTTCGACTTCCACTCTCGTCTTTTACTGCCTTCGTTGATGTGGAATTTGCAATAATACTGTCCTCTTTAGCAGTAAAGCTGTCGTTATTTGCCCCTCCAACGTTGACTTTGTGGACTTTGCTTTCAACTTCATGGGCTTTGGTCTCCTTGAGGGTTACACTCTGCCGTTTACCAACAACAAGAAGGCTTGGATTGCAACAAAGGCAGAATAGTTGGTATACAGCTAGAAGTTTAAAGTAAAACATATTACATGTTATTTGTTCAGAGACGGCATCAACGAAGACAAATCATTCCATTGTTAAAAATACACTCTCCCGCTCGCCTAAACTAGTAAATTATTGATGGATCAACTGGTGCTCTGCTTCAGTGGCAGCGCTTGTAGATTTTCTTCAAATACGAACTATTGGAGAATAATATCATATATCTTGATCTGATAACAAAGACTAATTATTCGAATTAATGGAAAAATTCTCTGAAAAGGGAGAGCTGATGAACATGTTCAAGGTAATTAAACTATCAGGATTAAACGAGGAACAAATAAAAAACTAAACTGGTTTTTTGTGATACTTCAATCAATGGATTAAACTCACTGGTGCTGCGGCCATCACCAGAAATTAGTGGAAAAGATGTTTCCTTCTTCAATTAGTCATGTTTGTGAGAATCTAAACCTTAGTTTGCCATTAAGGTTAGCATGTGACTAAAAAAGTGTTTACAATGATTTAATGTTTAGGTTCCGCCCAAAGACTCTTGCAAGGGAAAAATATCTCATAAAATCAATTTGAAAACCTCCTGTCATCCACGGTAGTAGTCAGATGAATGGAAACATGGCTAACTTTTGCAATCTTTAATTTTTACTCAATTGAATAAATTCATTATGAAAGATTACGTTGCTACAAATCTAACAAATCCAAACATGTAATGCTCATCTTTGCCTCTGACTAAGTTGTGCAGTTTGCTCTTCCAAATTCGTGTAAAAGGCCGTTATACCTGAATGCACTTACTGACATAACAGTTAAACATTAGAAAAGGTGAGGTCTTATAATTTACCCTCGTTATTTGGAAGTCCCTTCGATATACACGGGGTAAGTGGATCTTGACGTGTGGGATAAGTGGGTCAACTTTTTCAAAGAAAGTTACTACTAGTGAATAAATACGAGACATTTCTAGCCTATTCGTTGGCTAACTCATCATACTGATTCAAGTAGTTTTAAAGGAGTTGCATCGCTTGTTATTTACTGAAAATATCTTAAAAGACCTAATTTAAGGTACTAGTCAACGCCACCTGCCATAGCAATCAAGGGTGAAGATAAGATTAATTTATTGTCCATTATTTGCAACTGTGTTACTATTCACGGATGACAATGCGCTGTCAAACTTTATCGATTATTACCTCATTATGATTGTATTGTCTTTGAAATGTTTTAAAAGCAAGTTTTTAATTGAAATGAAAGAATTAAATTTAAATTTAAAATTCTCCCGAAAACTAGCAAAATTCCGGTTCCTTCGCATATGATTTTAATCCAATGAAAACCTGAACCTCATTTCGATTAATTTTGTTTGCGAACTGAATACCATTCAGAACGTGACCGATGTCAAAACATCTGTGCATATATATGCAGGTGCCTTACGGTGTTTTATCCTCTATGTTTGTCCAACACGACCAAAGCGTTTAGGAGGAATATTAGTGCTCAAGACTTTGCTGTTGTTGGTATAACTGACCAGAACACGCTTTTAAATTTATTACTGCGTTCCATGAATCGACTTTGAAGACATAATAGGGCTGATGAATTTTGCTTTTTCTGCTCTCATTACTTACAACCGTGGCAGGTATCAAGTCCTTTACAAGCAATATTTATTGCTGCCGTATTTTGCTTGGTAAAGCATACTTTAGGCACAGCCAAGAAGAAAAGTAAGTAAGAACTTATTAGGAGAGAACTATGAGGCAAATATTGAAGCAAGTTTATGCAGATACGATTTTGAATCAACAAAACTCATATTTCAAATCGTATACTTTATTGTTTTACTTTAACAAGGATGTATTTCAGCGCGGCTATTTTGAGACATCAATGATGGGATCTTGTTTTGAAGCCTTCAAATTGCCTTGGATCAATGTTTCTTTTATCATGATGTAGTTTCATCACTCGTTTTTTTTTTTTTTTTTTTTTTTTTTTTTCTTCTTTTAGGTTTTTTCAAAGATTTTTTTGATGGCAATGTCGCTGCAACCGTTTTCCTAACATTCGCAAGTTAGCAAATTAATTACTCGTCAATAACATCCAAAAGAAAAGGAACAGGATCGCTATCTTGCACATGCTAACAACTACCTTTCCTTGTTACATATACAAAATACTTTTATAACACGATAAACAAATGGGCTATCCAAATTTTGCAAACTATATTGATCTTTAAAAAGTTAATAAACAACTGATCAAAATTGATTTTCAAAGGTTGAATATCTGTGAAACATTGTCTCTCAGTCATGGTTCTCTCGATATCAACGATACTACAAATATACCGTCGTCAACGTCACATTAAATTGTGTCTCCTTACATCACTAGATTTGTAACTACTTTCAGCAGCTTTAAGAGTCTTTACTACATCAAAACTACAGTCTTGATAGGTAGATGTCCCTAAAGGTAGGGGGGATCTTTTCCGTATCATCTCTTCTGAAGTAAGCGCAATTATTTCTCATCTTTACGTGTGTTTCTCTTCTAGATTCTTAACCAGTGATCTGTAAAGACAAGACAGGATATGACTCAGTGCGGAAACATCTTCAATAAGTCCAAGCTGTATCGTTTGATTGTTACGTCACTGACGTTTTTTGTCCACAGGTTCTTTTTCCTCTACTTCAGACTCCTGTGTAGACCATTCAAATGCAGAGGGTAAATCCATGAAAAATTCTCTAACTAACCAAATGAAAGTTGAAAGTCTTGAATTCTGGAAGAGATCTTAAACCTAAAAGTCTTACTTCCTCTAACAATCTCCTAGATAAAGTTTTTATTTCCAATTGTTGATTCGTAATTTGATGTTGTTTCCTCTTTCGAAGAGGCTTTCCTCTCTTTGTTTATTAATATTTAACCTCATGACATATCAATTCCATCTCCTATTTTCTTTCAATAATTCAAATGTTTCACATTTGTTTGTAAATCCAAAGAGGGCATGCACTGACGTTGTTATCCCACGTACAAACCTACTTTTTCCCAGCTGAAGGAGGCAGGCAGGTTCCTTGAACACACGTGCTCGGTAGAGGGCAGTTGTTGCACTGATTGACAGCTAAATCAAGAGTAGAGAAGGATAACAATTGTAAGTAAAGTTAGATGCAAAAATAAAAATGAAATTGAAATCTGTGCAATGACCTTACGGAGTAGGCCGAAATATATAATCTGTCGGTAGAAGATACATACACAACAGGGTCTGAGACCAGACGAGGAGCATCAGGGTAGTATAATACATAGGTAATTAAGGCAGAGTATATCACACGATGATCATTGATCTGGACTTATAGACCAACTGCGTTTTACTTCGCTAAGTCGGTGCACTTTAGATAGAGTATAGAAATTGTTCTTAATTTCAATAAACAGGAAATTATTCCCATTTATAGAAAATAATTTGTCTTCTTGTATTGATAGTACCTCTTAGTTATTCGCTTAAGACCACTAATTTATTCTTACAAAAATTTTTTTTTACTGCAAGCACCCTTTCTTTTGATTTTAGCACAACCTGTCTATAGACCTAGTTTCCCCAAAATCATCGTCCTGAGGGCGAGCGACATGATGGACGCAAATCCCTTTGCCCGTCGACGCCTGTAGACGCCATAAAAACTCAGAGTAGAATCACTTGCACTATTTCTTGGTGTGTCACTCACCTCTGCAATTATATCCATTCCCATGGTAGGGTTCAATGCAGACGCAAATGCCATTTTGGCATTGAGCGAATGGACTGCATCCCTGACACTGAGTATCTTTTTCTGCGGCAAAAGAAGCAATAAACATTGATGCAATATCTCAGGGAAAGACAAAAAACAAGGGAATATTAAATGGTAATGTTCTCTTTCAAAAAAACTATTTGTCTGGTAGCCTCAAATTGAGATAAAACCGAAAAATGCGTACTATGACGAGTCCTTTTCGCAAGTTCGAGAAAAGCACGATGAAGCAGCTCACACACAATAAGTGTATATTATGTTGTGCGAAATAAATCCCAGCAGCAACTCATCGAGGGCCTGGGTCAGGGGTTTTCACGATTAAGTTTGACCGAACTATACCAGCTTCTACTTTGTTCTTCCTTCATACATCGAAACGGCTTTCCGGACAAAATTCACCTCTGATTATAAAAATGTACCTCGCTTTGTTCGTGGGTTATTTGTATTAGTAAGGTAGAAATGCCGCGTTGGTCATTAGATAACAATATATATTTTCTATATATTGGACAATGGAGACGAAAGCATATGACAAGTAAATAAGCATTCTTCTTACCTTTTTCGCATTGGTACCCATTGCCATAATATCCATGTTTGCATTTACAATGGCCATTAACGCAGATCGCGTCTATGTCACACTTTTCACATTCGTCAACTGCAAACCAGTAACAAACAAAGAGACCAAAACAATTAAAAACCCCTTTCCTTTACTAGAAAGACTAAAAGCTTCGAAGAATTTTCAATTTGCCGTACTCACGAAATTATGAGTAGGCAGAGACGCATCATTTTGTTCTGAAAATTGTGTGAATGATTATGTAAAACTCTGCGACACCTTTTTGGTTATTTTAGACAAATGCTTTAGAGAAATTTGTGGAGAAGGCTGTGGCCATAATTTAATTTTTTTTTTTAAAGTCCGTCATTGACAAACGCATTCCCTCCACTTTTATGGTTACAGATATGAATGAAATGGTAACTCTTTAAACAATTTATTGTCTTAAACCTTGCGCTTCGACAAAGGAAGTCTCGCAAAGGTTTTGAGATTAAAAAATATATATTAATGGTTCTTACTTTCACAATTAGGTCCGCTGTATTGAGTGACGCAGGCACAGTCATAGCCACCTCCATTCTCCGTACACGTTCCTCCATTCATGCAAGGATTTGGGTGACAAGCAGACTTTAAACCGCCTGGTGTCCCAGGACCCCCGGGAACCACAGGATTACCACCTAAAGCAATTGTTCATTAGCCATGTCTTTCTTAACAACCAAGAGTAAGATCGATCAGGCCCACTGGTGTGCACTGTATCCTTAAATCTACTGCTGAAATTATTTTGATGACAAAATTTTTTGAAACTTTAAAGAATGCTGTGTTTAAACAAATAATAGACAGCTGGTAACGATATGCATAAATGAAATGTTATATTAAGAAGAATGAAAGAAAATAAGAAAAAATAAAAGGTGGATACTGATTATCGATGGTGACATGCCCCCATCGAATAGTTATGTTTGAGTATCAATCAATCTTTCTTAAAACAATGATTCTATGGGGAGACAATGTCTTCTTTAGCAATGTTCCTGAAAATTAATAATAGAAATTTACCTTTAGGCTTTTCGCAAAATTCTCCTTCAAACTCCTCAGGGCAAGTACAGACAGGTTTTCCGTCTACAGCTGTGCACTGTCCCCCATTTTGACATGGATTTGCATCACACGGGTTGTTCCTCAATCCTAACTCACAGTTTGTGCCTGAGAAGCCCTCTTGGCATAAACACTTATAAGAATTATCTTGATCAACACACTGGCCGCCGTTTTGACAAGGATTCGGATCGCATGGATTGGAGCGTGAACCGGGTGCTGAAAGAAAACACCGTGTAAAAAAAAGCAGTATGCAATAAAGCAGAAACTGGTCAGCTCAAGCTTGAGACAAAAAAGAGCAGTATAAGCTAGTTCGATGTCAAAATAAGATTCAAATCACGGGAATCTATGATCGAGTAAATAGAAATAAAACAACAATTATCATTCTAGAATTATACATCCTGACAATGTTAATCCTTTTTTATAGATGTCTATTTTGAAGGCAGCTATTATTTGTAATTATCAAAATCTTTGTCTTCTTTTGGAAATGTCTCAGCCTCATTTATTTTTGTCGCTAGTTGCTTGGACCGCTTACGAACTATGCAGTGTCAATCAGCATCGTTTCAAGTTGCAATTAGACTTCTTGATCATTCGATCAATAGACTACCAAATTTCCACAATTCTCTTTGTTATTGCAGAATTCTCTGTCATAAAATGCGTTACGTAAGTTCTCTTGAAATAATTATTGAAAAATATCAAGTGAAAAGTTGAAGAATATTCTAAAGGATATTGTTACTAAGCTAAAGGAACAAGTGTGATAGGGAACATGGCAATGTCTTGTTCTACGCAAAGTGACAAATTATCAAGATTCAAACGTTGTCCCCGTCGTATGTGGAAGCTTCTTTATCTCAGCATTTATTAACTGTTGTTATATTCACTAGAAGCCCAATCAGAGATTTCATTCCACGTACACGGCTACAAAAAAACTGGATGGTTACGTCGAGTTAGCGTATCCGCAGCATAAGCTGCACATGAAAGATGAATGACACGAGATGAACGCAAACCAAATTAGATAGTTTGGTAATGACGTCATCTCTGCGTCTTCTAATGGATCATATGAAGGAATCAACCAATATGTATGTAAAACTCAGCTTTTCAGGTAAATGGCAAGTGGAGAGATAAGGAAGGTGTATCATTGGAAGCGGAATGATAAGCCTTCTAATGGTCCCTTTGAGAGCAGGTAAGAAGCGCTAGCACAAAGTGCGCGTGCAAAGACAAGGACCAGGAAAATCGTGTCGAGCGCATGAAGTAGATACTGAAAAATTACTATCCCTACGTAAAGGAATGAGGACTGAGTGATGTAGTACTTCCTTTTACACTGTCATTTTGACATAGAGCCAACTATCAAAAACAAGTACAAGTTATTGTCATAGTAACTTACAAATAGAAGAGACGAGCAAAGGAAACATTCTTACCACGATATCTTAATATGATTTTTTTCTTTATATTTCTAAGTAGTTGACCAGAGATCCGCATGTCATGTGCGTGTTACTTTTTTTCCCGGATCAAGCCCGAGCTCTAACTACCTAATCTGCTTAATTGAGTGTACCGGCCAAAAGGATACTCTTTTACTCTTCCAATATTACACCACAGTTATAATTGTACGTGAAAGAAGTAATTTCGAAGTAAGCGTTGCAAAACCACTGAAAATAACTTGCGCATAGTTTTCGTAGGCTAATTTATTACTCTCATACCACTTCAAATATTAATCACTACAATGATAAGGAGATGCAAGCTACGTTTTTTTTTAAATATTACATAGTCTATTTTTTGGAATCGTATTCTATCCTATTTTGCATTCCATAACATGCATCCATCAGATTGTCTCTAAGTGGTAATGTGGCGACTGTGTCGTGCTCTCCGTCCAGTATTGTCCAGTCCTTTTCCTATTTACAAGTCGTGGTCACTTGACCGTACAGTTGTTGCTGTCATCAAGTTAACTCGGTTGCAAAGGCCATGGGAAATGATAAAACACAATATTCCCCCTAACGAACTCTCGAGGGTAGTCGGTGGAAGGAAATAGGAGGAAGATCTTCCTTAGCTAGCTGGAAGATCTTATGAACCAGGAGGACCGTAGCCACCTTGGCTACTTGAAGGGCTACTTGGTATCGGGCTAGAGGCAGGAGCACCAGGAGGGCTGCTTCCTGATATGCTTCCACTTCCTGGTGCTATTTTGGAAATAAACACGTTTTTAATGGTTCTTCATTGCTCTTGATTTATTACGAGGTTAAGCACGAACTTTACTTTAAAAAACAAACAAACAAAACAAAAAAAATCAGAAAAACACAAATGCAAAAGCAGCAAATATAGAACTTTTACCCTTCTGCTTTCAGCCTTTTTTACACTTAAACGATTTTTTATTGACCACGAACAGGAGATCTTTTTGCATTCTTTAGTGGGATTGATTTAATGTCTTTAGAAAATTTGATTTCATTTATGCTGATTTCCTTAAAAAAAATTCCATTTTCTTTGAATTCAAAGCAAGACTACAATCAAAGTTGGTTTACTTACGGCCTCCTTTGGGTGTGCATGTTTGTCCATCACCAACCCATCCCTCCATGCAAACACAGTTCCCATTATCACAGCGAGCATGCGAGTCACATTTGGCACATTTGTCAACTGTAATGAGCAAAATTATTACATTATAGTGATTCGCGTCTTTACTCTGAAACTCAAGACACTGAATGGCAAAAATGTTTATACAATTTTTTGTGTGGGGGTTCCACGGAAAATGTAATCAGGAGCCAGAAAAATAAACCAACAGAAGCAACGGTAACTAGCGTGTGTCTCTGCTTTTTACTTTAGTGTGATTAGTCAGTACGCACTTCTTACTTGTTGCTTCCGATAAAAAAGTTTTTAAGGATTCCTGTGATTCATAACGAGGGGCAGTTATTTAGTTCACATTCGTTCATTCACAGGCTCGTTTGAGAATTAAACTCTCCAACAAGCTGATCGTATAATCTACAAGTGAAAATCATGTGCTTAAGAAATAAGTAACAACGACTTGTATGTGTCATATTTTGAGCATGTATGTGTACTTACTGTTACAGAAATTCCCTTCGTATTGTGGAGTGCATTCACAAGTTGCCACCCCATTCATTTCTTTACATGTACCAGAGTTTTGGCATGGGTTCGGGGAGCAAGGATTTGCCTCTGTAAATATGATGATAATGAATTATGAACAATGTGCAGACTTCAATTTATTCTGAAGATGAATAAAATTTTCAAGGAAAATCCCTTGGAGGACGTGAGTAGAAAAAATACAGCAAAATAAAACAGTTTTGATGTTTTTAGGCTACATGAGAAATAATGTAGGTAATATTATACGACGCTAAATTGAAATGATTTCAACTCCATTGAGGAAAAATATCAAAATTGCAGTCGGAAAGCAATAAACTTGTCAACTCGAATTATTGGCTGTTCAAGGACAAAAATTTGCACCATTTTAGAAAGGTGAATTTAACAATCAAATGCTAAAAGAATTACATCAAATGATTCATCGTTTATTTTCATGGGACAGCAGTAACAAGTTAAAGAAAATGAACGACATTTTTTGAAAACATGGAAGCGTGATCTAATATGTTAAAACACTCATCAGAACAAAGAGTGCGACATTAAGGAGAATTATGAAGATGTCTGAAAATGTGAGAGGTTCACTCACTGGAGTATTACTCAAGAATCATGTGATGATATTCACTTACTTTCGCAGTCATTTCCTTCAAAATTACTGAGGCAGCTGCACCTGTAACCATTTTCTTCAGGGATGCAGGTTCCACCGTTTTTGCAAGGATTTGGAACGCAGTATTGTCGAGCTAGAGTAAATACCGAAAAAAACATTGTTTTATCACATAAGCTGCGGTGTTATACAGGGATTTCCGGCCTTGAGAGAGACCGTAACAGCACAAGTAAAAAATATCGTATTTTTTTTACGTGTGTTGATATAGCCAATCAGCTGCTGACACGTCAATCGCCTTTGGCGCCACTCGGTCAGGTTGATGAATGAACGGCAAAGCCTTCACAATTCTCAATACAAGTTGTTTGTCGGAGCTTTCTCGAATTATGGCGGCTAAAACACTAAAAATTCCGTATCGCTGACAGACAGTGAGGTTCAAACTTTCTTAGAAGGGGAAGAAAACCAATATACTAAAAGAAAAACCGAAAGTTACGTATTCAGTGGCTTTGGTGTTAGCATTTCTGAAAAACTACTTTAAGAGTGCTTTATAAATAGTACTTTATAGCTTAAGAAGAAAATTGAATTCAGTGCAGAAGTATTGTTTTGTTATCCTTGAAAATTCTTGCATTTCATTCCTCGCGGCGACAAGAGCGCGTGTAGTTCGTTTTTAGTTTTGATTTGACCTTGTACATCAGACTCATTTCAGTAAACGATGACTGTAAAGTATGGCGCTGATTTCTTCCACTTACTTTCACAGTGTGGTCCAGTCCATCCCAACGTGCATTCACAGTCATAAGATGAGTCAGTTGGAAGACAGCCTCCACCGTTTTTACAAGGATTAGGATGACAAACATTTTCTATAAGCAAAGTGCATTATTTTTATACCCAACAATAAAGATTTTAACACAAGTAACTACAAATTGCAAATTATTTATTTAAGGTGGATACGAACAGCCTCTCCTCTTTGTGACTTTTTGCGTAAAATTGAATCATATAAGGATTCAACGGATCTTAATGGAAATTGCAACCAATAGAGTTATCATTTTACAACACGCGAAAACTTCAAACTTACTGTGAAAAGTAAACGTGTATAGATCTAATATGTGATTTTAGAATTCAGTCGTGGAGTTTAAATAACGTAGAAAATCTGTATTCTACCTCGAGGATTCGAGCGGAAGAAAACTCAATTTCGTGGTCGCATTCTCCAAAAACTGAACTACACAGCTCTAACTACTTATCTCAATACAACCTATGTTCATTTATAGAAACCACAACTTCTAAGACAGAAACCGAGTTTTCTACTCTGATACTTACTCTTGCATGTTTTTCCGTCTCCATGATAACCCTCGCTGCAAACACAATGGCCCAAAATGCATTCTGCGTTTGGACTGCAATATCGACAACTATCATCTGCCAATGCAAAAGAAAATTATACCTAAAGATGATTAATTTTGTGAAGGGAAAAATGAATTGGTTTTTTATCAGTTTATTAATTTATTTCTTATTTTTTGAAGCCAGTTTCCTCCTGAGGCTATTCAGTTTTAGTGCAACTTGATGGCTAGCTTGATAATAGGCTAAGTATGATGCCAAAAATGTTGATATTGTCTGGCACATACGAGGACCTTCCAACATCTCCAAAAGACATGCAACGACGAATCAATATCGTTTTGTTTTATCCGTACTGCGCCACTGCAACCATCGATGCCGTTCTTTAGTGGGCCTGGAAAGTTTCACATGGTATTTACCGCAGAGCAAAAAAAGTAGCTCCAAACGTAATCTATTGTTTTTCTTAATTGTATAGAACTGAGGAGATATCTCGCCGCGGGACTGGGGCTCACATGCAAGCCTGGTGAAACTGAATAGGATCTGACAGCACCTTCTACATTACATAGCGATAAAGAGCCGACAATAATAAGGATATCAACCAAAGTTTAAGTGATATAAGCCATTCAAATATTATGAAAGGAATGGTTTATGCTTTACCCTCGCAGTTATGCCCAGAGAAAGGAGAAACACACTTGCAAATGTATGACATTCCATTCTGTGAATAGTCTGCGAAAGAGGGACCGGCGTACATATTTGATTCCCCATTGTTGTGTAGAAAATATGTATCCACGCAGGTTCCTCCGTGGAGACAAGGGTGTGATAAACAGGCACTCATTACTAGAAATGTAGGCAAAAGCCGAAAGTTAATCAATGTTGCAGAGCAGCATTAAACATAAGGATGACAGGAATCATGATAGAGTGTCAATGATCAAACTCTGAACGTGGTCAAAGTCGTTGCTAAACAGGAATTAATGGGTTACATTCATTTTCTATAACAAAAGTACCTGAAACTAGTCAAATTCAATCGAAAATCAAGGAAATCAAACAGATAAACAAACTGGTGTTCCTTAGGAACAGTTGCATTTTTTGCAAAGTGTCATCGACTTTCAATAGTCGAGTTTCCTGCTTCCTTTTTTCCCACATTTTTTCTTCTGAAAAAATTTCTTATAATCCTCTTTATTTCTGTCTTTTTTAATTTGAATTTTTTGATCGTAATTATTTTAGGTCAGCCCAATTCACCTACATTCACATCTGTCTCCATGGTTACCAACTTGACAAACGCATCGGTAAGAGGATCCCTCTTCCAAACAAGAACCGCCATTGTGACAAGGATTAGGTTTACAGACGTGATCTGATGAAATTTACAACTCATATTATACCCTCGCTCAGAATCTGAGTATTCACCAAAGTGGAGGTGGCTAGTGGGGGATATTTACTTGGAAGCGAAGCGATGAAGTTAATATCCACCACTTTCCATCGACTCTGAGGGCAATATTATATTTTTGTAGTATAAACTAAAACAGTGCTATAGTATTGCAGAAGAAAGATGATTTTAACTCATACATTCCTGCAAAGTGTACGTTGCTCTTAGGTGAATAACAAAGGATAGTCGGTGTTTGAGTAGCCTATAAGAGCGCGCCTTCACGCTGTCCTCTGTTTTAATATATATCAATACACGCTTCGCAAACACTCTATGTGAAAAAAAAATGAGACCGTTATTTTGATCGAATCGAACTAAAGATAAGTGATTTGCAAACTCATTCAAGTTTTGAAACAAAACCAGAACTAAAAGAATAGGACCATTTTACCGGAATAACAACGATGACTGTAAAGAAAGCACTCAGTAGATTATGTTGTAAATATCCGTATATTTAGCTAACATTTGATTCTGGTTTAGATTAATGTCAAGACGTGTGTTCTAAGATCATTCAGGTTAAATACTTTGGCACTTAAATTCAGCTTCTGGCTAACTCACTAACACTTGAACATGCAACTTTCATGTACAGACTTTATGTGGATAACGACTGTTCTCATCGCTAAGTCATTTATTTGAATAATTGCACCCATCTGTTTAACAGTAATTCAGAAGATGCAGTTTACACTTACGCTGACAGTTGATGCCACTGTAGCCGACCCTGCAACTGCACCTATATCCGTATGTCTCATCAAGACAGGTTCCTCCATTCATACAGGGATTGGAGAAACAAATGCTCCTTTCTGCAGTACAAATGAAAACAAAGAGGCAGATAGTTTTTTCAGTCATTATCTTCATACAGGCTGATACTTCAAAGAAATCATTCAGTTCCCTCTTTCTCTCTTTGACAAAAGAAGATCTGTTTCTATGAATGTTCAATTCCTTCTGAATTACTCTTTCTATCATGTGAAACTGAGAGGATAAAAGAATAGAAAAGAATCAGAAACAAAATGAAATACTATTGAATCTAAAGAATCTGTCCAATAAATATTTAAGAATGTGCTGTAGGAGCTTGGCGCTGCCTTAATGTCTTTAAATAGTTTAAATATTTATCAGTATCAATACCTTCACACGTTACACCTTTGTATCCAATAGGACAAGTACATTCGTATCGCCCTCCAGTTCTTTCTGTGCATGTTGCACCATTTTTGCAGGGATTTGGAAGACAGAGATTGATTTCTGCAAAAATAAAAATTTAATTCATTGATGTATTTTCACCGGCTCTTATACTCATACACAGCTTACTTTCACTAACTTATATTTTCAAACACAAGCAATAGCCCTCGGAAAAAGATATGATAAAGATAATATAATATGATTTAATATAAAAGAGTTTTTTTAAAAAAAGGGAAAGGAAAACTCGGCTTCTTGTCCGAAATGTTTTTCGCAACAATTTTATTTTTTGAGGCCAAAAAATTCATGGTATTTAAATTAATTGTTTTTCGTTCCACCCATTGTTTTCTTTAGGCAGTCATCTATGAAAGATGAGATCTGCACTCTCGACGGTTTCTTCTCACGTTCTGGTTCACCCCGATAAGTGAATACCTTGTCACTGTCACACGAAAAGCACGAGTCGTAAGTCAACTAAACTGCTCATGTCCGACCCAACTCGCACTCAGGCCCTACGGTACTCATTAGCGACCATTGGCAGCTGGACGATTACCCAGCACAGACGCAGGGTCTGCAATTTAAAATCTAGTCAAATTAAAGCTGCGTTCTTCAACCGCACAATTACAGTCTGTCCATTCAATCGCATGATGATAAAAAGAATTACCCTGACGTTTTAATGATTAGCATACTGTTACAAGTATTTTAGCATGATATGTAACATACCTTCGCAGTTCTTTCCCTTGTAACCCTCTCTACATGTACATTCAAATCCTTCTCCTTCATTGATACCCGTGCATGTGCCTCCATTTCTGCACGGATTTGGATGACATTTGTTCTGTTCTGTATTTAACACAAATATGGAAAATCTCATTTTAATTATTATTTTCAAATGAAATTTGGTCAGTGGATTACATTTTACTTATTTTTTAGAGAGAATAAGTAAAGAGCGAGTCCTTAAAAAAACAACAACTCTTTGAGATTTTTAATGAGAAAACCTGAAAAAAAAAGAACTCTGTGGACCTTGAGTTAATTAGGGTAAAACTCACCGACATGTTGACCTCGGAAAATAAACACTTTTACCGAAATAAGTAGATTATATCCGTTTGATTTCTAAGCACGATATTTGATTTGGCCTCGCCGTCATCAACAATTAGACTATATTGAAATCTTGAGCTCATGATTTTGTTCACAAATAAAAGTATTTTTTCAAGTTTTACCTTCGCAGTTCTCTCCTCGGTATCCTTTAGCGCATGTGCATTCGTAACCTTGTCCTACGTCATAGCAAGTGCCTCCGTTTTTGCAAGGGCTGGGCTCACACTGACTTCGCACTAGAACACAACATTAGGCTTAGATCAGATGTACTGATGATAATTAAGAGAAATCTGTCTCTAATAATATCACATCGGCTACCTTATGCACAGTCACATTACGTCTTTGAACTATCATTAAAAGATGCGGAGCACCCTAGATACAGCCCAGATTATACCCCCTCCCCCCTCCCCCTTTACTCCCACTAGGGACTAGGGTAGTTGATAAAGGTAGTTGGTGCGATAACGCCTCGATAGAAAATTGTTGGCCTTCGTAACATTTTCAGTAACATTGAATCGCGAGACTGATCAGATTACCGCAATTTTCCAACCTTAGTTGTCCTTAGCAAGTAATTTTAACTTTCCAAAATGTCAACACGAAAAAAAAAATCAACACATCCGAATAATCAGTATACTTTAGGGAGAGTTAAAATTTCTCAAGGGGTTATTAAGATAAGTCTTACGTTCACAATGCGTTCCCATAAATCCTGGTGAGCAGGTACATTCATATCCGTGAGCGACAACAGTACACGTGCCGCCATTTTGGCATGGAGTTGGCTCACAAGTGGAATGAGCTGAAATTAAAACACATCAGATATATTTTTACTGTAATTATTGGTTAACAATTGGCTCATACGTCAGCGTGCGTTCATCGAGATATGAAGCACGCGGGAAGTTTGGAGAGCACGAGAGATGCGTAAGAGTTGCGTAGCCGAGAGCAATTCTTACACTCTAGCTTCTTGAGTGCTCTCCAAACTTCCCAAGTGCTTCATATCTCGATGAACGCACAGATTACGTATGAACCAATTGTTTTATAACATTTTCAACCCGGTGGAAATTTTTTTCTCGAGGGATTTGTTTGCTGACGTCATGAGCGTGCACAATAGGAATATGAAGCACGCTCGCGCAATTGAATTTGATTAGACAAATTTACCAGCTATATTATAATTTAGTTTGAACGTATTGCCTTTTTTTAAATATTGGTTCTCGCCGCCATGTAACAACCTTAGTTACCGGAAACCTCCTTTTATAGCCATATATTTGCAATGTGTATGGGAACAGTTTTTTTCCTCGTGCCAGGCTTCTCTTCTAAAGAGACGGCACGCCTTTAATCTTTATTTTGGAAAGAATTTCGCGACAAACACCAAATGTAACATTTGTGACTTTGACATCCAGGATCAGTGACCATGCAAATCCCTAATTCGTGAAAGGATGGTTTTGAACATTTGGTTTTTGCAAATCTCTGTTCTGTTCACGGAAATGCTGCGAGTAATTTTGTGTACTTATCAAAAACATTGACCACCTGCACAAACTCAAAAAAGGAATTTCAACAAGTGAAACTTAATTTGCTAGCCAGGTTCCTCAGTCAAAAAACAATGGAATAGCAAGGTAATTTCAATTTTTTCCTTTTCTAAAGAATTCTAAATAATATTCAATCAAAAAAAGTCTAAGTACGTAAAGGAAAAGAACTTATCACGATTTTTTTCAAAAACCCCCTCGTTGCGCAAGCGGAATATCACGATGAGCTAAGGTGATGATAATCTGCACCTCTGTTGTTTTGTAAACAAATTCCATATCAAATTGTCACAGTATCTTAAATGTACAACACCTCTGATTAGCAAGCTTCCAACAATTATGAAAACCGAAGTGTATCAATTATACTGTAGCATAATGAGAAAGAAACTATTCGATAAACTTCAAATCCTTTTAACGAGAAAGTCGTTCTTTGTATGAAAGGAGTTTTATCGCTGCTTGGAAATACGGACACGCGTTTCTTTTTCAATAAATCATGAAACAGTCGCTTTTCTTGGTTCGTCGGCTTTCCAATCGCCCATAAGATCTCTCAAAAATCATCGGATGACCTATTTTCACTGCGGGAAGAATATGGCCCTTCATTAGTCACTTGCCGGAAACATTTGACCTACCTGGGTGATGATGTACAATAATTCTGTGAATATGTGGAAATGGACAATTAAGACATGGTAATCCGGGCACAAACTGTCTTTTACTTTGGGCCACATCGTTCATTTTATGTTTCGTCGCCTCCTTGAGCCTTTTGTGTTGTTCTGATTTATGCAATGAACTTCTTTTCCAAAAGGCAGCGGCATTATTTTGTCCTTGTCGCTGGCTTTTGCTTCCGCTGTGGTTCTCCCTTATTCCCTCCGTCTTGTGAATTACGACTAATAATACCAAGATGGCTAAAATTATAAACGATACTTTCATGTTGACAACGCTATTTTTCCCATGAAGGTAAACTTAGTGAAAACGTCTAAACTATAGCCATTTTTCGTCAAAGCTTCTGGTTGTTATGAATTAATCATGTCACGTGCCCTCTTTAGACAAGACAGGTCATCTTTGGCACTTTATTGGCTCAAAGAAAATCTCCGGCCATTAGGACCTGTTGCAACTAACTAATCAGTTCTTACAATAAATCGTTTACAAACTTACTGCTGCATCTTACCTTCTTTTCTAGTACAGCAATAAATTGGCTCTTGATCCATGACTAAGACAAAATTTTCTCTAAAAGAAACAAAACGATGATTGCGACACGCTCTCGCTAATTTGTGTTTGTTAACCGCAATTTGTCCGTATGTTCCCTTTTTATTAAGTAGAAATTGAGCTCTGAGTAATGTTTGATAAAACCTATATCAAGTCACATTTGAAAAGGCCGTGGATAAAACAAGTCTAACAAAATCTAGGAAAGTGGTAAATTTGTGTAAACATATGGAACCGAGACAACATACTGACCCTTCAAGTTGGATGGGTCTAATGGTGACCCCATATAACAGAACTGTGCAATGAGTGGTTTGCCTTTATTTTTACACCTATGTTAAGTGGTCTGTTTATATCAGTTGTTAAACCTTTTGTTTGTGACGTTATTATTAGTTTAACAACTTGTGTACATTAAAATTCTATTAGATAACGCGATGATTTCTCGCTCCATTTTTGCTGAGAATTGTTCTTCAGCTCTTGCCTGATGACAAATAAAAGAGATTTTTATGGTGTCATCTTCATCTTCTGTTTATTATAGAAAGATAGCGTCATGACAAGAAAATTTTTACGTGATGAAACATACACTCCGGTTTTCCTTCTTGTTGTGTTCTATGAGCGGCGTAAAGGCTTCTCCTAATTCTTCATGTTTTGTTTGACAGAAATTAAGACAGTAACTACATCCTGTTTTCCTTATCTTTGACCAGAGATGACTAATCAATGACTGATGAATATTTATTTAAGAGAGTCACCCAATGTACCTCCACCTCGACGTTGACTCTGTCATCAATAAAAAAGAAAATTGACGAAAATCATATGAGGCCAAAATGGCGATCGGGTATTTTTGCTACTTTTAAATGTTACGTATTTCCTCAGGAAAGCCTCTAAGATGTTTTCTCTACTATTTACTTTATTATTAATTTTTTCATTTTTAGCGCAAAGCGATGGTAAAGCGGTGCTAGATATCATCAAGTTTAGGAGGTTAAGTTTGGGCAACAGGTGGCTGATGAAGATCATATTCAAGGAATTCGTTTATCACCCAAGTACAATGAAAATAGGTTGAAAAAACAATGAAGTCCTCCACTTTTGTAAAGATGTCGGCAGTATAAAGGCGGAGTAGACACAACACTGAATACGTGTCACTACGCCAAGACCAATCGAACGGACGACAATGTTGTCAATCAAGAAATTCAAGAACTCAGGCCAAAACCGCCCCTTTTTTTCTTTTTTCTTCTTTATTCGTTCATATTTCCCTTTTTTCTTTCGATGCTTTAAGACATAAGCGTTCCTGAATGCCACAGAAAATTGAATATTTGAAGGAAAAGTGTTTGTTTTGTGACCTTTGCCAGTTTGCTCTATGGACTCAATTAATTCGTTTTACTGACGGAATCTTTAAAGAATGCATGGGGATCCCATCTTCACAACTTTACTTACATTGTTTCATGATAACTCTGAATTTGTGTTTTTTAGTATACATATGTATGTGTTTGTATGTTTTCCTTGAGGAACACTTTAATCGCTTCCATTTCCTTTTCTTTGAAAAACTGAATGCAAGGCAACCCGTTTTCAAATTTTGGACTGACTCTATTAGGTAAGAAGTCTTACTTAATTTACACGATAATCTTAAACTAAAAGGCTCCGAAAAATTGCGCGGTGTTGACAGAGTTAAACGCCCTTTGGTGAATTTTCTTTGCTAGGAAAAAGCTAACTGTTTACAGTAAACTCAGTTGTACTGCTCGCCACTTGAATGTTTGAGCTAAATTTGTTTTTCATTTTGGAAGTAGTGTAGAACAGACGATGAAACTGGTGCCGGTATTGTACTCCGAATGCTACCTGCACCAAGATCGGTAACCCACTATGCCACGTAACTGGTCGAGAATCACACTTTCCATCCTCTTAATTCTTACAATGGTCTCACAATAAGGATAACCTAGTTCCTCGATAAACGATTTCTTAACATTTGAACATGAAAGTAACGCTTGGCACATGGCACATCACATTTCTCTTCCTAAGTTTAGTGACAACAATTCAGACTAAGATCTCTCAAGCGGCGTTCAAAGGAGACAAAACATCTAAAACGACAAGTAAAAGTCACCAACATCACAAAGCGGAGGTGAAGAAGGAAAAACGTTTTATGAACGAACATTCTCCGAAAGGCAGGGTAGTTTATTCATTCGTAACGGACAGGAACCGATATTTGCCGAGAAGGCCGCGCCTGTATCGAGCTTTCGTTGTTAGGCGTCCTTTAACAGTGCAACAATCGATAGAAAACGCTAACACGCGTCAAAACATTCCTTTCATGGAGGTGGAACCTACATATCATCAACAGCTTGTAAGAGTTCGTCCCATTTCGCGACCAATTTACTACTTGCAAGACACGCCTGATGAACAAGAAGCAGAGTTCGAGGATCCATTGAATGAACCTGTTACTTTGATGCCTGAGGAATTTCCAGGTGCGATAAATTCGTTTGCATATTGAGGTCAATATCCCAGGGTAAACAAATAGTCACTTTTAAATACGACCCAATGCAAATTTTTTGTCGTGCCATGACACCTCACGCCTAATTGAACTAAATTGCATTTGAGGAAGTGATTGCTGATTAATTGTGCTATTCATTTAATTGATTTGCTTAATTAACAGAACATAGATCAACAAATTTCACTCGTTTAACAGCTTTACTTTTTTAGTTTTCGTCCATAAATTTTTACGAGAAAGACGATCCTTTGACCGAAATAATTTGAGATAAACTCTCCCTATAGGAAAATAGGAGTCGACACCAGATAATCGGTTTCATTTTATTTTTTTCTTCTATGTATATATTTATCAGTACATATCGACGGCTGTCGTCCTAATCCATGTTATAATGGTGGACGGTGTAAGAGACTCAGACATGGAAGATTTAGATGTGTATGCCATAGAGGGTACAGTGGTAGATTATGTAATGGTACGTATATTCATACTCAGTATATTATATACCTCGAAATTAGAGTGTGGAACTAATTAACATTTGTGAGTCGAACTCAAAGTCGATTGGCCTAAGACAAAAGGCTTCCTAAAAATTTTATTATGCATCACTGTAGAAAAGAAGCAATTTGTAATGGACTTCAATGAAAGATACACATTTGTTGATTCTTCGCTCAAATCCTGGAGGTTGACACTAGAATTTAAGAAACTGGTCCTGACTCCATCACCATCCGACATCTCAATAGCGAAAGTTATAATCAATCTAGGAATGTTAAGTGAGCAATTTATTTGTGGTGAAGGACTTTAATTTTTTTTTAACGCTCTCAGACGTCTTTCTCTATTTTTGTCATCATTATTACCATTTCATAATCTACTCTTTCTGCGATCACCATTTGATTTTATTGTACAGTGCTGCGAACAAAATGTAAACCGAACCCTTGCATGAACGGAGGAACCTGCACTCAGCTGAATGGAGGCTTCGAGTGCACATGTTCATTTGGCTACAAAGGAGAAACGTGCAGTCGTAAGTATTAACGTACATGTGTGGACAGCTTTGCAAATTTAACTAATCATTAGTGTTTGAAAACATTTTACAAATAAGCTGTTAACAAGATTTCAAAAGTTTCAAATTTGGGGACACCAGCAAAATTTCTTTTCAAGAATTGTAAATTGCTCAAAGAGGCCTGGATAAAGTCTTACGGAAAGATTTGAAAAACGTATAAGAGCATATCAATTTGGAGACTTCACTAACGGAACACTTTTGGTTGTTGGTTTTTAGAGGAAGCCAAGTGTGGAAATAATCCGTGTCAGAATGGAGGCTCGTGTACCGAGCTGGACACGGGCTTCCAGTGTAGCTGTGCTCCTGGGTATCGTGGGAAAAAATGTCAAGGTAATCAGCCTTACTTTTTAGTTAACCTTTAAGCCCCTAGGAGTGGTTAACATCTTAACCCTCCTTGCAGTATCACTGAATTAAACATTAAGGACACGAAAATATCGGAAATTGTCAGTAATTTAAAAATTTTAGATTATTAAACAAATTTTTCTTGCCCGTTCCAGAAGAAATGGGTAGAAGACAGTATAGAAAATATGCGCATTAATGTTAGCGTGTCATAGATTAAAGATTTCAAACCGGCTGGAGGCAGAACTTTTCGCTGTGTAGAAATCACAGCCAGCGAGCCGAAGGCAAGGCATCCGAAAAAAACAGAAAAAAACGCTATTATCAACCAGTAATGCAGCTTTCTCCCAGGGCAACGTAGCTGGCGCTATCTTGATAAGAATCTTTCCTCATAATGAACATAAGAAATTCAATGCATGGGATATTTCAAGCGACAAGTTTCTCCGATTCATTAACTTAGAAGCAACAAAAACTATTTGCATTAAGAAGCAACAAAAACTATTTGCATTAAGAGCTATTTCAAATGCACCACTATGGCTTTAATTGCAGTAATTTTTTTTTCCCAGAAATAAGCTACTGCTACAAGACACCCTGCAGAAATGGCGGAACTTGTACTGAAACAGACACTGGGTTCGAGTGCGTCTGTCCATCACAGTGGAACTGTATCGACTGCAGCTGTAGCGGTAGGTTTCTTACATCCGGTGATCTTCTTCGATGCATTTCTTCTCTTTAGCATTCATATTCTTAATATCTCGATTTCTATATCCTTCACATCGCTTATAAATCAATAATATCATATTTTGTTATCATTTTCAGCTGTTAATGGTATAAAGCATTCTCTGGATAATTGTTTACCAAATCCCTGCCAAAATGGAGGCACCTGTTTTTCTACTCATGATGGCTTTAAATGTCTCTGTATGCAAGGTTACAAAGGAAAGTCATGTGAAGGTACAAAGATTATCAGGTCTCATCATATTTCTAAGTTTTATTTTAATCACTGATCCAAGTAGGAATTAAACCCTTCCTAATCAAGGATCAAAAAAGATGTAAAACAATATCAGTTCAAGTGGTCATCTCATAGTAATTTGAAAGCGGATGTATTTGTGCCCCAAGAAAAAATAAATTTGACATCACTTTTAAAGCGAGATATTTGAGAAGCTAAGTTTGATTAACATCCCTTATTTCAAGCCCTTTTCAAACGTACATACGTCCAAGAGAATTTGTGAACTGATGCCAAGTAGCTGTGACTATCTACAAAAGTTTAATTTCTATGTCAGCTGTCTCTTTTTATGTTGGCAGCGGTTCAATATTGCAATACTGAACCATGCCTGAATGGTGGAACATGCAAAGAGACCGCAACGAGTTACATCTGCCTTTGTAAAAGTAGATTTCGAGGAAAAAACTGCGATGGTGAGTAGTAGTAGTACCTTTTCAAAATATAGTTTGCTCTGAAAATCCAAATCGCAACTCTTACCAGCATCTTTCCGAAATATTCGATAACGTCTCTTTCGTTCGTAAAACGAGAATGCTCTCTTTCCTCATGGAGCAAGAAAACGCAAAAACTTTCCAAAATTTTGGGCCTTATCTGATTTTACTCTTTTATTTATTTTTAAAATCGATTTATCCATTTATTTATTTATTTTTAATGATAATAGTTTTCCTTTTGTAAAACCAAATACATCAACAACGACAAAGACAATCTTTCTGTACTTTCTATTCATTTAATGATAATTGGACCGTGTAGAGTCTAGGTCAATCTTTTGTCATACATGTGATTAACCAACCCGAATGCCCGTGAAGCGGAAGTTCGATTTTTCGATTACCAGTATGATTCCTGACCGCAAAATTACCAATTAAAGATAGCCATTTTTTTCATCGATTTGAGAGCTTGCAATTCCAATCTTTAAAAACTTAAGCATTAAAATCTTTCCATATTTTGGAAAATCCCAACATTGATAAGAAATACCATTGCTATAGCTATAGTGATCAACCCTTTGATTTCTGAATTAATTTGAGTACAATCTATGCGATTGGCTGATGTAGGCATCAAATTCTAGATCTACGACTGCAACCAACTGTACCTTCATCTACCAATCACATTCGAGGAAATTGTAGTGGCTATAGTTATTTTTGAGAAATCCACCACAAATACAACATAAAGACAAACATAAAATCCGTACATTTACACTAAACTCATGAATGAAACATTTTCAGTGGAAAACCATTGCCGACCTAAAAACCCATGCGAGAATGACGGTTTATGTGTAGAACTGGAAGATGATTATAAATGCAGGTGTAAAATCGGATATCGCGGAGTCAACTGCGAAGGTATGATGTCTCATTAATCCTATATCTCCCAGAAGTGGTTAACATGTAACTTCCCTCCATGATATTCATATGTTGTCCAGCATATAGGTAATGAGAACACTCAAACTTACTAGGTAGAAGTTATCGTCTGTATCTAACGCCAAATTCTTATAACCAATTTACAAAGAAATTATTAGCAGCTAGAGGGGAGAATTAATGATCACATCTTGGAAATTTAAGGGTTTAAGTGCCCTTTAAACACTTGTTTACGTCTCAAGAAAAAGGTTTGATTAATTTCATGGAAATTCGTTAGTAAGGCATCACAAATCCAAAATTCGCGGTATTCACTTATAGAAAGTAGACAGGGTACATAAACCTCTTCGATTTTAGCATATTTTGAACGTTTTTGTGGTATGGTGCATAACCTATACTTAAAAATTATGATATGCACAAGTAACTGATTTTAAAAAGCGAGACCCTTTCCATTTTTTTCTTTTTTTTTTCAACAAGAAAAGGAGTATTGCATTCCAAATCCCTGCAAGAATGGGGCAACCTGCACCGCTGAACAGCAAGGATATACGTGTTTTTGTCAGCCTGGCTTCAGAGGAGAAACATGTCAAAGTAAGTCAAGTCATTCAGTAAAGGTAACCGTTTTTGATTTCATAATTATATAATGTATTCATTATTGAGATAAATTCGGTCTGAAATATTCTCATGTCAAATTTGAAGCTTGGATTACAAGTATACCAAAATGTATATGATACAATATCCCACCGCAGAATCTAATCATATCTCTCGTAACTGTCAGCTTACGACATGGTCAAAAATGCGATGAACATCTTTGAAAATTTACTGTATACAATAATTCGATAAAATTATCACTTTTTCCAAAGTAGAAGAGAAAATTGTGGATTTAAAAAAAACATATTTTCTTCGCTTTTTAACAGTCCGGGAAATGTGTGCCTCCAATCCATGTCTGCACGAAGGAACATGTATAGAAATGGATAACAATACCTTCAAGTGCCTCTGCGTAGCAGGTTGGAAAGGAGAACACTGTCATGGTATGTCCAGACCACAAAAGTAGGAGGACAAAGTGTAGTGTAAAGCTAGCACTTGTAGTCAGGCGTCATTTGAATTAAATTGTGACCGAAAATTTGACCATTTTACAGGCTGGTGCCTCTCTCTCTCTCTCTCTCTCTCTCTCTCTCTCTCTTGTTTTAGACATGCATCGGATTCTTTTTTTATTATTTATTTTATGAAAGGGAAAGCGAATGAAGCCTGTTGCATTAGTTTATATGAGTAAATCAAAAACCAATAATGGTCATTAAAAATGCAAAAACTATTATTCATTGAGAAAGTGTGACAAATTATTTTTTTTTAGATAAGGATCTTTGTGTTCCAAATCCATGCAAGAACGAAGGTCATTGTGAAGCACATGAATTCTCCTTCCAATGCCACTGTGCCCTTGGCTTTAAGGGAAATAATTGCGCAGGTAAACTCATTTTCTGTCCTTTTCAGGGCTCATTTCCTAACGTCATCTTGTGCCCAACAACATAGGGAGGAAAATGATATCTCTATTATCACGACCGTAAATATCGATAAACTCTGTTCATGCGATTTTGCAATGCAACAAAAATAATAAAGTAAGAGTGCCTTTGGGAGAGCCATAATATAAGGAATCACACCATCTGCAGTTTTAAAGACTAAATAAGAACTATACGTCTGTTTAGTGTCAAATTTGTCTGAATCATGAACGCATTTTTACCTATCTAAGGCTCACGCAAGTTGAAATGGGTTCCTGGAGACCCCATTTGGCGGATTAAGATCACCCTTTAATAAAAAAACAAAGGAATTCCACTATTTCGCGAAGACCTCCTTATCCATTATTCATGACACGCTATGCACTAGCAACGTGTAACCAACGTCGTCACAACATCCCCATGATAATAGTTTAATTTTATTTCGTGCAGCAAAAGATCCTTGCAGCCCGAATCCATGTCACCATGGGGGCCACTGTCTCAGCCACAGTGAAGTTGATTATGAGTGTGAATGTGGAAAAGGATACACTGGAGTAAAGTGTGAGAGTAAGTCCACCTATTTGATGAATTGCTTACAGCTGCTGCACACCGTGTGAAATGATAGAGAGATATTATTCACCTTGTCACGAGGGGGGAACGAGGTATTGGAAAGTTATTTTCTATTTATGAACAGAAGAAAAAAACCAAGAAAATTTAGGATCTTTCTTCTTCTATTCACTCCCATGTAGCTTTCGACATGCTGATCCTCGCAAGAATTTTGCAATAGCTTAGCCTTCCCTGTAACTCTTTGGTAGACTATTGGGGTGAGAAATCCGAAGGTTTGGGACTCGGTTCCTCGGCGGGGGAGGAGGGCGTCACTCGACAATCCAGATCAAAATGTATCTCTGCATTCCCTTAACCCATTTCAAAATTCCTATTTTCAACAACTGTTTCTCCTTCTACCCTAGGATTTTTTCCCGATCAGTTACTGAAAGAAGCTGAATACTCTATGAAATGAAACGATATCGAGAAAAATGTGAAACATACACTGTTTTCTTTTCTTATCGTTTAAATGATATGAAATATTTGTGTATGTGCAACTTTTATATGATTATATCTTCTTTAAAGCTCGGCCGCGGCTTTCTTTTTCATCATTACAGGAGTAAACCCTTGTTACCCAAACCCCTGTAAATATGGAGGAACTTGTCAAACAACAACAGATAGTTTTACATGTAACTGCCCCGCTGGAAGAGTTGGAGAATTCTGCGAAGGTAGCAAACCATGGATGACGCTCATCATATGCATAAGCGGCTGATAAAGTGTCGTCCCTCTTGTTTTGTGGTGTTTTGTTTTCTTCCGTTTCATTTCATCACCAACAATAATCATTATCATGATTGAGGTCCAGGCCTTCTGATGGACAAATTTTGATATGACTTGGTTGAAGTTTAGGGGATCATCAAAAATTAAGGTTTCATAGTCCACGGTTTCTTCTTTTAACAGAGATTGACCCTTGTCTGCCAAATCCTTGCGAAAATGAAGGAGCTTGCATCAGACTGAGCCACGGCCAGCACCAATGTATCTGCACTAACGCTTTTGTTGGTCCACTTTGCACAGGTGAGAATCGGTAAAAAAGATAAAATTAAAGACTAGAGAACCTCAGACGAACAAACAATGTGTTGCTTTATGTTACATCACACCATAGTCTAAAAGAATAAAGGCAAAAGCGCAAAAGTATTGAAAATTTGATTGGCTCAAAGATAAGAAAAGAAAAATCTACTGACGAGCCAGGGCTCAGCCCACATGATCAATCCTTAATTAAGCGCGCTAACCATGAATTAAGATAATGTCTCCAACCTCCATATCAAGTTAATATCAGTGGAAGAGAATGGAGCATAGAATTCGAGGGAATAGGGTTCGTTTCCAAATCGGGTTCAACTTTTTCCTTTGACCTACCTTCTTGACAAGACCAATGACATCCTTCTTTATTCCAGCGAGCCTACATTCCACCATCTATTTTCAAAATGAGATAAAAGGATGATAAAATCCATGAAATGTCCATCTATAGACTTCATGCAGTTTCGTTTATTTATTTTTTTAGTTTCAAATCCATGTCTACCCAGTCCATGTCTTAACAATGGGACCTGTGTGAATAAAGGCATTGCATTTGAATGTCACTGTCCAGGAGCCTTTTCTGGAAAGCGATGCGAAAGTAAGTAGACTGTATCACTTTATATTTCTAGGAGGTTTTAAATTTATTTGTTTTCAGACACCTTCTTAGAGATTCAAAATGTTCAGTTTGTCTGAAATATCTCTCAGAACGTAGCTCTCATCTAATGAAAGGATCTAATTTGTTTTATTTCTTTTACAGTTCAGTCCAAGTGTTTTCCAAACCCTTGCCTTAATGACGCCACTTGTCGTGACGTTGACATAGGTCGCGGCTACGTGTGTTACTGCTCCATTGCATACCTGGGACCCGACTGTGAAAGTAAGATTACTTCTTATTATAACTAAACCTAATTTGTTCACAGATATTCACGAATAGCATTTGATTGAAGAAGTTTTACTCAATTTTTCCTTTCAATGCCAAAAAAAAGTCCGCCATCGCGCAATAACAAGAAAAATAGTCTACCCCGATGTTGAATAGTACGGTGCATGGTAGTGCCACGGAAACGGAGACTCTTTAAATCCATTCTCTTGGAAAAGTCGAAGTGAGACCAAAAACCAAGAAAGACAGATCTTGATTTTGTTCATCGCGATTTCTCAAAATGTCCAGTTGGTACCGTAGACTTTGTCTCCAGATATAGAAGGAAATATTTATATAACGAGAACTTTATTGGACATTTTCTGCTTAGTCGGATATGCTCAACCGATGATCTACAGTTTAAAACATCAGTTGTCTTCTTAACAGAAACAAATTTATGCTTTCACCACAACCCTTGTCAGAACGGAGGCACGTGCAAAACTGATGGAACCAACTTAGCGTGTCAATGTCCTCCGGGTTATTTGGGTTCGCATTGTGAACGTGAGTGTTTAGATAGTTAGAGGCTAACTAGCTTTAAGCTCTCTTGAAACGTAGTTTTAGAATAATAGAAGAAATTGAAAATAAATGTTAATATTTCTTAGAATGATAATGGAAGGCTCTTCTGATCGTGTTCCTTGACTGGTATAAACCCAGAAGCTTTAGAATGAGCATTCTGGCTAAAAACGTTTGAAACTGTTCTTTTTTTAATTTTTTTTTAACATTTTTCAACAGATTGTTCCAATCTGAAATGAATGACCAGTGTTAGTTAACAAATGATTGATAATAGAATTACCCACACAAAACAGCCAAAGGTTTTTTTAGTAATTTTTTTTAAAAGGACTTTCAAACTAGTTGTTTTATACCTTTCATTCATTACCCATTCGTTTCTCCAATTTTTTTTCTTTGAATTATAGAGGCGAACTTCTGTTTTTCGTCGCCCTGCAAAAACGGAGGAACATGTTCTCCAAAGACTGATGGCTTTGAATGTGACTGCAAACAAGGATTTTTCGGAAAAACTTGTGAAGGTAGCCACTTTACGTTTTCAGTAAATATCTTGGAAACGCTCTGTTGACTTGATTAATATTTTATAACTTCGTCCAAGCATTGCTTAATTTGTGGTTTTCTTTTCCTCTTTTTTTGTTTATCAAATGGTAAATGCCTTAGAAAAGTGGATTCGGAAACTAAGTCGAATAATTTTGTAGATATCTAGTTATGAAACGCTCTCATACGACTGTCAACAGCCTGTATAAGACAATGAAGAATCCTGATCCACAAGGAGAGCAGCAGTACTATTCCCTCTTGCAGAACTTGCTACCTTTCATCCACCACCACTCAGTTTCTCCAAAATGTCAATATTATCAACTGAAACACCAAATTATGTCTTGCAGTAGCCATAAAAGTAAGGAGAGCGCTAAAAGTTATTTTCATACGCTGTAGCAAGCTTTTTTAATTTGCGGTTTTAAGTAAACTGGTTCCTCTTCAGTAAATTAAATTTATTTTATGACCCTGAAATTCCGCAGCTTTGAGCAGTCACTGTTTCCCAAACCCCTGCAAAAATGATGGGTTGTGTGCTGAAGTACAGAGCAAGGAGGGCTATATTTGTGTTTGCAAGGAGGGATTTGTTGGATCGCATTGCGAAAGTAAGATTTGCATGAGACTACAATCAGTTAAGATACGAGCAATTAATCGAGTATGCCCTTATAATTAGCGTCGATACTGAATGAGTACGCATGAGTGCCGGTAGATAATGCAGATGCTCAGAATGGATAGATGGTTGATTCCCTTTTGCTAAATGCACCTTTTTTATTATTTTCCATTCTTCCTCAGAAGTTACAAAGCGTCGCTCAGGTAAACTTTAGGAATTGATGGAATTCTGAGCTACTGACTACCACGTTATGATCGCTGCAGTTTTTCTACTCTCCAGGTTTACTAACCTATGCTTTTCTGTTTTATCCTTATTAGGAAAAGATCCGTGCATTCCAAATCCCTGTCAACACAATGGTACATGCTTACAGGCTCATAACAGGCGAGGATATCACTGCCTCTGTCAAGCCGGCTGGCGAGGATATGCCTGCGAACGTACGTATGTCACGGAAACAATGCTGTTGAGACAGTGAATCAGCTCTTGAAGTCAGTTAATGTTTAAAGTTGTAAACTCAAGTCTTAATTGTTAACCGTCCTTATTTTTATTTCTATCTTTTGCTTCTCAATCAGGTGGCGATCTTTGCTATCCCACCAACCCTTGCCTTAATGGAGGAACATGTTTCAATGCCCTCGACACCTTTATTTGCCACTGTCCTAAAAGATATTCAGGAAAACATTGTGGAAGTGAGTAATATATTCCTGATTCCTTCGCCGGTAGTCTCTAGCTAAAATTAGCCCACCACTGACATATTAGCACACCTAAAAAATGTACGTCACCTCTTTTTCAAGTCTTATTGCAATGGTCTATGTACCTTGGTGAAGAACTCATACCGTTAATTTATAATTCAGTATCTCTTTCACATAGATGACAAGTGTGCGCGTTGTGACGTAAATGCGAACTGCGTGGATGGAACGTGTGAATGTAGACATGGTTACGTTGGCAACGGTTTCACGTGCACTCGTAAGTTGAAACATCAAAATGATTGAGTATTTCCTCCGCATTTCTGTGAATTGTTTGGTTTCCAATCGAAACGTCACTGATGCCACGTTGTTTCTTCGTACCTAATAATTTTAAGGTAATACAGGTATGCTGAATGAGATCTCTGATTTGTGAAATACTTTACACAGCAGGCATAGAAATCATCGATCATTTGTAGTACAGTAAGTCCTGTATCTGGTTTTTAACAAAATTAGCAGGAAGATTAATGGTTGTCCAAATGAAATGCCAATTTGAATATGTAATGCTCCCTGCTTTTAAATCTTAAATGATAAATTCGTTTCTGTTTAAGCTGTTGGAAATCCGTGCCAACCCAACCCTTGTGAAAATGGCGGAACATGTCGTCCAGGACATGGTGAAAAACTGTTCGAATGCACGTGTCGCGAAGGATTCGTCGGCACTAAGTGTGAAGGTGAGATAACATGCATGATGGTTGGCATCCAGGGTTGCGATCTGCAATGAGCTTTTAAAATGCTCTTTGACCTACCAATCCTGAAGCAGAAACTCAGACCAGAAAACCATCCTTTCGACTACTTGCAGATGGTTCGGAGAAAAATCATTTTTTGGAAGCCTAATTACTTCCCCTAATAAAGTTCTCGTCAACGTCCCATCCCATGCCCATCCAAACCTCTTGATCATACTTTTAAGATAAAAATTTGCTCAGAGAGGCTAGCAAATAGGAACTTTGACTTATTACCGTGATTATTATATCATGATTGGTGAAGATATTAGACGATTGCGTGATGGTCCGATCACATTCACAGTAATATTTTTCGACATGACATTTATTATGTACTGTTTTATAAAGTGTCTATTATACAAAGGAGTAAATAAGCGCGAACCTGGCAATTTCCTGGCTAAGGTAATGAAACAAAATTAGGTGATTTTTTATTTAATTTTTACAGAATCCAAAAGTGCATGTGCATCAAACCCGTGCGCTAATGGAGGAACATGTGTAGATGCCACAAACAATGATGGTTCACTTCTGGAGGGCGTGATATTCACAAATCATTCACAATTCAAATGTGTTTGCCCCAAGGGTTACGCAGGAGAAAACTGTCAGAGTAAGTAAATGGGTCGTATTTAGTCGAAACTTGTAGATAACGCTGACTAGTTTGGTGGTAATTGGTCCAGATTTCAGCTGTGACGGATCAACTTGAACACAGTAAATTTCCATAGGATAATCCGCTGTGTCTTCATTATCAGTGTATAATTTGATCAAGCTAATAGATGTCAATTTTATTATCATAGCTGCTTCTTTTTTCACTTCAACAGAACTTGTCATGAATAATCCTTGCTCCACCCACCCATGTCTCAACAATGGGACTTGCTTTGACGATACAAACAGTGCTGGAATAGATCTGAAACTACTAAATGCTTTGGACTTTCGTTGCTTCTGTCCAATTGGATACAGTGGTATTGTCTGCGAAAGTAAGAAAATGAATTTGTAAATAAAAGTTGTTCATGTAACTTTGTGAAAATGATATCTCAATCTCTCTTCTTGAAAACAAAAAAGGAGCATGTTATAGTTCAAATTACTCCTGCGTTTCTTTCTTGAACAGCACCTAAGTCAGCATGTCACTCAAGCCCATGCCTCCATGGTGGGACCTGCTTAGACTCTTCAAACACAGCTGACGTGGCGTTTAACGCTAACGGTTATAAATGTCTTTGCGCCGCAGGCTTCATAGGAATGAATTGTGAAGGTAAACGATAAATGACGAGTTTCTATCCACTACAGTGATAGTGCATAGATAGATAAGTACTCTGGTTGTATCAATTCCTATCAATTTACTGGAAATTTCTTATCGTTTCAATAGCCAGCTCAGCATCTGAATTAAAGACTGCTACAGTCACAGGTAAGTTTCTACCTTTAAATCTATTTGGACAAGGCTTTTATATCTATAAGCGAGTTACCTTTGGAAAAAAGGCAAGTCAGAAAAAACTTTTCTTCGTCGGGGAATGCTAGCCTGGGAAGCGATAGATACATCTTTTCATGCGCATAGATATGTCAGTATAAGTCCCAACAATTGCTCTTCAGGACGTCTGGAGAAACACAAATATCTAAACAGCCTATTACACTTCATCATCATCCCTCTATTGCAATTTTTCTGTTAAAAACCCGTAAATGACCAGGACCAAATGACAAGTTTTTAATTTTGCTTGTTCGCACTGCATTAGCAAATATTAAAATAAATCAATAATTTACTCAGAATTGTTATCACTTTTTCTAAAGCTGCCCTTCAGGCCACAGCCAAACCAATAGGAGCACAGGGATACAAACCAGCAGGTCAGTTATAATTCTATACGTCCTATCTGACAGAATTAATAAATATGCAATAAAGACCGCTAAAATAAAATGTTTTCTTATACTGTAAAGAAACAGTATCACTGATCCATTGCCGTCCTAAAGGTATAGGTCTCGTTTTGATATACGCAACAAATGGTTATAGAACTTCCGCATTTTGCCTCAAACTACTACCAGGGGGAATGGTAAATGTTTTCATCATTACCGAAATGGTAAAAATTATTTCCCGCCGTATTACACATCCACCTTATTTCCCACATGACTAGAGTTTTTAATCACGGTATTTTGTTTTTTTCTGAATTTGCAGCTCAGGTGATAGATGTTCATGAACCCTTAGGGACACCTGGTGCACCATCAGGTAAATACTCCTTGGTCAGCAGGCCTGTGGCCCACAACTCTTGACGAGGTCGATAGTAATGAACGTTTTTCGATATTAGATTCTATGCCTGCTAGCATGTAACACTTAAGAAAATCGGTCTTAGGACATAAGAAATTGTACATCAATAGGTGTTTCGCTGCTCGTGTGATCTGCTAGTATTCCGAGTACACTTTTGCTTTGTGGAATTTTCTTTTATAAATGAGGTAAGCTTCCCTGTTACCACACGGCTGTGATCATGTGTTGACTCTAGGAACATTGTCCAACTTCTCACACGAAAATTGGGTGGCGATAATCATGTAGACTCCTTATTCGAATCCGTCTATTAAGAATAAACCTTCCCGTTTATTTACAGCGCATTTTGGGGTCCATTTCTTGGTCAGAATCCATTGAATTAGAGCGATCTATTCATGAAATAGAAGTAAGAAACATTTTCTTGAGATCTATAATCCCCGCGTTAGCAAGGAAAATAAGCATGCCATAAAATATTGCTTTACTTTGGTTTTTAGTTTGATTTTGTGGCCAAATTCTTTTATTTCGTTTACTGCAGCTGTAGCCTTGGTGCCACAAGAGCCAAAGGAAACAAGCGCAGTATTGGGACAATTGGGTACAACCCTACTAGCCAAACCAGTTACAAGTGTAACCAAGCCGAATGTTGGTCTGACAGCCGAAATTGAAAGACCCAATCAAGGCCAAGTTGGTGTTGTTGTGATTCCAAAATCTGCCCAAACACCTCCCGCCAAAACGTTGACTGCGACGGTCCAAGGCTATGCCCCTCCCAGTTCCTTGAGTATGACATTACTTACTTGTAACAATCTTCAAATAAAAAGATAAAACCCTCTCGTCGGAACCTTTTCCCAAGTATCAATCAATGCCTCTTTTCTCTTGCAGGCAGAGGTCTTGCGATGGCATTAGCACCAGTTACACCAGGTCAGATTGGTTACGTAGTGCCTGCATCATCATCTTTACTGCCATATGTGGCTTCTCCGAGCCTGGCACCAGCACCTTCTACTAATTCCCTTCCATATGTGCCTTCCAAAGCAGCACCTGCTCAACCGCCATCAGCAGGTCTCATTTCGTCACCTCTAGCAATGTCATCTCTGCTTGCCGTACCATCTTCATCACCTAAAGTAGCTCAGGCACCTGGGATTATAATGCCCCCAGGGCTATCACCACCTCCGGGGAATGGACCTGTCACTTTGGCTCTACGAGGAGGGACACCTGTTTTTGGCCTAGCGGCAAGAAGACAAACTTTGAATCAGAGGTCAAGAAATCATGGTCCTTTCTATTCAAGTTATAACGGTTATACGAGTAGGAGCACCAACCGAAGAAATAATCAACAGAGTTATAGACATTATCCTCATACCAGAACAAATTGGTACTCGAATCCAAACTACGCGAATCCTTTCCAACGGAGTTACAGACGCGTAAACAAGAAAAAACGAAGCAGTCACGATCAAGGTAAAACAGCCTAGCTTAATGATGATGATGATGATTAATGATGAACTCATTACACGCCTTTTTTTTTTGCTGTTATTTGAAAAAAAAACGAGTTTCTCGAGCATTACTCGATCGTCTCTCTGTTCGCTCTGACGAAGTGCTTATGCTCAAACTGTTATCTTTGAAACTCTTTACGGTGGCCAATTTACGATATCAACTCAGTTGACAATACTAAATTACCCTGTTATACTCTCACACCGACGCAGCACCACAGTTTCTTTAGAAACTTACCCCTTCTATTCATTCGTCTCTTCATTATCCTAGCAAACTAAGAGGTATGTTGAAAACTACTCTTTTGCCATGATGCAGACCCCACAGATCCTTTACCAACTAGTGACAAATGAATGGGAAGAAATTCTAAACTCCACCTACAGATGACAGATTTCAAAACTAACTTAACTACTTATCCATTATTTGGCAGAAGAAGACGACAAGCCTTCGAAGAATACCCCAACCGACCACCTAAACACTGAGGACGATATAAAAAGATCTTCATGAATTGGAACCCAAGGAAGAAGTGGTCCTTCCTAGTAAATTTAGTCCTTCTACTACTTTGATAACTTCCTGTGCAATTTAGACAAATTTTGGTTGTTGTAACTTAAAATTTTGCAATTGCAATTTTCTCAACTTTAGGCCCTTTCATTATATTAAGCTTTTTTGTCCTTATATTTTGAACCCTCTTGTTTTCTCTATACCTATTTCTGGGAAAATAATTTTGAAAGTGGCAACAGAAAGCTCTGAATTTTGTTTCTGACTAAAGGATTAAAGGATTTTTCATAAGCTCGGGTTATTACTCTGATGGGATACTGCTCATAATCACACGCAGTGTCAGTTTAAACTATCAGAAGTATGCAGCAAACATCTTTTTTAAGCAAGAACGGTTCAAACACGAAACTTCTACACCTAAACATGGATAATAGAAAGAATTATGATTCCAGTCGGGAAATAAAAATGTTATCTCATCTGTGAAGATTTAAGATGTTTTGGTTTTTATCAAATGAGATGTAAATTGGCCACAGTGGAGCTTTCTACAGACTGACGTTTCGTTATTCACTTTAACGAAGGGCAGGTGCTCGACATGTTAGTTTTAGAAACTCCCTACAGTGGCAAATTTACATTACCCACTCAGTTGATGAAACCAAGTTATTTTGTACTACCACCCACAAACGCAGCACCACAGTTTCTTTAGAAACTTACCCACTTTCTTGACATGAGTACTGAAGTCCATCTTTGTATATTGTGAGGATGTTCAATCGCCAGCTTTCTTTAATCTAATTAGGAGCTTTGAACGAAGAATTTGATCAAAGCGATGAAAATGAATATGGTGTCAAGATAGAAATAAAATTGATTTTAAAGTTTGCTTCATTTTGTCTAGAGTTGTTCCTTTCAATTCTGCTAAAAAATTTGAAGGTCGATTGAATGAAAGAAGTCTAAGAATTTCCCACACACCATGCCTATATAATGATGGCAGTCAGGAGTACTACAATTCTCATTTTATTGATTTAGAAATATCAACTGTTTCAAAAACATTTGCTCGTTATCTCACAAATTCAACTACAAGCTGAATTATTCCATCGTAAAATATAAAAGTTTCCAACACCTAATCGAAACAAGTCATTTCTGCACCCTAAAGGATATCTCCTTTGCAAAATAAATTGGTCAACCCTAAAGCGTAGAACGTTAAACGTAGTGCATCATTCTTGCCTAAGGTTCTCGAGTATCTGCATGGTTTAAAACCACGTCTGAGAAATATTCCGGGCAATGCGACTGTGAAACAAGTAAATGTATGACACAAACAAACAAAAAAGACGGACATAAATCGCGTTTTGTCAGTGAGTTTTGAGGAGATCTTTAGTTAGCAAACTGCTAGGGTAAGTGAGGTCAAGGGTGAAATCCTATCTCTCACCAGTTCGGAGATGTTACATCTCGATCGGCCTCTATTCAAAGTTAATTGTGCTTTTAAGGAGCGCATTCTCGGAACACTGGAAATGTTTGAAAACTCAATTGCCATCATACAAAGCAAACTATACTTTTAAGATTCATCTATTTGTATTTCTCTCAGATTTAGATAAGAAAAAAGCTATCATTCTCTATAAAGCTAACTAAAATTTAGAGTAAAAGGTGGAAAATCTAATCTGGCCCACTATTCACTTATCACAAACCAAGCCTAAACTAATCATTTATTGATGAATCGAAACCATTGATCTAAATTGATTAACAAGTAAAGTTCATGGTGACCAATTGCAAAACAGAATTTGTTTGCTCTTGTACGTAAACAGAAAGGTATGAACTTAATAAAGAATTCAATTGAGAGACCTTTCCTCGCAGAAAACCGTCAAAAATGAGATCGCGGATAGCGAGAATTTTCTTGGGAGCGGCTTTATTTGTTGTTTTAAGTGAAATCGCCGCTAGGCCAGCGGACGAACGGGAATCTAATTCACAAAAGCTGAAAGAAAGAAGGGGGAAGACACAACAAGATGGACTAAAATGGAAACAAACAAAGCTTGAATTACGCGACTCTTCAAAAGGGCAACACAGAAAAACACGGGTCAATAAGTCACTGAAGAAAAAGCAGACTCCTTCGCCTTTGAAAGATGAGAACAGAGAGAGAAAAAGACAGTTTATAATGCGCCCTTCACATGCTTTCGGTCACTCGTATATGTTTATGCGTCCGCCACCAATGACCCAGAGAACAATCGTAACAACTCGTATACCCAGACCTCCCATGCCAATACCATATAATCCGTTTTTTGGTCGAGGATTCTTTGGTGGAATGCACCATCTGCATAACCCTTTTTACGATGCAATGGCACAAATGTATGGTGAAGAGGACGAAGAAGAGGAAGGTATGTTTGATATTTACTGTGGTCATTAGTTTCGCCCCCTCGGCTGCTCGCATGAGGATCCATCAATCGTGAAACCAGTTAAAGGTGGCAGTCATAGTGACACCTACGATCATCAGTCTAAATAGCACGGTAAAGTTAATTGGCAATATTTGAGGAAGAATTTCGGCAGTTTACAAAATTCGTCATTGATTTTGGCCATGCAACATATAAGAACAAAAACGAAAGAAATCACACCAAATAGACCCATGTAACCACTTTTGTGTGAATAAACTGAACTTTTAGTAAATGAGATTTATTCTCTTCGAAGATCGCTTGTCAGAAATCACATCAGGTCGACCTTTCTATAAAATTCTGTATTGTCCTGCTAGAGCGTAAAAGCGAATGTTATTCAGGTCATAGAGTCAGCTTTTTACTTGTAGTACTTATCATCTGCAAATTTTGTAGAAAGAAGTAGAGAACGTTTGGTGGTGTGACAAAATAAAAAAACAAATCCCACTCACTATGACATGAAAGAATGAAATCACTTGCACTTACACAATCAACCCCCTGCAACTTTATATGGCGACGATCCAATGAGACCGAGCAGAGATCGCGCTTAATTGTCTCAATGACAGACGTAAGATTGTCTTCTTGTACGAGTTAAGCATTCGGACAGAATTACAGATAGATAAAACTATAGCTCTCACGTAGATAACAGACTATCTTACGCCAGGGTAGAGAATTAAAAATAGCTTTCAGATGAATATCTTGTCGATTTGTTTTCTTTTTCCTTTATCCTTCTCTCTGATTGATTTTGGCTGTAAACAATTTAGATTCTAAATTGTTTGTTTGATTGTTTGTTTCGAAGTGCCAGCAATTGATTTCGTTTGTTCGATGTTTGCTTAAGTGGTCTGTATTGTTCATGAGTGATGAGAACACAGACTACTCTATTCTTTATTTTTTATTTTTTAATTCAAATTTGCAGAGACTAAAAGCAGTAGGAAGTATTGAACGGTAGCCTTATTCATCTTCTTGCTACAATTAGAAATAGCAAATTCAGCTGACTTGTATTTTAACAGAACGTCACTGCAATCCAAATCCGTGCCAGAATGGTGCCACATGTAACGAGGTCAAGGACGGTTATGAATGTATGTGCACTCCTGGTTTCAAAGGAACTGATTGCGAAGGTATGCATTTTTTTCTTTTGATGCAAGATTTTACACGGCGTTGTTGCCATGCCCATAAGTATAAAACATCTTTAATTTGTTCTGTCAGCCCTTTTCATTATCGTTGAATCGGGCTGACAATTTTGTAGTTCAGTTAAACAAAGTCGTGACAAAATCTTATTACAAATTTGTGGCTTCTGTTTCATTAAGTTTAAGCTAGAATCACTAAATGCTTTATTGATTAAGGTACACAATGCTTAAGGGTAACTTTTTATCTGTTATCCTAGAGGAGAACAAGTGTCACCCGAATCCCTGTCGCAATGGCGGAATCTGCACAGAAGCCAATGGTGCTTACATTTGTACATGTATGGAAGGATACAAGGGAATGAACTGCGAAGGTGCGATTCACTCTTAGATTGGTTCTTACATGCGATTATTTATTCTTTCTTTTATTTAACTCATTCTTGTAAAATGAGTTAGGGTTCGACAACAAGCGGAATCGCTGGCTCTTTGTACAAATTCTCCGATTCAATCCACATGGATCTCTGGGCTTCATTTTTTTTCAATGTCTACTCGCACGGTACGCTGATCTGAAGTGAGAGTACTCAGTCAGAACTTATCCTGGGGATTCGAAATGATATAGCTTGCAAATCCATAAAGCAGTTGACCACTTTCAGTATTACCGTGTCATGCGAACAAAAAAATTCCTAACAATAATTTCTTTCTGTCCTCTTACCCGCTTTCGATATGTAAACATGTGCCCAAGAGTTTTACGTCACGTGTAAGAGGTGCTTCCGTCACTAAATTGATTTAAGGAATTCGGGATTAAGATCAGATTTAAGGTTCATTTTATTTGATTTTCAGTGCAGAATCTATTCCAAAGGAATGACCTTACCAGCTTAAAGACTAATTTTGATAGAGCATCTTATCGCCTCTGACAGCCAACCTGATGTTTACTAAGCGGTCATTCCCCAACATGATTTGATCATAAATTGCAAAGGAAAACTGAAACCAGAATAAGTCACTCAAAACTTTATTTCATTTACTTACGAATGTTGTATCACCTCAATTTATCATAGAGAAAAATAAATGTCAGCCAAATCCATGTAGAAATGGCGGCACGTGCACCGAAATGGATGATGGATTCGAATGTTCGTGTCCGGCGGAGTACAAAGGACCTACATGTCAAGGTAAATGGGATTATCTATTGTCAGTAACTAAATAAGCATCCTATAAGAGACTAAATAAGATTAACATTATTTTATTTTGGAAAACTTTTTCGAGAATGTAATGCAGAAATTCTGTATTTCACCTTATTTTACAAATAGATTTCAGATTACCGTGCGTTGGCTCAATATGTGACGAGTACAATAAAGTGGCGCAAGAGCGCAGCCGAGCGCGTCACTGATGTTCTCGCCACATTTTGACGTCTCCCGTGATCTATTACTGTACAGACCCATGGCAATATTCATATATTTGTTTCATATAATTAAAAAGCAAAGTGTTCCTCATGATGACGTCACCTGCGCGTCTGTCCTCTAATAACTCCTAACTAAGAACCAATTAAAAGGTGCGTATAATTCAGCTAATGTAGAACTTATTGAAGCATTCCACAATAACAAACTAGAGTCAAATTTAGACAGTTGCACTTGCTTCCTTGGTAATCTTAAGATTACGCTTTAGGGAGAAGTTTCTGTTTAGGAAAATGTTAATCTGTTTTCTGCTAATCTTTTACAGTGGAGAATCTTTGCTTCCTAAATCCATGTCTGAATGGAGGAACATGTATGGAGGTTATGGGGTCCCACAGTTGCCTGTGTATGGAGGGATTCAGCGGAGCCGCTTGTGAAAGTAAGTGACGTTATTCAGTACTAAGCGAAATCTCTACACTGAATCCGTCGAATCCATCCGTTGTCTCTAATGTTAAAAAGCACCGTGTTCCCGTTTCAAATTCATTCTTTCAGTTGAAAGCAAATGTCGAAGCAATCCGTGCAGAAATGGAGGAACATGTTTCGACAATCACAACTCGTACACGTGTTCGTGTTTGGCAGGATTTTCAGGAATCAACTGCGAAAGTAAGTGAAGTTGAAAATAATGCAGCTAGAATGCAGTGATATTTTCGTGACATAATCTCTGTTTGGTTCTCGCAGTCTCCAATATATGGCATCAGAAATATGAAATAAGCACTGACATAGCTAGAAAATGGCAATCGACAACCAACGGCAAACAGCGTCTCTCTTAGCATATCCACATGTGAATATACATGTACATAAATTTTAATATTTCATGAATGGTTTGTCGTACTATTATACAATTTATTATCATTATATTTGCAAAAAAAAAAGCAAGCGAATAAAAAACAAAAGTATTTGATCGTAGCGTAAACGTAGTTCAACGAGTGTATATTACGGAGCCGTAAGCAAGAGGCTGTAGCAAGTCTCTGCTGAAATTCGCTCTCTATTCCTCAAAGAGGCCATGCATCGATTTGTTCACGTTTCTCTTTCAGCAATGGTGTCAGTTTGTGACTCTAACCCTTGTCTTAATGGTGGTTCATGTCTCAATCAAGGACCTAACATTTACAAATGTGTTTGTCCTCACGGCTTCCGCGGAAAGAATTGTGAAAGTAAGTTGTCTTTGGTCGTATCCTTCGCGTGAACAAAACATTGCTACAGTAACGTAGCATTGGGAAGGCCATACTCATTAGGAAATTGTTTCACAATAAAATGACTGTATGGATGATTCGGCTCCGGCTGAAAGTAGGAGTCCCCAATCAAGGTTATAGGCGAAAGGTTCATCGATTATATAACTTTTCCTGCTCTTATGTTTTGACTCAGTTTTTCTTTTTCAACTTTTCACAAACGTCAATTCTAACCAGCTTAGATTTTTAACCATGTCCTCAACTTGCACTTTGGGCGTTTATCCTTTGCCATCAGAATAATAGTAATAATTTATAAACTTATTCAACGCATGCTATTAGATACAAGCTATAAAAACCTGTTTTCTAAATGATCTCTGATCTAATCCTTGACATAATTATCGTCTAAAACTCTTTTCTTTCATATAAATACAATTAAAGGTAGGAGAGAAAACCTCCCAAAATTGTGCTTCGTCCGGGCAGTAAGGTAGACGAACGAATAAACATGAAGTCAGGAGTGATTTGGATACATGCACTTAAATTTTCATATGTCGTTGTCTTATCCCCCAAAGGCGAGAAAAAATGTGAGCCTAACCCGTGTCAGAACAGTGGAGTCTGTAGAGAACTTATAGAGGACGAAGATTACAAGTGTGAATGTTTACATGGATATAGAGGCAAGGATTGTGAAGGTGAGTTAATTGGATGTCTTTCCCCAAATTCTAAAGGCTTTTAAAAACCGTTTAGTGATAATTCTGTGCAACAGAAATTTGTACCAGTTTGATTCTGTTGTTGTTGTTGTTGTTGTTTTTTGCAGAGGAGATTAACCTGTGTGAATCAAATCCGTGCATAAATGGTGGCACATGTTCTACGTTAGGAAGTTCATACCACTGTCTTTGTGTCGAAGGATTCAGGGGAATAAATTGTCAGGGTGAGTTGAAAAGCAATTGAATTGATATCGACCAAATTTCCTCATTTGCTATCGAGCTGCTCTTTTTACCTAGTAAGGGTAAGTCAGTTTACCACCCAGGCAGCCCATGGGTCAAGGAGCCTATGCCTTTTTTTCTTGGAGCAAAGGGATATGGCTTGTTGCTACTACCGTGTTCCTAGCAGAACGGGTTCGTCGTGGGTCACCATGCTCCTAAGAGCTCGTGGGTACCAATTTCTTATATCGATGGCGACGAACTCACTGAGAGTTATGCTTCTTGTCCAAGAACACAACGCTTTGAACCAGTCAGGGATTGCAAAATTCGCGACCCACAGGCCAGGCCATAAACAGTTAGGCCCTTTCTTCTTAACCAGAACCCCTGATCCAATAGCTAGCCGATCTAAAATCAACAAAATCGACTGTTTAACAGAGCCAGATAGATGTCACGCACTTCCTTGTCAAAATGGTGGATCATGCTATCAGGAAATCACCGGGACATACAAATGTCAGTGTCCAGAGGGATTTAGAGGTTTCAATTGTGAAGGTCAGTATGTGTTAGTGCTTTGAATAGAAATCAAACCAGAGACATACTTTACGCTTGCCTAAAACCTTTTGTAATCTGAGGAGCAGAAATCCACGTGGGTTTACCAGGCCTGGACTTTGAAAGATGTGTCATGTGGTCGAGCTGATCAAAAAACATTTCTTACCTCGGCCAAGACATCGATCGAATACCTCTCAATTTTTGATATGCAACTCTGCAGGACATTATATCTTTGTCATTTACCCCCCATATTTTAGAGGAGTTGAAGTGTCATTCCAACCCATGTCAAAATGGTGGTACCTGTTTTGAGAACAGTGGTGGTTATACTTGTACATGCCAACCAGGCTACAAAGGGATCAACTGTGCAGGTAATAAGCTTCAATAAAATCTACGATTTGCCATAACAATGACAAAGTGATGGGTAACTACATCTCAACTTTAACTTCATCCCAACTCTTTGCTGTACGATCTTGACCAATACATTTGTTTTCATGAGAAGAAAAAGAACTATCGTAAAGGTCGGCATACATCATGCAAGAACTGATAAAATCTGCAATGAACCCCTTCTCTAGAGCGTGACAACTGTCACCCTAATCCTTGTCATCATGGTGGCGTGTGTGAGATCGACGGCGAAGACTTCACTTGTTCCTGTTCGTCGGGGTGGACTGGAATCACGTGTGAAGGTAAGTTCTTTGGAATATTTTTTAACAGTGGATAATACATAGACGATCGTGCGGACAGACACACGGACGACCGTGACTTGCTGCCTACATGGACGAAATGAGATGCAAGCAGTACACGAAGGAAAAGGTTGATTACTCTAAAAAATCATGTCTTCCCTATTTCGGTAGATGAAGACCACTGTCACCCGAGTCCTTGTGAGCACGGCGGAGTTTGTATAGCAAAGGGAGCATCCTATGAATGTCACTGTCCCATACATTGGACGGGAATTAACTGTGAAAGTAGGAGCTCTTTTTTATATATCCTTTATGAACAAGGTCGATCACTTCAAGTCCAGTCCATTATCAAATTATGGGAGCAAAAACTCCTTAATTCTGTAAACCATTACAACAGAGAAATTTTAATACGCTATCAAAAATAAATTCATCTGATGCGAAACTAAAACAAACACTGGTGACTTGTCCACTCCTGTTTTCCTGCATTTTAAACGGTTTTTCACTTTCACTTTGAGTAGTCATTGGCTCAGCTTTGGCTGCTAGTGATGCTTAACTTTATTTTGATTGGCTGTAGTGATACTTACCTTTATTTTGATTGGCTTTAGCGATAACTTTGGTTTTGGTCTTGCGACACTCAATCGAAATTCACTTTAATGACATAAGTCAGCCATCGCTATCAATAACGACACTCGAGAGCTTTTTACATGTAAAGCCGGAGAAGCTTCACCTTTGCCTGCGTCAAACAGGATATTTATAAATCTTTCATAAACTTGAGATGAGATCTAATTTAAAGCAGTTGGAGATTGCCAAATTTTTCCATTGCAACCGATCAAGTTAGGAACGTTGACCTACTGTGTTTTTAGTACCACTGTATAAATATTTATCCACTGCTCTATTTAAATCTTTCACAGCACCCTCCACAATAGCTTACGCAGTGGCCAACACATGCGCTGCCACCACCTACGGCTGCTGCCCTGACGGGAAGACACCAGCTGCAGGACCTCACCAGACAGGCTGCCCAGGTATAGATTTTACCTTAGCAAACGCGACTTCATAGTCACACTTTATAATCTTTAACAGATTGAAAACAGTCAGTTTAGGGACAGTTATAATTTGTCACCTTAGAGCGGTGGGGGGATGGGGAATGTTTGGAGGATCACATCGTTTTCAGGAGGAAAGGAGAGGGGATCGATGGTCGGCATAAAGGGGGGACCAGGGAAAATTGACTACCGATAAGGGGGAGGGGGAGTCTTTAGAATACTACAGAATCTTAGGCTTGATTTCATCGCAACAAAACCAAAATTCTCCAAACCTCTCCCTCCCCGATGATAAATAATGACCGGTCCCTCACTTGCCTGTCCACGTTGGTTCACTCCCCGGACTCTGGGTCAAAATTCTATTCAAACCAAATTATCAACAGCCCTATATTCCAATTCTGAGCTTGAAAGCTAAGCCACGCCAATGTCAGTCATACATGAAGTTCAATATGATATAGTTGATGGGATCAGATCCGTAGCAGGTCAATAAATTCTATAGCATTTTATACTCCCTGTAGTTTAAGTGTAAATTATGAGTACTCTGCTTGCACGGTGCTTTTAAAACGAGTTCAAAGTTCATCTTTATTCTGAAACCTATAACAGATCTTTTCGCATCTGTTTCGGTTTTGTAAAGAGTTTTTGACGTTGTTTTCTTTGTTTTTCCTAAAAATGTTAAACTTGTTCCGGTCATCGAAAAAGAACATATTGGAGGTGAGATATGATCTTCTTTATATGATCCGTATTATGTATATTATTTTTATTTCTTGATCCGCATTAATTGAAACTTTCCGTAGTGTAAGGGGTTTATGGCGGATGTGTGTATATCTGTATATTTACATCTCACCACGCTAACAACGAGGAGCCATCGTAGTCCATCGGTCAGGAAAATAATTGGAACTATTCTAAAGATGCCGAAAATGATTCCAATCGGAAAACGACAAGAACAGTAGGAATAACATACTAAGACCGATCGAAAGCTAGCGATTCATTTCAAATGCGAACCTAGCTGTGGAAATAAAAATCCGGAATTTGGGTCAAATCATTCAGACGATAAGCGATCCGCACCTAATCTATGAATCCACTTGATTGAATGTGAGGATCCGAATCGTTATGAACTGCACAAGAAGAAAAACTTGTCAACGTTCTTGATCTCGTTGTTGTTGATGACTACCAGTGGTGGAGACCACAAATCTCGTGCCTGTGATGATGATATTGGCTATACAAGTGTTTATGTCTCACTCAGACTGATGATGTGTTAAAGTTCCTACAGGCTGTTGAAGAACGATCTATTATACATAATCCGTAATGATAAAACAGTAAACAAGTCCTTTATTTCATTTTAAATCTTTAGGTATCGCAAAGTAAGCGGTCCAGTGTTCATGATGTCAGCTTCGATTCTGGCAACTCAGATAGGGGCCACCTTCAGGAAGAGTACCCTTGCCTGTTATTTGTATGAAAGATGCGGAGTGCATGCTTTGTTTGAAAGAGTAATCTAGCTTGAGCTGAGCTCGGATCATTCGCATTGTAAATATTAACGCTAAAGTAATCTAATCAAAGTATGCTATGAACACTAAATTAGTTGCCACAAGATGGATAAATAGAGTGTGTCATACAAAGGTACTTTTACCTTGCGAGATTAGATCGAAAGAAATGATTTAAGAATCGATTCAAGAAAGTTTTGCGAACTGTGGGAAACTTACAGATCAACTATCAATTTTCTATTTTTAAACTGACGTTAGCTCGTTGAAAATTGATGGAGTTTCTCAAAAAGTTACTGTTGAATATTTGGAAACTGTTTGATTCTAAGGGTTGATTTCCGCATTTTTCACGAGTCACTTCATTTAGCCCAGTCAGGAGAGGAGCGTGAGCTCATTTTCCGATCAGCGGCTAGTAATCGTGCTGCTGTTGTAAACAACGTAGGAGTAAAACGTCTGCGCATGTGCGGACGCTGCGGTGGCCAGACGTCATACTTCATGGCTGTCAGAGCTGTTTTGACTAACAGGATCCTGAGAAACAACCACAAAGGCTAGTTTGTCGCAGTGTTTTGAAAACGTGCAGCTTTTTTCGTTAAAGCTTTAAAAACACGATGAATGAATAGAACACACTTCATGAAATCAGCATTGTGTTAGGAAAGTCCTGAGTTTTCCCTATGCTGCTTTTATTTTCATGTGAAAGATTTCAGTGAACGTTTCCATTCCTTTTTTGGTTGTTTGACACGCTTTTCTTTTACATTTTGCGCCGGAAGTTGGCGCGCGACTGGCCGAAATCGATCCACTTGTGCATGCCTTACGTTTGACTCCTGTGTTACGACAAACAGTGGCTGTATTAATATCATATCGTCGCCGATATTTTGAATGTTTTAGTTATCATTGCTTTACAAACGGAGATTGGTTGAGAACAGCACTGGTATTGTCATGTTAGTTGTGTTGTTACAAACTTGTTATGCTGGTGACATTGCTAATACTCTTTCCGCTGGAAATTTTCAGCTGTATTGATCCGTTTTGACAGGCTCGGTTTATCTGTTATGACTTTTCATCCAAGCAAGAAATTTTTATCTGGGCATGTTTTGCCACCAACGAGTGAAAGGCACATAGTATTAAAAATGTTGATTTGTACTAATAAAAGATGACACTTGATTTTGAACTTGACTCGGCTCACAGAAGTACTTTCTAATTATTAGAAATGACAGACTCTAGTCCACAACGACTCAATGTTTTCTTCTCCTTTTTCTTTCGCAAAGTGTAAGTTAATTAAAGCTGACTTGTCTTTTGAATTAATCTCAGGGGTGATGGTAACAAAGAACTCTGATTCAAATAAAGAAAAAGAAAAGATATTAAATGAAGAATCACATAAGCTTGCAGCAATGACCGATACATTAAATTAATAAATATCTATTTATCTTCATTGAACAATTGGTTCGAGTGACAGCAGTTGTTTATCTAGATATGAAAAGAAAGCGACAGTTGGAGGACCAGAAAGATGCGTAAGAGTTATTTGAGTGCTCTCCACACTCCCTAAGTACCCAATATTTAGATATAGGTGCCGCAGCTGACGTTTGAAACAATCGTTAAATATAGACAAGTAAATAATTATATATTAGCTAATACGTCATTGCCAACTCACGAATGCTCTATTTTGCTATTTTCATCTATTTCTTTTCTAACTAGAATACGATGCTATAATATGTCATTAACCTTTTTGCATTGAAAGCCGTTATTAGCTATTTTTCCTGGCTCTGGTTTTAACAGTTTCTTAAAATCTTCAGAAGTCCATCCTAACATCTCTTATATGGTTCGTAAGCGGCACACTTTGCCAAACCACTTAGTCGCACCAATCCCTGCTGGTACTGACGTTCAGAAACACAAGCACTTCTCATCTCAGTGGCTTATATCTGATTCAGATGCGTATCAGTGAAAAAAAGCTGATGTTTTATATCGCTCTCTTATCCAGTGTTTGATTTGTTTCCCTCGTGTCTTCCACAACATTCACTGAGCCTGAGGGGAAAAAATGTTTAGTTTAATTGTAAAGTGATTATCAGAGCATCCGCCGTTTTCTCTAATTTTTCCGGTTTCTTTTTATAACCATCCAAAATTAACTTACTCGACGGCTTTTTTAAAGCTGTGGTGCCTTAGTATTTCAAAATTACCTCAAGCGGGTGATTATAGCGAGGTATGATGTAATTCTCGACCAGTCACCTAGAGCCGGCTGTTCGAAGCGTGGGCAACGTTATCTGCTAGATAAATCTCTATCTCGTGGATGGCGCAGTACGTTTTGTCAACACATCCTCTAGATTGCGATTTATGCTTTGAAAAGCCTTATCTGCCTTTTGAACAACTGGTCCCTGAGTAATTATAATTCTTGGGAATAATACCCCGAATCATGTAATGCGTGTCGCCCGTGGTGCCCCCTAAGTACACCAATTGACCAATGGGAGGGCACGTATCATTTCAGCCATTTTTCAAATAGTTAAGCGACACACCTATCGACCAATATAAACTCGTGGTACATATAATATCTTAGGATAGTTATGCAACTGATCTACCCGACTATGTATTTGTAAAATATCTATGATGGATGAACTTGAAGTACGCCAAACATTTTGTTTCAGAAGTGTAGAAAAAAAAAAAGAGGAGCCGTATTTCGAACCAGGAGACGTTTCAGCAATAACACACAAACTATTCTCGTAAAAACATACCAGAGTCAAAGCGGACATCAAAGAAAAGCTGTCCATTTTCACTTTCTATACGTTATTACCGAGTTCCAAATTTACCACATTTGTTATTCTGTTGAGGAAAATTCCAAAAAGCTCATTAGTCTGGTACTGGACCTCACTAGAACGAACTTGAAAGCAATTCGAACGTTGTCAACAATTGTTGCGCAGAAGACTGGCACGAGGCAAAATTCTAGCGAGCATGTTTATAAGTCTTTGACGTAAGTGCATAATAAACCAGCAGTTCTTTCCGCGCAATATCCGCAATGGCCCGTAAAGCCAGCGACAGGAAAGTCAGATTGACTCCGTAAGTTGAACAAGATGGCCTTGAGCGCTAAGTCTCTCCGGCTGTTGTCCTTCGTCCATGTAGCGCTTGGTGTTTTAGCGATTATCGGAGGTCTTGCCGCAATGTTAGTGACAAATTATTACAATGGACTGTACGGCATGGGCATCTGGCTAGGCTGCTGGGTAAGTTAAATTCGTTACCGCAGCTCTTATGTAGCTGCTATATAATTTGATTGTCGGCTCAAAACGACTAACCCGTGCCCGCTGAATACTGGTACAATTTCCCTCGAAAGTTACATTAAGTGGGACGGTAAGATTTACGCTTACGTAAGGGGTTTCTGTTGTAAGTTGTTTTAGGGCTTCACCTACATGCTAGGAAGTTAGGTGGTACAAAAATTATCATGAAAACATTCAGTATATATGTGATATTTGTTTGCGGTTACGGAAAAGAAGGTAGCGCGTGTGTTTGAGTGTTTATGTGAGCTCGGTGTTTCTTTTTTTTTTTCTGACTGCCCTTGCGTGACAAAAATTCTATACAATCTGAATAAATTTATTTCCCTCGATATTAAGTGTGCGTCGGAAAGCTGTTTCTTGATGATTTTTGCCGATATGAACGTTTCCTGAACAAAAAATACCAAGGATACCTGTAGATAAGTCGAGAAAGACGAGATCGGGGTACTGAACGGAAAGGAACGTTGACAACGGGCCAGTACGTAATCATGGAAAGAACGTTTCATGGCAACAAGAAAGCGGACAGTCCGTCTGTTCTTAACCCATATGTCACATTAACGTCAGAGTTGCCTGGGGTTTTGACATTAATTAACATGAGTGCAAATATTGCTGGATTTTTTACGCCTGACTTGACCAATTTTTTTCCTTTTTCTATAAAAAGAGGCTTTTTTTAACATGAACACACACTTAAAATTATAATAGATTAGAAAAAAAAAATATATATATATATATTATAGGATGAAAACAAGGATAAACTAAATTGACTATACAAAATATATGAATTATATTTGTATTTCAATATTACGATGCCTGTATTCATTATTTGGAGTGTTGTTTCTGTTAAAATTGTTCTTGGATGCATCTTTTTTAAAAACATTGACAGCAGCCTGGATCCATATATACATATATTTGTATAGTGTATTTATTAGTTCTTCATTTGTTTAGATCAATGATGTTTAAGGCATGGGGACAATTTTTTTGCCAAATCATTGCTGAAATGTTAATTTACTTTGGGAGCAAACAATAGCAGTTTTAACAAAAGACCATAGTGAATGTTTGTTATTGTATTGAGTGAAGCTTAAAAGTGAAGCTTTGTATGCTTTCTGAATTTAATATGTAATATTTCAGTACTGGTAAGTTTTACACATAATTGGACAGATTGGAGTGTATTTGTTTTGTTACATATAGCTTGTTAGTGTGCCTGTTTACAAAATAACAATTTTCACCAGCATAACAGCACTATTATCATAACATAATTAAAATTTCAAAAATTTGTAATAAGGACAGTGCTAAGTCATGGTTACTCATACACTTTTTCATTTGGAGTCAAGTTAGAACTATACTTAAAAGGTTGCTAAGTTTTTTTGGGCTGCCTTTATTTCTGACATGGTGGTTGAATCTCAGGTCTTCAGTAATATGGTTCAGTTTTTTGAGTGGACAATTTATCATGCCTGTTGTTCTCATTTTAGTATTCAACGCCTATTTGCCAAAAGCAAGGACAATATTGTTGAATATAAGTCGTTAACAAATAGTTTAGACAACAACTCTGCACATTACTTTACTTTAACTTATTTCCTTTCTGAGACCCCCAAACCCCCTCCCCTTCCTCAAAAAAAACAAACAATTAAAAAAAGTTACTTAGGCCATTTGAAAATTAATCACCCTGCATATGTAGTGATGTTGTGATTGCAGCCTGTTTAATTATACCAAGAATGGAATGATATGATATTTAAGAGTCAGCTATCAATGCAATCTTTAACCTACAAATTTCCATTTCCATCTAATTCCTCTTAAGAATCCTCACTGCAGAATCAATAATGAGACCATGAGAAAGAAAGTTTGTTTTAAATGATTGTGAATATATGGAATTCATATATATGAAAAGCAGATTATCAAGAAATGAATATGGGAGGGATCTTTGCTGTAATGAAACACTGCTTAAGTCCTGTACGGGATTTGAACCTACGACCTCTGTGATGCCGGTGCAGTGCTTTACCAACTAAGCTAATGAGCCAACTGGGAGCTAATCAATATGTTGGTTCCATATAAACCCGTGAAGTGATGAATCAACAACTGTGAATGTATGAAAGTTATATGTGAACTGTGGATAAAGACGTGAATATGAAAGTGATCTTTGCAATTATGAACACTACTTGAGCAGTAGTGAATATGAGGCCTGAAAAAAATTCAGGCCTGTACAAGATTTGAACCCAATTGACCTCTGCAATACTGGTGCAGTGCTCTACCAACTGAGCTAACATTAGCCAACTGGAAGCTGATCATTATGTTGGTTTGTATACCTTGCCAAGTGGTGAATAAATGACTGTAAATATATGAAAACAATATAATTGTGAATTGATTGCAGTTATGACCACTACCTAAGCAGTGGTAAAAATAAGGCCTGAAAAAATAGTTAGTTTTGTTTTAAGCAAGCAAAAAAAATGTTTATTATTGCTGACACATTTTCATGGAAAGATGTAAGTAGCAAAATCTAAAGAAACAGTCATTTAAAAAATAATGAAAACGTTGTTCATAAAATCAAATCTCAAACTGATACGTTAAGTTGATAAAATGTAAATAAATAAATAATAATAATAAATAATTGATGACCGAAATATACAACTTACTTCAATTGGTAATACTGAAAATAACAATGACAGTTGCAATTATAATGATAACTAAATGAAAAACATATAATGATGTAATGGCTACCTTTTAGGGAGAAGTATTTGATTTGTATTCAAAGCCACTTGTTCCCTCCTGCCATTTTCTCTTCTCTGCTTTTGTCATGACTAACATCTAGTTTCTCCTTACAACATCACCCCTGAATCAAACATGAAGGTCATGAGAATAAAGGAGATGATCACCAAATAAAGAATCTCTTGATTGTTGGACAAATTCTCCTTGTCAGAACCCTTGAATGTCCAGGGAGTAGTATGGAGAATATGCTTACTGATGTTAGGGAGAGTAAAGGGTTAATTGCGCTCAATTTAGTTCTGTCAATTTTGACAATTTGCTTCTTTTTCTTTTTCATCTTCAGGTCATATTGACAGGTTCGGTTGGATTAGCAAGTTCTCTGATGCCTAGGAACTTTTGCCGGGTATTGAAAAATATTCATATTCTGAAGATGTTAGGAAGATGTTCCTTGGATGTTCCATCAATAGTCAACTAAATTTTTGTGTAAGGTATTCATAGAGTGTTTGTTATTGTTCTCTTCAGATTGGAGGCTTTTTGGGATTTTGTCTGGTTGCTGTTGTCCTCCTGTCAGTTTGCTGCATTGTAATAGGAACAGTAGCTGTAAGGCACTTTGAGTTCGAGTCAAGTGTAACTCGTGATTATTACAAAGGCAAGGGTACTTTTGGAAATGAGCATCATGAAGATTTTTACAAATCAGAAGAATATTTTGAAGGGAGGCATGAAAACGGCCGCATTGGTCTCGCTGTGTATGGCTCTCTTTTGGTCATCAGCTTATGTGATGTATTGTTGTGCTGTGCTTCTATCTATGTGTGCCGTGACCTTACTCGCAGTGAACAGGTATGAGTAATATCTATCTATCCATCCATCCATCCATCCATCCATCCATCTATCTATCTATCTATCTATCTATCTGAAGGTTGAACTAATCAATAAGACATAACTTTTCTGTGAGTCTGAGTTTCACGCTTACGCAATCATCAGACAGATTTTAAACAGTTAAATACAATAATGTACATTGAATAATGCAGCAAAATTGTAATATAATGAATCAACAAGGGGCTGGCAAAATGCATTTATTGCAAAGAAAGAAGCCTTGTCATGTTGTTGTGGTTGTTTTTTTTTTGCTTCTTGGTCAATTGTGGACATAAGTGTTGTCCAAGGCTATTCATAATTTTGTTTTTCACATACCCTTGTTCCCATCAATAGCATCATGATAGCATTCTTAATAGAAACCACACACAACCTAGTCAATACCTTACTTCACTTTGGTGAAGGGATAATACTTGAAACATCAACTTTAGAAACTCTTTATTGGTGACCAATGTACATTATCAACTCAGTTGATCAACCAATTAAAGTTATTTTGTACAGGAGGGATGAGGGGGGGAGAGGGGTAATAAAGGTAAAGGATTCTGACCTCAGCAACATGCATTTAGATTTAGGCTCACACTGCTGCTAGGACATGAAGGCTTGGCAAATGACTTAACTTAAAGTCTGAGTAAGCAGGAAGTTCTAGCTTGTGAAATTCAGTTGCTTGAGTCATAATACTCACAGCCAAATAATGGAATTACTGAAGAAGTACGTAGAGGCAATATTTGCCTTGTCCAAAATTTTCCTTTTTGTTGCAGGTAACACTTGCAAGCAGTAATAGCCGTCATTCATCATTATCTCGTTATTCCCAACGGAACATTGCTACTTTACCCATAGCAGAGTTAGGGTATAGTCATCAGAACTGGGCAGAGGTTGTCTTCCAAGGAGCTATACCCCAACCCCTACAGCCTATTCAAGGTCATTTCCTACAGCATCCAGATTTTCAGTTTTTTGCGCCATACAAATTACCGGTGAGTTCAAATTATGATTTGACCATCAGGTGCATTGTACACTATTTCTCAATTCTTCTCAGTATGTTATTATTATCAGTAATAATTGTATTTCTTTATAATATGTAACATACAATAAACTAAAGTAGAGTTAGCTTTCATTTACCAAAAAGGTTTCCAACAACTTTGTTTATTGCATCTTAACCCATTACACCCCAACATCAATATGCATATCCTCTAGAATGTCCTCGTTAAATTTCCTGATAAGAAGAATTTGTTTAATAATCAAGAGCCTTTTTAATTGGTGGTCATTTCCTTTGTTTTCGTGACCTAAATGTGTGATATCATTCTGGGTGGATATCATAAGGAGAAATTATATGCTAGTTACTCTTAAGGGCCAAAGGGCTGAGGAGAAATTTGATACTTATTCAAGAAATTAAAGACTGACATGATTCAATGTGCAGTCTTGTCTTTTAACACTCTCAGGATTCACCAAAAAGGAATTTCTCTCCATTGTAAGTGCATTATTAAGAAGAAACGTGATCAGACAAATAAAAAATATAAATTAGATAATGCAATTTGATTAAACTCCAAATTCTCAGGGCAAAAATTGTAAGAAAAGTATGGCAGATGGTGTGGAGAAGTAATATGAAGATGTTGAGAGTGATCTGAATTGTCTTGTGTATTAACTTTCAATGGTTTGACTCTCAGAGTCAGGAAGTTTTTATATGCGCTTGCTACTTGATGCTCTTGCATGAATTTGAGCATAGGATGTGTGATGAAAATCATTTAATAGACCCTACTGCACATTTTCAGGTCAATTGTGGTATTTTATTTTTCATTTAATTCCACATGCTAGCAATTTGAAGTTCATGCCTTTAAATGTGATGACGCATTTTTACTTTCTAAACCAGGACAATCATAATGCTTTAACAGTCACAGGAAGTCACAGGAAATGTCGTCGATAGTGTAACTTTGCTTCTTTAATTTCTGTTTAATCTGTCGACAATCATTACTAATATTTTCTTTTCTTCTAAATGTCAAGAATTATGCTGAACTTTACCCAGAGGGCATTGTTAACCCTGGTAACACACCTGCCAGTGAGGACACCAGGCTACAGATTGTGCCAAATGAACCACCTCCAGCATACACACCAACAGAAAACCAAGAACTTTGTCAGCTTCCTGGCTCTTCATTGGGTGCCTCCTTAAATTCACACCCAGCATTGCCAACTGAAGAAAGTGCATCAGGTCAAGAGTCAACAACAAATATTTCAGCTAGAACCTTGACACCAGAAAATATGAATGTATCGGAAGCAACAAGAGTTTCACAACTTTCCAGTAGAGAACACCCACAATTTTCAGAGACACCTTCAGAAAATCTAGTATCATGTACCCCAGTTCTTACGCTGCATGCAGAGAATTCAACTTTTTCATCACTACCTGTGACATCTTCAGCAGCAGATACTTCAGAAATTGTTAGAAGATCCTCAAGTTTTTCATCTGTATCACCAGGAGTTTCTTTGACTTCACTACCAAACTCAGTGCAACTCAATCTAGACATGGATCACATAGCGTCATCTGAATCACAAAACAACACTGCACATCGTGAAACTGTTACTACTCCTGCTGAGACAAATGGAGATACATTCACGGTGATAACTACATTGTAGCTAAGAAAATAACCACCATACTGGCTAACAAGAGAGAAAAAAAAAAAGAAGCATAGCCTTTCTGGATTGCTAGAGAATGACATTCCCTGAAGAATGTTAACTGTTCCTGTTTTGCTTCAGCCTATAGGCCTGGGCTGAATAGATGAGCTGAACAAATTGGATTAAACCACTTTGATATGGAGAGGGCTTGAAATTTGGTTATGCCTGAACAGCTGGACCCATTTTCTAATAACTATGAATCTAGTCATAATAAGGGGTCAGGAATGGTAGAGCTCCCAAAGTAAATATCCTTTGTTGAATCTCTCTTTTACGGTTCTTGACAACTAAACATAACATGGTTCCTGAGAACTTGGCTTACTTTAGGGAGAATTTCATGTCCACTTTTTGACACATACATATTAATCTGATAAAAATTAATTTGCAGACAAACACCCTGCTAAGGGTTACCAATTAGTATGGTATCCACTCCTTCCTCCTTTTCCTCAGCCTTTTTTAACATTGGCAAACCAATATCACATTTTTGTATGCAAACTAAAGAGTTGAAACATTTTCTTTGAGATGGGAGCAAAAGTAATTTCTAGCCCTAATGTACAGCTTTTTTCCTATCCTTTTTGAACCTGTCTTTGATATAAAGTTTGTACCTATGGCAACCATTTTTGCTGCACTGTGGTACAAAATAAAAATATCTCTATTTTTGGCAAAAATTATGTGTTTAATCTTTTACATGATCCCCCTGCACCTACTTAGTAAATTTAATATACACTCATATTTAAGTAAAGTGGCTTAAAAGCAGGACATAATCCAATTTAGCAACTTTATTATTTAATTGGTGTAAATATATTTTCCTACAAATTCAGTTGTGATATGCCATTAATAATTGCAAATTTCATGGTAAATAAAAATATTAATATTTTGTTCATATAGAGTCATGTTTCCTTCCTGTCAGGTGAGAGCTACCAGCATTTTCCAACTTACTGACTTCACTTATTTTCACGCAATGCATTTTAACCCTTTAAAAGGCATTTTGATATACCTGAATAACTCCCATGAGTGACCAGGACAGAATTTCTTTGAACTAACATCATAAGAATCGTCTGAAAAACAGTAATGAGAAATTTACTAATGAGATTTTGAGAGTTAAAGGGTTAAAATGATTCCAACTACCCCTCTGTTGAGACAACATGCCTCTTTGGTGAGGATCTTCTTCATTTACTGCCCTGTCCCTCAAGCCCTCTTCTCTGGACTCTTGTACTTTTGAAATTTATGAAACCCTGTCTTGATCTGATCAACTGATTTGTGACTTATTTGAGACTTTGAATTTGATTTAACTAAGTCTGTGTTCTCAGCCCGACTCCTCTGCCTTTTAAAATTTGGACCAGTTGGTAGAGGAAGGAATTGAATCACTTACTCTGGGAGAGGTCGAGGGTTAAAGCATCAGCTTAGACCAACAGTCTGAAAATGAATGAAATAACATAACTGGCTGTAGCAATGGAGAGCCTGCTATCCTTGCAATAACATTTTCAAAAAATGTAACATTCTACTCTGAGAGCAGTCTAACCAAAATTCCTCCACACAGCACAGCATGTTGGTGTGCATTAGGGTGTAAGAATTAATTCATGCAATGAATGTTGCAATACATTTTGACAACACTTATTCGATTTGCAGTTAAGCAATCTAACCATTGAATATAGCGTTATCCATCTTTTAAACAACTAGACTCAGAAATTTGTCTGTAAACTCTTACTGTTGGCTACTTTTTTAAAGAAAGAGGAATGTGAATGGAGCCTTCGGTACTTTAGGTCAGCAATTTTGTTACCAAAGGGCACAAATGTTATCATACATGAAGTTTCAAATTGCTGCGAGGACGTGCACAATCATTTTGGCTCTCCTCTAAGATAAGTTGTGCAGTTCATTTTCGGGCTTTTTTTTATTTCGATTTTGATGACCATATCAAGAGATCACTGACATGGAAGCAAATCAACAAACACAGAGTCAAGGAGCCGCCAAACAAGCCATGATTTATATCTGTGGAGGTTGGTTATCTTACTGGAACATTGTAAAGCACGAGGTGCCTTTATCCCGTAGTGTAGTTCAGACTCTTGATCTGTCTTGAACAAGAAATGATTTAAAGAAATCAAGAGAGAGAAATCACTTTGATGAAATAACTTCCTCTCGGATTTTGGAAGGTTAATGGGTATTACATTACGAAGTAGTGACTAATGATCAACAATTATTTAATAAATAGAGTAAGAAAGATAGTAAATTTTGAGCAATGAAGGAAGATGTTTTTCCGTCTTGTCACGAGCGTGCGACAAAGAAAAACTTTCGAATCCCCACGAGGAATGATATAGTAGGTACGTTAAATTAAAGGCAGCCAGAGGCTGATGTGGAGCATCAGTTATTAGTGATCTCTTGATATGGTCATGAATCGAACTTCAAACCTTCGAATTCTGCGCTCGAAGCAACAAGACGAAAAGCATCTTTCTCTAACTATTTACTAGGACTGGGTTCGGTTCTTGCATGACAGCGAGAGTAATCGAAACATCGTGGTTTGTGTTTTCTTTCAAAGTAGAAGGCCTTTGGATAATTCAAACTGAAGACTTGTTAACTCTTGCATTTATGTGAAATCGAATCCAATGGTTGCACGCTTGGGAATTACTATTGTCTGTACGTGTATTTGACAGAAATATATTACATCACTCCTTCATCTATTAGAGTCAATCTAATGACTGTCTGTGTTACCATAGTTCAAAGAGGTGAATGGTTTGGAAACCTGTTTTATTCTTCCCACAATGACAAAGTTTATTTTCATTTGATTTATGTTAGTCTTTAAATGAGGCAAACTATGGAAATTATATTATGTTGACACAAATGACTTCCCTTCCCATGTTTATGACTAGGAAGGGCTGAAACACATATACACAGACCAAAGCAAAGAGAAGAAAAAAATACTTTTGTTATATCCTGATTAACCCCTAAACTCCCTTGATGTCATTAGGAATTCTCCCAATTGTCTGCTATACATTTCTTCTGGTGTTACTTCTGAGAATTTGGTATTGGATTAAGTAATAATCTAATTGATACTTATTTTGGTTCTTATCATTTGCCTTCTTGATTTTGTATTGATATTGTGAGGAGAAATTCTGTCTTGGTCACTCATAGGAGTTAAAGAGTTAACAAGTTAATGAATAGATTCCATGTTACTGTGCTACTGTTCTGTAATATATCACAGGGTACCTCAAAAAAAAAAAAAAAATGAAATTTAGCTTCCATTTTGATAGTTTGTCTCATTTGAAGACTAACATTTGAAAAAATGATGTCGTCTGTTATCCATAACCAAACAGACACATGGCAAATGGAATATATATTTTTATTTAGATGGGCATTTGTGTCTGTCCTCCAATAGGTCATAGGTGAGAACAAATCAAAATGTGTGGGCAATTCAGCTTCTATTTTGACATGTTGTAGAATTTTAGGTGCATGTGGATCTGTGGTAGCCTTTGTGTACCCACCCAGTTCACTAACTGGTTTGCCCAAAGAGACTACAAAACCTTATTTCACCCTTTGACCCTGAAGAGTGACTAGCATCTAATTTCTCCTTACATCATCACCCCTGAATCACACATTAAGGTCATGAGAATATAGGAAATGATCACCAACTAAAGAAGCTCCTGATTATTTATTAAATTCTCCTTGTCTGCAACTTAGGAAATGTATAGAGAAGAGAATGGAGAATATGCATACTGATATCAGGGTGTAGAGAGTTTAGATAACTTACTTTTTATAATTTTTGTTTTGCCCTATTATTCAGAATGTCACACAGAAAATGAGATCAAATCAAGGGATCCAATTCGTTGTCGGGAATGTGGATACAGGATCATGTACAAGAAAAGGACAAAGAGAAGTATCCTTTTGCCAACTAGGTGTTATGTTACTGTGCATAAAGAACTATTATGTGTCCAAGGGGATTCTGTGAACAAAAAAATCAGTTGACAAAAAGACAAGGGTTCCAAAAAGTAAAAAAAAAATGAATGCTTGTGTCTGAGTGACAAGCTGTTAACCCCTTTAACTTTCAATATCTGATTGATAATTCTCCCCTCTAGCTGCTACACATTTGCATGTGAATTTGTTATGGGTAACTGGCGTAAGAACAAGAGAACATCTCCTACCTGATACATCTCAGTATTCTCATTACCTGCTGCTGGATGATATAAATGTAGAAGTTAATCACTTTTGGGAGTTACAGGGTTAAGGCATTGGAATGAATCTGTGCATGAATTCCCAGTCTGATATAATAATTTTATCATATATCCTCACCTTTTCATGATTTTGTGTGGCAATCAGTTCTAAGCTTTTACACAACCCTCCCCTCCCCCCTCCTCCTCCACCCATTTGACCCATGTCTGTGCCTGGGGAGTGGGGAATTCAAACCTTGCCTGGCTAGGGTTGAAGCTTCAAATTGATCTGTGTATTAGTCATAAGGGTCAACTTTATTTTACCTTCATTAGAATTGAGATACTTTAATAATGTTTTGAAGGATCAGTGCTTATGGGGAAGAAGCTGTATGGTAAAATCTACATATTTGTGGCAATTTGAGTTGAAAAGTAAAAGTGATTGTTTACAATGTAGTTGTCTCCTTAACAAACTGCTTCTCAAAGTGGTGGTTTTTGATGCCAGATGACATGGTTTTAACACCCTCACAAGACAATCTGCGCAAAAAAAGATATTTCTAGTGGAGTTGCAGTTCCATCTGCCCAGCAACACACCAGGAAATGAACATCATTGTATTCACACTTTACAGTCTCGTTTCTGCATCTTATCTTGCTGTACAGTACTCTTTTGTTAAGAAAATAATGCTCCATCATTAAAGTTCTTTATTTGAAACGTATCTACTTACTTTTCTCAAAATGATCACCAATCATTAACCCTTTAACTCCCAAGATCTGATTGTTAATTCTCCCCTGTAGCTACGACAGATTTCCTTGTAACTTAGTTATGACTACTTGGTGCTAAATCAAGATAGCAGCTTCTACCTGATAAATTTGAATATTCTCATTACCTGTTTGCTAAAGAATGTATGGATATTGTAGGGAGAAGTTTTATTTTAATCACTTCAGGGAGTTACAGGGTTAAAAAGAAAAAAATTCTTTAGACTTTACCTGCAATCAGAGAAGCTTGGGCTTGGTAAATATTTCACTTTTTCGATGGTACCATGTACCAACCTGACATTACAGAAGCGGTAACTAGAATGAGAGAAATGAAATTAAATTGCGCTGTTATTGATCGTTATATTGATCCTGTTATAGACAGGAGTGTTTGTCGTTTTGCAGTGAGCATGAGACACTCACCCACAAGAAAAAGAAAGCAACGCTTTTCTGGATTGCTTTTAAGTTGGGAGGAACGGGATTGAAGAAATAACAACCATGCAGCTCACGAAAAAGCACCCAGAAGGTCTACTCCCCATAGGAAAGCGAGACGGGAATTTTTTTCTGCAAGAAATTGCTTGCCGCTAGTTGGCAACGCGCGGTGGCTTAGTGTGAGGAATAAAACAATTTTCGGGTCCGTTGGTTATGAGACAGTTATTCCCTTGCTGTGAGTTAAAGTGTTTGATATCTTATTTTACCGCGGTTAGTAATTAAGTATTGCGATGAATATGAACATTGTACTTTCCATGGAATTTTTCGTCTCTGAAAACGACCAGTTCTAACGATCTGGAGGGCGTGGCACTGAACCTTTACCTTAAAGAATATTTAAATGACGTTCAAAAAAAATAACAAAGGAAAACAACAAAAACAAACAAAAAAAAGCAGTAAGAACTCTATGCTACTTTCAACTGTCAAAATGAAGTAAATTGGTGAGACACTATTGTAAAAAAACAAACTGCTTTATTTGTGAGCTAAGGCGCTCGTCTGACTTCTTGTTAAATAACAATATTTACAACGCAATTTAAGAATTTTCAATTTTTACAACCATCGCATTCGAAAATCTCCAGTATAGTGACAAACTCTCTCTAAGCTCAGAGTCCGAGTGAGAGTTTATCGATGTGCTGTTGACATGAAGCGTGCACTCGGTGAGTATTGACGTAACAGTTGTGTACTCTCGTGTAAGCGTCGGATCAAGTTAATTGAAATGTTTTATGTACAATTTGTTGGTTTGTTTCCTTTTCGTATAAGGACTGGAAAGCCACTGAGATAACAGTCTGACACTGATTATACTTTGATCCTTTGACTCTCCTAAACCTTTGTCACTAATCACTTATAAAAAATATTATGTGACATCTTCCAAAAAACATTTACATTTTAAATTGATATTGTCTATAAAATATCATCATCACACCAACGGGATTCTTTTCAGCCCAATTAACTGTAGACTTTTCTACCCAAGCACGAAAGAGCCGCACTTAAATTATTTCACTGTCCTACGGTTCGTCATACGACAGTCTTAAGGTAATTGATTGTGAATCATTAATGATCATTAACAATATGAACGGGTGAGGGGAGGGGGAAGGGAATAAACTCTCAACAAAGTAAATAAAACTAAAAACAATGGCCCAATCTACACCTAAACTTACATTATAAGCTTATTTGTTTATACTAAAAATGAAAATGTAAGTAAATGGAGCTTAATCGCGTTCTTTGGGGTCGTTTTGTTTGACAACTGAAAAATGATGGACACATTGGTGAAGCCTTTAAAATAAAAATGTGCGAAGGTCGACAGACATCGCAGAGACAAGACAACATAAATGCGGAGCACGAATGGCTCAGGACGGACACGAGTTGCACGTTGACGTCAGATGAATTTTCCTCTGCTATGCATACGAGTAAAAACTCTACACAGAATCTGCAGCTGGTCTTTTATCTTCTTCGTTATCTTTCCCCGATTCTTCCTGATCTTTGCCATTTCGCTCGGTGGACGAGTCTTCCTTGGGCGTCTCCTCGTCATTCGTACTGTGATCGAGTGATTCTCTTGGATCTTGAGGGGTAGGGTCGTCTTTCTCTCCCTCAGGTGGTTCCTGTTCTGGGGGATCTTCCCGCGACGTTTCCTTTACAGAACTTTCTCCAGGCTCATTCTGTTGCTCATTATCATTCTCCTTCGTTATATCATGTTCTCCAGCAGGGAATTCACCTGACGGTTGGTCAGCCTCCTCTTCAGGTGCAGCAGACTCTGGTTCCTCAGGATTCCCTTTGCCTGCCGCCTCCTCAACTTCAGGAGCAGAATGATCACTTTCTTCAAGTTCATCTCCACCTGGTTGTTGTTCTCCTTTGTCGTGGTTCTCTCCTTCTCCTTGTTCCGCGTGTATTTCACCCGACTCAGCTTGCTCCTCCTCGCCCTTTTGTTTTTCCTCCTCGCCGTCTGTTTTGTCTTTCTCTTCCACGCCCTCATCTTTGTCTCCTTCGCCTCCTTTTTCGTCTTCCTCGTCTTCTCGTTTGTCTCCCTCACCTTCACGTTCTCGTTCATTCTCTCCTTCACGTTCCTGTGCACTCTCTTCGCGTTCTCGTTCATTCTCTCCTTCACGTTCCTGTGTACTCTCTTCGCGTTCATGTTTATCTTCTCCTTCGGCCACAACAGGTTGTTCATTACCATCTTCCTTCCGATGTGCATTATTCTTTCGTTCGTTTTCTCTTTCCGTCAGGAACTGCTTCACTTCATCAGATATTTCTTTTGATATCTGATTCATTGGCAGGAGCGTAAGGTCGACAACTGACTTATTGGCTTTTGCTGCTTCAAAAAGCTTTAGCGCTCCTTCGTCACCAATTTTGTTCCCCTCCATGTCAATGTAACTGAGGCTTTTACATCCTCGTATACCGTCAGCCAAGACAACAGCTTCCTCGTCACCTAAATTATTGAAGTCTAGAGAAATTGTTTCCAAAGTGCTGTTTGTGGTCAAGGCCTTGCTAATACTCTTCCAACCCTCCAAGTCAATGCTGTTACCGCTGATCGTTAGTATCGAGACCGTCTGGTTATGCTCGATCAGTTTGGCGATATGTTCGGCGCCATCTTGCGTGATGCCACAGTCTCCTATGTCCAGGTTCATTATTGCCGTGCCTGTGGTTTCTAAAATAGCGTCGACTAGTATCCCAACTCCATCATCGTTTAACTTATTTCCATGTAACCTGAAACAGAGCAATGAATCCGATATCAGCGGATTTTCTCGCTGTAGTGAGAGGGATTCGAATTTGACATATCTTCGAGATCTATCTTAAAAAATAGGCGAGCTACTTTGCTGATACAACTGTACCAAAATGCTGATACAACGGTACCATGACATCTTTGATCAAAACGACACAAAGAATCTTACAAATAGACAGGATAAGTTCAAAATCAGTAGGTACTCACAGTAGCATCTTAATTGAATTGTTCTCTCTGATAACTTCAGCCAATTGTTTCGCACCTTCTGGTCCGAAAGTATTCACACTTAGGTTCAGCATCTAAAAACAATCAAACAAACAAGCACACCAGTTAATATCATTCTATCTAAAACATTTACTCACTGCTGTGGGTGATAAATTGACGAACGCACCTTTAAATCGAGCCTATTCTTCAGAGAAGGAGTCAGTATTTCTAGCATATTGTCATCTAACGCAGCATTTCTGAGAATAATTGATCCAAGCTCCTCTCGTGAGTCGATGATACTTGCGAGCTCTTCAACCTGTGATGTAGGAAAAAAATAATTGATCCAAAAATAAAGGGATTACCTGTTTTAAACAAATAATAAATACCCTGGAAAAAATTAATAACCTTGAAGTTCTAGGACCGGTTATCTAACAAAGTTTAACCGTTGTTTGACAAAACCGCGTTCTAAACTATCTTCAACGTAGCCGAACCTTTTGTCTTAAAATTTATTTTTGTGAGCTGTGTCAAGAGGGCCGACAGTTGACAGGGGAAGGACACTTATGACATCAAATCAATCCCTCAAAGACAACACCAGAGGCCCATTGCTTGTGTAAAACTGTGGTTTAGGTAGGACCTCGCCTAAATAACCGGCCTATACGGTTAGGTTCTTTTTTTTCAGAGGGCTTAGTTCGAAATGGTCATTAACCCTTAAACTCCTAAGATTTGGTCGTTAATTCTCCTCTCTACCTGCTACTCATTTCCTTGTTAATCGTTATAAGTATCTGGTGTACGATAAATATAACAACTTCCATCTGATAAGTTTGAGTTTCTCGTTACTTGTTTGCTGGATAATGTTTAGATATTTTGGGGAGAAGTCACAAGTTAATTATTTCTGGGAATTAAAGAGTCAAAATTGAATAAAAATGAAAATGTCAAAACACTCAATTCCTTCAATCGTGCCTTTACTGTACCTGTTCTTTGGCAAGTTCAACGCCAGCGATGTCAACATCCTCTTTCCCTTCCAGCAAAGAACGGACTGAACCCTGGTGCTTAGCACCAGGCTGCACGCCCACTGCCTTCAAAGCCTGATCCGGTAACTGACCAGATGAGACTAAGTCTGGATCACTTCCGGGATCTTGACCAGGTTCTGACTTCAGTTTCCCATTCTTTTTGGAATCTCGCTCTGGCGATAAACAAGAAACAAGAAACAGAGAGTTAACGGTGAAAAATTGAAAGGAAAAAAAAAAAACAACAACAACAACATGCTGGCAGTGCTCTAAGATGCGACTGTTTTGTGAGTAGAAAACAAGTGAAATTTGGCGACCAAATATGCTAAGAAAGTCGCCAATTTGGCCACCTGCCTTTAACGGTAATGCAGCATGCTGAAACATTTTTATTACTAAATGTTTACGGCGTTAACTTAGAGTGAGATAAAAATTTGCATACATATTACTCAAAATTTCCTTGCTTTTTTACCTTATTTACTTGGTCGACTGACATTTTAATTTTAGCAACCTTTCCATTACTTTACATCTCCAAATGGTGTTGGACTTGGCTCCCTACGTAGGCGCAAAGCACTGCACACTTCCAGGATCTTTGATTACATTTGATTACAGTACTTGTAGACAAACGACTACCGACAAGCTATTAGATTACAATTAGCTTGTCAATCATGTTGTTGATGTCTTATTGGTTATTGGTAAGACAGAGTACGATATCACTCTTTTCTAACCATTATACCTTGTTTTCCTTCATCCTCGCTGTCGCTGCTTTCACTACTGCTACTGCTACTACTACTGCTGCTGCTGCTGCTGTCACTAAGCTCTGGAGACTTCACAGTATCATTCCTGTCAGGTTGGTCATCCTCTTGATGCTCCTGCTCAGCTGGGTTAGTGACTCCGTTCTCCCGTCCGTGATCCAGGGACTCAGGGACGTCTTCAGCCTCCTCGTCATCCTGCTCAGCAATACTTGTACTTGGACCCTGCTTGTTTGGCGTTTCTTCGTCGTCTGGTACTTCGTCTGGAGTCTAAAAAAATGAACATCGTACAATGTATTATCAGGGTTATCAAGGACGTCCTGGATAACGAGCTGCCCTCGAGAATCGATTTAGGACATTAAAGGAAATTTGTGAAGGATCATGCACTTGGCTTAACTCACGACAAGCTAGTCGTTTCGCTGCCATACCTCTTCACCTTCCTCGCCTCTCTCTCCATCTTGGTCACCTTCAATAACAGTGACATCCTCATCAAACGAAACATTTTTGCTCTGTCTTCCTTCAGAGTCTGCTGGACTCGCTGGGCGTTCAGCATCCTGTCATCAACAAACACAACAACAAAATGGGGTCAACGTTTAAAAGGCTAATCGAGAGGTGTGTTGGATCAGGTTTCCGCTGAGCGTCTGAAGGCCAAAATCAACGTTATTGCAACAACCAATCAACAAAGAGGTCAACATCCTCATAAGCCAATGAAAATTCAGAGTTTAAAGAAGCAAACTGCTCGAGCGCGGGAAGAGCCCGGTGCGCAGCCGCGATGGTTTTAATTTTGCATCTGATTGGTTGAGAGTATGACGCGAGTTTTCTGAACCAATCACAGAACGAAGTAAAGCCAAGTCAAAACAATCCGCTCAATTCAAATTACTGTCTTAATATCCATTCTTATATTCATGCAAACATTACATCAACCGATTATCATAAGTCGATATTCATAACATCCGGAGGAAAATATCATCCAGTAGGACTACCTCAATGGGATTACGATTAGTCCCCTTTTCACAGTAAGATATGTCGAAACAAAAGAATTTGACCTCAAAGGAAAATATAACCGTAGCCAAAAACCTCGTCGTTTCGTTTTACAAACAAGGCAGCTATTGCTCAAATTCACCACCAGACAAAGCAAAAATTACAATTATGTATTAAAGTGATGATCAATCTCTCTGGCAGGCCACGAGACGCACTAAGTGTGCATGGAATCTTGCGCAGTAAGGATGCGCAATGCCATACCAAGGAATGAATTTAGGTTGGAGATGTTTCAAAACACCCTCCGAAACACTGATCATATATAACAGGGTTATCAATTTAGAAACCTCCCCATCATTACCGAAAAAATTAAAACAAAAGTAAAACGAACAAACAAACAAACAGACAAACAAATTAACAAAACCCTTCCCTAGATTTATTTGTATATTAAATTATATCTATAAAATGGTTCTTTAATTTATTAAAAAAAAAAAACACCGCTTTTAAGCTCTCAATATTTAGTCAGGTTTCACGTAAAACATTCCTCAGTTTGTTAAGATGATTCAAAATATCGCTCAGAATTGTATCACACCTTTCGCCAGACTTTATTATCATTTATTTGTGGGGACATTATTTTGTTTTAAACTTACTTGTAGTTAATATTATCGGTATTGTTATTTTCCATTCTCTTTCCATTTTCAAATTGTCGATTGTTTTCTTACAAAGAAAAAATAAAGCCATCCAGATGGCTAGACTCACCACCCCGGAAACATAGCTGTATCGACATAACAGTTTGTATTAATTTATTGCGCTTATTAGAACAAGTAAGGAGCTTTTCCTTAATATAGTTTATTTCATTTAGATTTATTTTTGTTATAATTCTTTTATTCTTGTTTACTTTTGTTATTTAGATTTATTAATTCACTTTTCGCATTAAATCTACAGATTACTTCTAGTTATTTTATTTCATTTTACTATTGCTATTATCGATATTATTATATTTACTATTAATATTATCATTATTACAATTACTACCTTTGTTGTCATCACTTTTATCATTATTATCATTATTATTATTATCATCATTACTCTTATTGGAATAACTATTTTCAACGTTTTCGAATGCACAATATTATTATTATTATTATTATTATTTTTTTTTTTATCATTTGTTTTATCCGTTAGTAGTTGTCTGTAGTAGTAGTGGCTGTATTGTATAGTAACGTATTTCAGGGTATGCATCTATGATTACGAATTGTCTGTAATTAGTACTTTTCAAACGGGCCCGCCTAGACAAGCATAGGTTATCTGCGAGCCAGGAGAAAATTTACCCTGCTTCTTAAAGATGTTTATCTGAGATTGATTTATTCCTGTACACTACAATACACGGTTTCTGTAACACAAACAGATACGTTACAGAGGCTCTCGTGGTAAATGTACATGGCTTATTGTTTGTAAGTTGAGCAATTTTCGGCTGTGTGTCGGAAGCAGGGACCGCGCAGAAAGTTTTCGAGTGGGGGGGCTAAAGAAGACTGCGTGAAGGAAAATTTTTTTGTTAAATTATTTTTTGTTTAATTTATTTTTATTCTTGCAAAAAAGTGGGGGGGGGGGGGGGGGGGGGCTAAAGCGACCCCAGCCCCTCACTCTGCGCGGTCCCTGGGAAGTACTGAAATCTGGGATGTAATTGCATGGTTTACCTTCCATCACGCTGTGATTGGTTTAGAAAATCCGCGTCACCCTCTTGGCCAATCAGCTGCAGAACGAATCTGCACTTTGACATATACATGCTCCCGCAGTTTGCTTCTTTTTCCTTTGAGTTCTTTTCGGCTCCTTTAAATATTTTATTTTTTCTGATTAGCCTACCTGATTACTTAGGTTTTTGGTTTCGGGACGCACAAGTCGAGGAGATTTCGGCAAGTGGTTTCTTCTGTTAATGTTTAACACTTACGTGATTGTTTTCCTTATCTGTTTCATCCTCAATCTCTTCAGCATCATCCTCTTGTTTTCCAGTGTCAGTTGCCTGTTTTTCCTCTGTTTCATCTGGAATATCATCAGGTTCATCATCTTCTTTTTCACTGTCTTCATCCTCTTCACCCTCACTTTCAGACTTGCTTTTCTCTTTCTCTCCATCCGACTCGAAGTCTTCATTATATTCCTCGTCATCTTTACCATCTTTATCATCTTTTTCATCTTTATCTGTATCTTGTTTCGCGTCACTTTCTTCCTTGTTGTCTTCTTCCTTATCCGGGGATTCTTCGAACTCATCATCCTCATATTTATCAGCTCCTGATTCTTCACCTTCGCCACCACCTTCATCTGTCACCAAAAAAAAAACCATTATTGTCAATACAGGACGTTGATATTACTTAATAACCTGTGCCAGGCGCTCAGTTTACAACGCAAAGCACGATAGCAAACGGCGCGATAGTAGCAGAGGAATGAAAAAATGAGAGAGATTTGGGTCGGATCGGGTCGCGTAAAGAACTTAAGACCCAAACTCCCCTTCATACGCGACCCGACCCAAGTCTCCCATTTTTCTCGTTCCGCCGGAGCTATTTCGCTCCGTTTTACTACATGACTACTTAGTGAAAAGGGAGCAAGGCTCGTTCCGAGAGACTCAATCAACATCGTCTTCAAAAAATTTACTGGATTCTCCGGCCGCTGGAGATAGCATTCGCGCAATGTAACAATAGGTAGAATTTTTAAAGATTTTATTTTTTGTAAATGAAAATGTCACGGTAAAAGGCGGCGTTCTCCGATCACAAGCAGTGTTTCTCACAAAAGATTACCCCTTTCTTGCACTGTATATAATTACAAAAATCATTTCCTGTTGTCAATCAACTAATTTGGTTTGTCACACAATTGAAACACGTTAGGCCCAGTCCCCGACACAAAAAAGGAAACTATTTCTTTCCTTGATGTCTTACCTGGATTATTCTCTTTAGTGTTCTCCTCATCTTCAACTGTCAATTCTTCTTTGTCCTTAGCGTTATTCTCATCACGAGGGGTCTGGGTACTACTGTCTACCATTTCACCTTCGTCTGTCAATTAGAAAGAAAACCAGAGGTGAATATTAAAGTAGAACTTCTTTGAAAACTGTAGGATTATTCCGCAACAGCCATTGAGCCGGCTAACTGTTTCGATATCGTCACTAAGGTGATGGCCAAAACAGCTGCAACTTCGTCGATTCTAATCAACATCTATTTTCCACTGGCAGTATGAGAACGCACGCAATATTTGTGCTTTTAAGTTTTAATTCTGCCGAAGCCGGATTGATTTTAATGACCAAATGCATGATGTGTGGCATTCTCTAATCAATAAGGCATCTCTAAAGGCTAGCCTACATGTGTAGTCTTAATAAATAATGGGTGATGATAATAATAAAAAAAACTTGAACTTAAAAAGAAATATTTTCATCTTAAAAAAAAAAAAAAAAAAAATGTAATTGCTTTGACACGTGAATGCACGTTATAAGATCAGCAAAATATCAACCTTACACCGGTCAATGCATTTAGCACAAGCTTCACTTCCATGTAACTGTTTAAATGATAGAGATTCCTGTGGTGAAATTGTATGGAAGCACCTTCAAACTCATTCAAAACGGTCATTTATTTGCCTTACAATGTAACTGGTTCGTCTCCTTACATATTTCTCTTTCAAATAAAAGTACCTCGCCAAGTAACATTTGAAGCCGTAAATTAACCACGGCTCTAGGCCAACCTTTTGGCTATCTGCTGCATTGTTTTTAAACATTATCAATAAAAAACAACAACAACAACAAAACCTTAAATGTTCCAAAGATTGTCATATAAATTGTCGAAAGCCCGTTTAACTCCATAAATCCTTAAAAAAAATCCGGACTCTTGCCTCTAGCCCTACCTGAATACCGTTTGATTTACTTACAAGATATTATTTCAACAAAGCCTCTTGTTGGAAATACTTTTATCGTGAAGGCACGTGTATCTGTGTTTAATACAGGGAAGATCAAAAATCAAATACGCTTTTCGATGGAGCGTCGTTAAACTAAAACCAAAGTCATCACAACGGTCAATCGAAAGAAAGGGAAATACGTGTAAAGGCCGATAACTCAATTTAAAAACAGCCATACTGCCTTAAGCGCGGGAAAACGCGGGTGATATAGTCATAATTGGTCTCAGTTTTACATCTGATTGGTTGAGAGACTGGCGCAAGTTTTCTGGACCAGTCACAGAGCAAAGTAAAGCAAAACCAATGTAATCCCGCATTACTTTTGACATTAAATTGAAAATTGCTCTTAATTGTAAATTACTTATATGATTTTGCATGCCACGTAAGAGCTTTCGTTTAGAGGATGACTTTTCAATTTGTTCCTTACAGGCTTTGCCAAAGAGAGATTAGCACATCCGCTGTTTGAAATGTAATATAAAAGTTAATTCAAAATTCATCCTTCTTCAGTAAGATAACAGATAGATAAAATAATTATATTTAACAAGTAATAACGATGCCATCGTTTGAATTATAGGCTGACCTTTTACATGTTTTCATATAAGAGCTTATTTTACCTTACTTTTCATTTACAAATAACTTTAATTTATCAATAATAATTTAAACCTCTTAGCGCAATCGAAGTTCTTAGTTTACTTCACAATCGCGCCTATTAGACATGGTCTGCCTAGATGCAACATGGAAAGTTCACTAAAATGCGCAGAAAGATAACACCTGGTACACGTAAATCAAGGAAGATCAAGCTGCATGTGTATCAAAAAACGAGAGGCTACATGTCAAGCGCTTTGTCCAACGCCATTGTTAAGCGTGAGAGAGCATTACTTCGAACGTCTCGATATTTGATCCTCGCTTCTCGATCCTCAATTCTCGGTCCCCGACTCCAGATTCTCGAATCTCGATCTTCGATCTTCGATCCGTGATTCTCGATCTTCGATCTTTGATCCGTGATTCTCGATCTTCGATCTTCGATCTTCGATCCGTGATTCTCGATCCTTGATTCCCGAAAGTTTTGGGATCGAGAATCGAGTTTCGAGTCGAGACTGTCATCAACTACCGTATACCACAGAGAAATAAATTACATCTAGGGTAAAACACTTTCTTAGCTAAATGACAATACAATCATGCTAACTTTTTTACCTTTTTCCTCGTCTCCATCCACTTGATCACCATCTGATTCAGGTTTTAGCTTAGTTATTATCACATCAAATGTCTCTCCTTGTTCTTCCTCTTCCTGATCATTAGCTGTCTGCAAATTGAGAAACAGTCATACAGTATATGCCCCAGATTCAAACAAAACAATAATAAAAGTAACAGAAAAACAAGAAAAAAACTAAATTTACCTCAGTCATAAAAGTTTTAGATCTGTCGGCTTCATCAATAGACTTATGTTTCTTGGAATATCTGTGAGCTGATGCAACTTGACATCTGTAAAGCCAGAAATAATTACAAATTTACAACTGCCACTTTAACACCACACACAAACATATTCAATAAAATCCTTCCTCATATTGCAAGTATTTTGTTTGGGAAGAGAAAATATTTCACAACATGCAGTAACTGATGGCTAACTTATTTATCTAATTATGCGATAGTTGTGATTAGTTGGTAACAGGACTTCCTACTGTTCAATTCCGTCTGTAATCAATTACTCGTACTTAATAGCGGAGCTCGCAGAGCGTAGCCCCATAATTATATAAAATAGTAGTAACCCATCAAGACGAAAAAATTTGGATGTACCACCGTACGACCGTACAAGGTGCTACTTTTAACATGCGTGGTCAACTGTACCGCGGGCACGCCAACGCCACGGCTTTGTCCAGTAGTCCAGTGGTCAGTGCACTGGGCTCCGAGTCGGACGACCCGGGTTCTACTCCTGGCCGGGGCAGGGCGTTATGCCCTTGAGACGTGCGGGAAAAAAAAATCGAGCTCCGCTTTTAGGCTTGGCTAAATCTATATATTAAGTCGGATTCCCGTTTCGCAGTTGTCCAATTGTTAATTACGAGTGCGACTACAGACTGAATTGAACACCACTCAGTCCCATTACCATTACTAATAATAAAAGACAGAGTCAGAGCCAGAGAGAGGTGTATGCATGTAAACATTCACTATCGAAAGTTTACCTGTAACAGGGTGCAGCTCCCTCAACAACAACAAACTGAAAATGACCATTTCTACCACCCAAGACATGACCAGGTTTGTGTTTGTATTCACAACAACAGCTGAGTCGAATATCTTGCATACCATCAATGTAAAATGTCAAACCAAAGGGAGAACCCCTGTGACGCCGTGAGATGAACGTAAAAATCGCTGGAAAAAGGAAAAAAAGAAAGCATAAAAATATGCATTCAAACAGGAAAGAAATGAAATTGGGAGAAACTCATAGGTAAAAGTAATTCTTGTAAAGATTTTAAAATTAGGAGTATAAGACACCAGAAAAAAACAAAAACAAAAAAACGAAAAAAAAAAAGACCTGAATACACTGGAATAACTGTGAGACAATTGTTGAGGCAAGCTGGTTGACAACGATACACTGGAATAACTGGTGAGACAATTCATACGTGATTTCAGACCAAAATTGGCAAGTTGGTTGACAATTTTCAAATCACCCAAATAAAGGACTTGGTCAGGTCAAATATTTTATTGATGCAGTACTGAGCCGGTCTGAAATTAAATTCATCCATTTTAGGGGTGGGGGGGGGAAAGTAAGACAGAACTTTTATTCAAAATGTTATCTTTCACTGACAGTATACAGGTGTAATGTCATCACAAAAAAAAAAAAACAACAACAAAATAAAAAACAACAACAACACAAAAACAAGCAAAAGGATATTAATAGAAGTTCTTGTTTGGGGTGTGACACCTCTTTAGATGTTCACATTCCTAAGGAACAAGTAATACTGCTTCTAACACAACTTACTGTTTGGAGGCAACAGTTCTCTGAAAACACACAAAGTGCTTCCTCCACAGTGCTGCTGCAGAACCATTACTTCCGATAATCTGTCTTCTGGAAACATGCTGTTGGTGAGCACCAGACTGGGACCAACAAACTTCATTGTCACTTCTGCCAAGGATTGAAGCTAAACAAAGAAACACGCACCTGTTAGGTTACATGTAGGTGTCTTTTTCTTTCTGACAGGGCTGCTAACCCTTCAACTCCTAGAAGTGATCAACATGAAACTTCTCCCTATAATATCCTTACATTATCCAACAAACAGCTAATGATAATATTCAAACTTATCAGGTAGAAGTTGTTGTCTTGATCTAACACCAAAATTCTCATAAGTTATTCAAAAAGTATGTGTAGCAGCTAAAGGGGAGGACTACCAATCAGATCTCGGGAGTTAAAGGGTTAAAATATTCATTCCTTATCGAAAGTAAAATGCATGCATGGATCTCCCCAGTCAGCTAACAGTCAGAGATGTATCATTCCATAACTTTACTTCATGTGTCTTCAGTGGTATACCCATTCAAAGAAGTAATTTTTGTGGGTTAAAATTTGATTACAAATATGGCATTGACAGGTACATCATATTTCCATGAATGCTACTTTTGTCTCACTAAACATTTGTAGATGAAGAAACAAAGTTGTGAAGAGAAAAAAAAAAGACAAAGGCAAAAGAGCCCATGGCCACTCCACAACTTGCTAAAAAAATTAAACCTCCACCGATTTGAAATTTTTAAACCAGAAAAAAAATGGCTTGAAACATTAGAATGCATTTCAATACCTGTACTCTGCGGGCAACTGCTGGTTCAGTTCTGGCCAAGAAATGATACTACAAAAGGGTGATAAATTAAAAGTACAATGATCATAACTATGTAGTATTAATTGCAAATAGAACACAAACTTAGGGTTAATTACAAGTTGTTAATTCTTCCACTCATATATGTGGCATTCAGTACTATCACTTTTTTCATCATGTGAATTATGTCACATAACTTTCCCATATCTATATATTTGTTGAAGTAAATTATGCTGTGTGTGTAATTCATGATTAAAGGACTGTCTCTGTTTTCAAGATGTTCTTCTTTTCTAGAACACAACAAACAATTTTGGTAATGGCAAGGTAATGTCAATCATCACCATTTGCTTTCTGACATACCCTTTGAAGCTTTACGCCTCTCCTTGTAGAGCCAGCAGTCCTGGAACGCCGTGGTGTTCCTGTTGGGGGAGGTGCTGGGGCTGGGTAAGTGGCAGGATATGCTCTGGTGTATGGAGATGGACCAAGTTCCTCTGTCTCATCTTTAAGATAGCCATTCATGGCGGATGGATTTGAATCAACCTTGCAACAAACAAAACCAAATTGTAAGCACATCATTCCGTTCCACTATGTATATTATATAAGAAATATCTTAATTAGACAGTTTGGAGTAGGTTAAATCTATTTTGTATTTAATTTTTTTTCCAAAGTACATTGTGCTTCTATAAACACAGCTCACTTGATCTCTGTGTCATAGAAACAAGATGTATTTGAAATAATAATAATAACAATAATAATAGTAATAATCAACTTTATATTTCAAGGGTGGCACTTGACAGTATAAAATTCTGATATACTCGTGGCCCTCAAAAACAAATTAAAAATAAACACAAATACATATAAATAATGAAGTGATTAAGACTAGGTAATTGAACAATTAAAATGAGAATTATCTATTAAGGATTAATAAAAAATATATGAGAATCAAATAGAAGCTATAGTTAAGTGATGAACATCTTTATAGGACTCCAAAAAAATACTTATATAAAGACTTCTTTAAAATTTCTAAACTTGAGCTACTCTTAATTTCATTGGGAAGTGAATTCCAAAACCTAGTAGCTGATATTTGAAATACAGGATATCTCTCACTAATTTGACTTGCAAAACTTTACAGAAACAATTTACCTGATGGTATGATTTCACCCTACATACAGATCTCAACATTAAATTAGGCATGTGAAAAAAACTCATTCTGCAAAATTTGCATACATCTGTTTTAAAACTGCTGGGTAACTGATAACTACTATATCAGCCATGAGAAAGTCTTAAACCCTATCATTTCTAATCAGACTTATACAAAGATTTCTGTACATGCGTCAAATGGATCATGTGGAAAAAATGGACTGATTTAGTGCATGCATCACATGATGAAAATTGTAATAATTTTGTCCAGTGCTATAAAACTGTAAATCTAAAACTCAAGAAACTTTCTAGCAGATCAAGATTGTTACCCTGTAGTATATTTTCTGGGTATCATTGTCATAATATATCTCCGAAGGTTTCAGATCTCCTTGGTCCTCTTCGTCACCGCCTGTCATTGTAGCTGGTGCTGTGGAAGGCCTGTCTCTCAGTTGTGCCTTAGCCATTTGCCGCGCTGTTCGCTCTCGAGGAGAAAGAAGAGGAAGAATATCCTCATCACCTTTTCTATTTCTTCCCTCCTACAAATGAAGAAATAAATTAATAAATTATAACAGGTCTTGGAAATTTCATTGAGAGATTTAAAACTTTTTTCAAGAAACTTAGTATCATTTATAATTCATTTTGAAAAATTGTAGCTCAAAAGGATTAATAGGTAACCAAGTGATTGGCAATGAAAGCATACTGCTGAAGGCAAAAGAAGGCATCAACATTCTATCTTGACAAGAACATTAAATCATAAAATTCATTCCTGAAGACACTTTCCCTTTATTGCAGAGTATCTTGATCAACAAGGTATAGATTAACCCTTCAACTCTTATGATCTGATTGTTAATTCTCCCCTCTAGATACTGCACTCTTTCTTGCAAATCATTTGCAGGAATAATAATTATTGGTGTTAAATCAAGACAATGAGTTCTACTTGATATGTGTAAATGTATACTCTCATGACCAGTTTGCTGGATAATGCATGGATACTATAGGAAGTAGTTACAAGTTTTAAAATCATCTCTGGGAATTAACATTAAAAGGCATGTCCTAATATTTGATGCATTTGACAGTGTTGTTCAGAATGCAGACACAAATTGATAGAGGGAAGACTTTGTGATTATTATGTTCACCAATAATTATTCCCAAAGTTGGATTTTTAGATGAATACATATATGCACAAGTAGAACAATTGTGTCAAGATAGTAGCCCATCCTAAAAAAAATATTTGTTACTTTACATTAAATTAAATATTGATTAACTTCCTACAGTGACTGTAGCTTTAAGTTGTATTTAGCTTTGCTTTCTGTCAATGCTCTATGCACATTTCTATGAATTTGTAAAAAGCTTATTTTAATTAATTTCTTTTTAAGGAGCTACTGAGAAAACAGATAATTTTTTTTTTAATCAACCATTTGGCAAGCTCTAATCTCAACCTTTTTTTAATGAACTCAGAAAAAAATTTAAGTTTACAGTATGTTACTATTTTAGAGAGCTTCTCACCTTTGACTTAGTTTCCACTGTCTTTTAAAGCAAAGAAGAAGAAGAAGCACATAGTGAAGGAGTAAGAGAATAGGATTGGAAAAAAGATTTAACTTTATCTTAAGACAAGTGCAATTAGAGTACAGAAACAAGCAAGGTTTAGAGATATTGTGGTAATTGGTTTTAAGGTGCTTAACAAGTATAGATAAATTAGTATATTAATTCATGTCAAACATATCACCATGATAGTATACTCAGAACTATAATCATAGTATGTGATTATAATTCTGAGATGATTTAATCAAAAGCAACAAATTAAAGCACTATTTGACAAGACATGATCCAAGTAGCACTCTACAAAGTTCAACCTTTACTAAAAATAATTCATTAAAGCTACTAGTTCTTCAACTTGAGGTGATTTTCAAATTCCAAATGCAAAAAAACCAGGAATGCATTTTATGATCATAAAAAAATTAAAAGAACAGTTATTCAACCAAGTGGAAGTGAATAGGCCAGGGTTATATTTACCTTGCTACTTTGCAGCTCGATAAATATGTACCACTTTCACTGACACTAAGGTGAATTATTGCAATTCAGAATATACCACACAGATATATCAAAACATGTCAGTTTATTTCTTTCAATATACTAAAAGATGGTTGGGAATTAAACTCATGACGTGCAATTTTGTCTCATGGGCTGCTAAGAGGTGAATAGTACTTGTTATTCACTTCTGAACTAGCCAATCAGCATGTGTGAAAATCACTTTTCACTTGTGTGGTATATACTAAGAATAATATTATACTTTTGAAAAAATGTGAATGAGCAATTCATTTCCTTAAAATCAAAACATTTGGCATGCCCTTTTTAATATCATATATCACTTTTTTTTTTAATATATGCTTTTTTTTTTAAATTTATTTTTGCAAATTCTTCATCATAATCACCTTCACTCTTCTGACCAACTCAACTTTGTATATTTCATCCAGTCTCTTTCTTATCTCATACTGACGAACCCTCTGCAAAGTGAAAAAAAAGTATAACATTCAACATATGCAAAAAAGTAAAAACCCTTCACACTCATTGCAACCTAAAAATACTTTTATTAGCTGAAACCAAATCATTTCTTCTCCTTTGCAAACACCTAAATTAAACTAGCAATAAATCACAAGAAAAAACAAAAACTAGATATATCTTATCTACCAATTGCTTACTTACTATCCACAAATTATCTTATGTCACCTTGCCTGCAGTGTGGGTGTCTTTAATTTGGGCAAGTCAACTTTATAAGCTCACAATCGTTTATCCAGCCAGCCAATTGCTTGATTTGGAGTTGGAGTGGACATTGGGGGAGGGAAAGGGCTATTTTCTTCACTCCCCCACCCCTCTCCTTATTTTTAACCATTGACTGCCCCCTTGGTACAAATTTATTTCTCTCCCCAGCCTTCCACTGCCATTAAAATCAAAGATGGTGGCCATAATTTTTGTTTAGAGAATACTGAGCACTTGCCAAACTTATGTCTGCTCTGTAGGATAAATGTCACCCCACTGACTGTTTCATGACTATCATTGTGTAACAGGAATGTTTACCTCCATATCCAATGTCTTGTGCACAATAGCAGTTGCTAGGAGATCACGCACATGCTTCCTGTGTTCCTTCTTGGCCATGTTAAGTCTGTATGTCTTCTCATCAATTATCTTCCCCTTTCTGGTTACCTAATGGTACAGAAACACAAGGCCAAAATATATATTAAGGAGTCATATATATAGCAAAAAAAAAAGGCTCGTGAGGTACTCTATATAAACATGCCCCATCCACAACTTCATTTAGAGAATTAGCACCATACATGTCAGAAGGTATTAGGGACTGTACTTTAAAACCAAGTGGTCCATGTAGGCAGTCTGAGCTTATCCCAGTTCTTTTTACCCTTTAACTCCCATGAGTGACCAAGACAGAATTTCTCCTTTCAATATCAACACAGTATCAAGCAAACAAGTGATGAGAATAAAGAAGAATATCAGTTAGGGGATTATTAGTTGATCCAATAACAAATTCTCCAAACTAACATTCCAAAAAAAAAAAAAAAAACTATATGGCAGACAGTAAGGAGAATTACTAGTGAGATCTTGGGAGCGAAATGGTTAAGCATGAAGTAACAGGGAGTATCAACACTCTCCCTAGCCAGCCTAACAAATGGGATATACCAGTCCATTGCACTAGTAACACAAGGAGAAACGTTATTATTGTCAGTTCTATAAGTATAGTAAAATGAAGGTTGTTTGTAATAGCTAGTTTAAACATTCAAATAATATATCCAAAAAGTAAGTTTTAACTATCATTGTCAAAAAAAAGATAAAATTTAAAGTATGTGTCAACTGACTTGACTGCAACAAACTTTAAAGTTCTCTATAAGCCTGTTGGGAAAAAAAAAAAAAAAAAAAAAAAAAAGGAAACAGATCAATTGGTTTTTTTGGTTCTTACCAGTCCTGACTTTTGCAAGTGTTTCTTCATACGAGAGTTTGAAAAATATCCAGCCAGATGCTTGTCTTGCAAGCTGTTATAGGCAGCTAAAGGACTGGAAATGAAAACATCACACTATCAAGATCATTTCATTTAATAAACTATACAATTTGTTGACTGAGGTAAGATGTCATTCCTTCTTAAATCTCAACTTTCTATTCCCTTTTTTTAAATTTATTTAATTTTTGTTTAAATCATTTACAGCCTAACATCAGAATGTAAAATATCCACACTGTTTGTTATGCCTTCCTATAGTTCTTATGACCTTTAAGTTTGTTTTGGGTGATTACTGTTTGGAGAAATTAGATGCTTAATGAGGTTTAAGGTTTAATAACTAAACCATTGTCAGTAACTTCTAAGAGGGCTGAGTGACCATGTTTAACAAAATTTGACATTCTTGGGGTCCTTTTCTCTCTCTCACCCCTTTTTCTTGTTTTCTTGTTTTTGTTTTAACAGTTCACCCTCTGGAATACAAATTACAATGAAGGAGGAGGGTGGAAATTTCTAGAACAATTCTTTCAGATAATATAATTGTGCACATGAAGTGGTTCAAATTTTTGCCAGTTTAAGATTTTTGAAATCCGGCCATAAATCTGTGTTTTCTTTTATTGCAGATCATTGTTAAAAGTTAAAATCAAACTGATTTGACAAATTCTAACCAAATGACAACATTGATATTATCATACTATACCAAAACAACAATAGGGATTTAGCAATAATAATAAATAAAGATCAACACAGTGCATAATGTACAAAAAAGTGAGTTTAGGGATTAATTTTCAATTCATGTACTCAATTAGCTGAACCCAAATTATTGGTATGCAAACATTATTGTGAATGATCCATTTAGTCTTGTGTATAGATTCAACTTGAAATAAATATGGCTTAAAATTATGTCCCAACATGCAGGGAAAGCAAAACTCCTCACTCAAATCAAAATAACTATGCAACTGACTTGTGAATCTGACTAAAATTTCATAAGGAGAAATAAGTGTTACTTGAACTCAGGAAAGATCAATTAAAATATTCCTTGAGGAAATTATGTCTTAAAATTATGTCCCAACATGCAGGGTAAGCAAAACTTGTCATTCACAAATCAAAATAAATACTCAACGGACTTGTGAATCTGACTAACATTTATTTCATAGCATGAAATAAACGCTACTTGATACTTTTTTTTTTCAATTTTAGTGAGCACAGGAAACATCAATTAAAATATTTCCTTGAGGAAACTACAAGTTTTTGACAATAACGTAAACCATCTTGCAATGTTAAAAGCAGAAAATTGCAAGTGAACATTGACTAATGATCAGATGGGTGAAATACTACACAAACAATTAGACAATTAAAATGGATGGAAGATTATAAAAGTTTTCATAACACCCTTGGCCTATACACACCGCATACCCTATGGCTCTTTCCTGCGGCTCTATTAAGTGTGTTGGTTATTCAAAGTTTGAGCATTAATTGCAAAATATACCACACAATTACATGAGTGAGCAATTAAGCGCATATATGCATTTGCAATAACAGGTATAGAAATTTGCCCACCAACAGTTTTAAAATCACCTCATTATATTATTCCGCAGCTGGAAGACTAAATGTGTTTTCTTTAGTTAGGTGAGAGTACTTCATTCGGCAAGGAAGATTCAGGAATTAATTGCAAAACACGCGTTTAAAAACAATGCCCTTAAAATTCATTAGGTGGCAACGAAGATTTCTGTGATCGAAAGGATCACCAAGTTGCTATCACTTAATCCATGATTAGCTTACGTTTGGTTATTACTTGACAGAAGCAAGAGCACATTGTAATCAAGACAAGCGGTGAATCATGAAAAGTCGCAACCTTAAGCTCCACGCTGCAAAAGCAGTGTGTTTAACTAACATGTTTTAAAAGACCTCAAGAAACAACGATCCTCGTCCGAGCAACAAAATTCAAGAATCACATCTGTGTAACTTTCTTTTTCATTATCCACCAAAAAACCCTGCTGTTATCAATAGATAATCCCCGTCAATCTCGGCCTACAATCTCAAATAAATCTACAAGTATTCGATTTCACAGCAACCCGAACTCGCTTCTCTGTCAAACAACACAGATGAGGTTGATCTTGACAAAACGAAAGAAAACTTAAATTTTTTCTACAAAATATAATTATACCAGGATGTAGAGGCTTTCATAAACTCACCCTGGATCTGCGTGACTCATGATTGCCGAGTAGGTTCTTTAACACAACCTTGTAATCAGAGAACTTAGTCGGCGATGATCGGTTCGGAAATGGCGTCGTTTTCACGCGTTTTCTTTCCTTTCCCGCGCTACCTTCCTCTTTGTCAACTACGAGAAATTTTACGATCCATCGAAGTAGAAGTGGAAGCCATAGAGACCACAGTGTTTATATAGTATCCTATTCAAAAAGTAGAGCTTGCGGTAAGCGATACCTACTCTAAGGTAAATTCAATGCAGCCCGGTTGCCAAGGAGCGTTTGTGTCGCTAACTCACAGGTGACGTCACTTCTCCCCAGGTCCCTGTGTGTGTGCTCAGCGGCCGAGTGTTCCCCAGTATCCCTCTAATTAATGTTAGTTAAAACACGTTCAGGTAAGACTCCTTGATACTTAAGAGGTAATTAATAAATGTGATGTTTTAAAAATCTGCTCTACACGAAACGGTGGCGGAATGAGAAAACACACTGCAAAATGACGGTGAAAGGATTAAGTTCTACATTTCATTTCAACTTCTAAAAAGCCATTGGCAAGATATAACGTGGAGATGGAGAGACTAAGCAAGAAAATATAACGGAGGAGAAACTTGTAGTTATTTGGAGAAGGAAAGAAAACAAATTGAAAATAAAAGGAAATTCAAACTTAAATAATGAGAACGTTCCTTTGGGCTTCAAAACTTGATGGATAGAGTCATCTGCCTTTTCCAAATAAAGCCATAATCCTCTTAATTGATCCGCTTTCGTTTCGTTTAACATGTGTGTATGTGTTCCTAGCCTTCTAGCCGGCGTAATTTTGCCAAGCAAGTACTCAAAAGTTTCTTGCTTAAATTATAGCCGGCATCTGTGATTGATTTTCACCACGGCAGAAGTGACAGCAGAAACAAAGGAAGAGTGGGATGGGGTGAGAAGGTATTAGAGGAGCCCCTTGAATAAAACGCCTTGAGATCATGTAGGTGGTGTTGGAAGTGTTTTAGAGTCCTACGATTGCGGGATTAATTTCAACTAAAACAATTGATGCTATTAGTTTGAGATTTCCATCAAACAAGAGCAAAAGTGATTGTTTCAACTGCTTTAATCTGAGATGGTTTTCATGTAACTGGTTAGTCAAACAGTCCGAATCCCATGTCATCATCACTTTCTTCTTCTTCTTCTTCCTCTTTCTTCTCCTCTTTGGCCTCCTCAGCAGGAGCAGCAGCAGCAGCTGCATCCGCAGCAGGTGCCAAAGATGCAAATGCGTCTGGATTCTCCAGGAAAGCTTTGAGCTAAACAAAAACAAACCAAAATAAATACCGTCTTTGCTCATGCCACCCTTGAAAAATGCTGCCCTCAGTCAAATGCTGCAAAACTACCTGCAATTCCCTCACACTTAAATAAATGCAACACCAATGCAGCATTTTCTTAGGAATATAAGAAAATAAAACATCCCAAACTGTACGATGTGGTTGTGTATAAACTTCTTAAAAATCAATAAGAAATCGACAAAAAATGCAAAATACTAGAAGAAATTTATATCTTACAATATTTACAAATAATTTGCCTTTACTAAGTGACATATGAAATACAATTTTGATAAAAAGGCCACAATTGAATAAATTCAGCAACTAAACTGAATTTAAGGCTACAACCCTGCAACCTTGGACAAGGATCCTTTGCACTTGCACAAAAATATTAAGACTGAATAACGACCAAAAACAGTTGTGCACATTTACTTTGAAGTCACAGAGTTCTAGAAATTTTTACCTGCTCAACTTGTGGGAATGTGATCTCAGTTTCCACAGCAACAGCAGCAATATTCTGAGGGGGAAACAAGGAAGAAAACAAACATGATAATGCAGTTTTCAGAATATCCTTTTGGTTTATGAAGTTTAATCAACTGACTAAAATTGGTGTTAATACAATATTAAAATGAATGATCATAATAAATTACATTATTATACCTGATCACTGTCATAGGTTAAGCCAGAAGAAAACTACTTTAAAACCCTCTGCTCTCTGTTCAACTCTTTATTGGATTTTTCTCAATGATTCTAATAAGGGTTCCAAGCTCAACTTTCTTTAAAAGTCCCCCTTTCTGCCTATTGCAACACCGATCAGGAGAGCTGCAGCTTGGATCCCGCACCATTAGGGTGTCATTGATCACCTGTGATAACCTGGCTCATGATTCATTAATTTTGTAGAAAACTTACCTTGAAGCCATTGATGATTGAATGTGGAACAGATGCTACTGTTGGGTAGCCAATTTCAAGTGAAACTGATGCAACATTCACAATACCCTGAAAAGTAATAAAATTTTGATTTACACAAAATCAATTTTAAATCTTGTAAATTTTAAATCATTATATGTGTGACTTGTGTGACATCTTTTTCTGATTTCCTGGTGGGACATACCTCAACAAAACGAGACAAGATATCTTCAGAAGTAATATCCAGCACATCAGGTGAGAAACAAGCTCCACTTTCATACACTGAAAAAAAAAAATCATAAAAAAATACACAAGTCAATGCAAAAAGAGCTGTTAATGAGTAATAACTTATTCTACTCTTCTCAAAAATGGGAACTGGCTGCTTCACAAATATTTCTTTGGATAGTAATTCAATATTTTATCAACCAAAAGGTGAAAGCAACATGCTTAGAGATGCAGACTAGTGGGAAGTTTCGGCTAAAAAGCGGCCATTGATGACTACTCAACAGCACATCTTTCCATTGAAGTAACTCATGGTATATTATCGTGTCCATTGCATCATTTGCACATAAATTTATTTTTTAAGGCTGCCAGATTGGAGCACTCGCTATTGAAGAAATCAACCATGCATGACTGTTAAAAATATATGTTTTCTGAAATATTTATATTACTTGTTAAATATCTCTTTTGAGACAGATTATTTAACGTGAAGCAAGCAACAAAGATGAGATTTCTTTTTGTATGTGTTTAGGGAAGTTCACAAAGGCTCTCAGATAGTTTCTAAGTTTCATTTGTATAATTGTAGTGTACTTGGAAATCTGAGGATTAACTAAGAAGTCTTTATATATAAATTGTACCCCTACCTTGCTGGATGACAAGACCATACGAGAATGGAGAGATCTTCAACATGTTCAACAGGGTGGACTCTGATGCTCCCACTTTTTCACTCTTCTTGATCAGATGTACATCATTCTAAACATAACAGACAGCAGAAACATTTCAGTGTTAGAGCAAACCAATACCTTCCACTTCTCTTAAAATGGAAAATATTTCGATCCTTGATACATGACCCAATGTAAGTTTTGGAATGAAAGAGTTTAACAAACAAAAAAATTGGAATGTTCATGCCTAGTGTATCAATGCATGAACCTACAGCTCAATTTGGGTTCTGAAACTATAATGAAAGAGTGTACATGCTATCAACAGGTGCAGGATTAAGAGGAAGAGAGTTAACTCTAAAAAAAAAAAATAAATACCCTAATAATAATAATAATAGTAATAATAATAATAATAATAATAATAATAATAATAATAATAATATTTACAGATGGATATAGAACAAAAACGAATCGTGCTTTATGTACAGGAATAAATGTTAACTCCAACGAACCTGCACAGCTAAAACAAAATAAGGCTTCACTGATAAAATCATCAGTATAAAAAGCAACAATTTAGAATTCAAAATTTCAAATACTTATGAACAATAAATAGTCAAAAGTCAATATTTACAAAGAGAATAATAATAATAATAAAAAAAAGGAACATATAAAAGGATGTAAGTCTAAAATTCAATGAAAGTGGGATTTTTGTTGTTTGGATGTCAATGTATTCTTAATGTCACACAGGACTCGTTTAGTGGTCCTTGAGCCTTTTGAGAAAGATGTTTTTGCTCTTATCCACTGGATTGTCTTCACAATATAAATAATAATAACAAAACAAAAAGAGATCACTGACCAAGATTTCAATGGTTCCTCTGGCAATCTTGGTTGGAATGGCCAACGCCTGGAAAAAAGATGTCTTCTCAGGACCCAGGCCAGTGTTTCCCTTTGGAACAAACACATCCAGAGGGGCAATTGCTCCAGCTTTAGCTGGGGCTGCCACTTTGTTTGCCAGGATAAGATCCCGCACATCTGTGAGCTCTTCCTTGGTGAAGACAAAGCCTACATTGCCTTTGATGTGAGGGATCAACCTACACGGCACAAATGCAACAGAATGTTCATATCACAGTAGTATGATCACCATCATAATCTGGGAAAATGCAACAGAAATTTTCATACTATTTTTGAAAGATCAACACTGTAGCTTGTGAAAATGGCTTATCAAAACAACTTGGTATGCTTTAAAATAAGATTCATGAAGGTTTAAAAGGATGCAAACCAGCCATGTGAAATGTCATATTACTGTTAAAATCAGTTTAACGGATTGTTACTTAAGATGTACCCCCTGTGCTTGTCTAACTTTTCAAGAAATCCAAGGAGAGAAACAAAATACATTGTTCCTCAGAGAACTTGTGACCTGCTTTGAGGAGACTATCCCATGTTGCTCTTACTTTTCCAAGGCAGGATTGTTTTCCAAGTGTCCCCGGATGGCCTTCCTTATCATGGTGTTCTTGCCCATGAGAATTTCAGCTCTACCACGCAGAGACTGACGGATCTGCTGCATCTGTTTGGACCCTACATTGTCCACACCTACCAGAAACATCTTAGGAAATTCATCCATATATTGCTGTTGAGAAAAGTGCATTTACAATTATTAAGCAAGCTGTTTAAGTCTTTTCCTCAATAAGGGCTTTACACCAGTTTTTCACTTAATTCCCACACAAAATTAAATTTACCTCTTGAAAAGTAAAAGAAAGCAACATTCACCACAAAACTCATGTGATCCTGTAGGTAATTTCTTACCATGACAGAAAGCAATTTTCTTATTTACAGGGTCTAGGGCAAAATGTTTGAAAATCAAATGAGTCAAAAACTACAAAACATGGACATGAATTAGAGTTTTCTTTACATCCTGCATTCTAACATTCTTTGACACATTCAAAGTCTATGTTTTATAACCAAGACAAATTTCTATGAACTCCCTGAATGGTGATCATAACCAATACAATTTTCAAAACTGTGATGGGTGCATTAGCTGCTTTATTTTCTCGAATCATTCTGTATAGTTGTAATTAAACAGTGTAATTGTACAGGTAGCAGTTATTGAAACTTACAATTAGCCTCATAAAATAATTTGTCTTCCATGTTGCCTTGTCTTCCCTAACCATTTTGCTTGGTGAAGGATTGCGCAGAACAGCGTTTAAAGACTAGATCTAGTTTGGAAACAAAGTGAAATGAAGAAATTATGATTAATAACATGGTCAGCCTACTGTAATATATTAATAATTATTGGTATCACGTTAAAATACTGTGTACAAGGAAGAAAAAAAAGCAGGTTGCCACTTTTCTCTTCAGGGCTACTTATCACAACTTTTGGGTGGTATGATCATGAAATTAGAGTTAATCTACTTTTCTTTCCATCATAATTCGTTTATAGATGTAACATAAAAGCAATAGGCTTGATTTGAATGGCTTCGTGGAATTATCAGCCAACTTGGGATTTCGAAGGAACACTTGAGAAGATTGTTACCAGTACTAATACTACTCCTGACTCCCTTGACAGATTGTGATTCAAGTGATCGAACCTTTCCTCTAACCAACTAATGTATCACATGCATTTGTCACGCTATACAAAAGCCATGAAAATGCTGTCTATTGCTTAAATAGACGAGATTTCAAGGCATCACCATGCCTAGTCAACCAGCTTACTTCAGGTCAAGTTCGTACACTCCTTAGCTACAGATATGTTCAGATGTGTTTCATCTCTCTCGCGAACATTTTTCTTAGCTTTTCGTGTAAAATACCTTTATTCAATTGCAAGAGTGTTAACCTGATTGTGAAGAATACTTTTTAAACCAATAGCCTTGTTAGTTAAATGAAACAGAGAGGACTCGGTGACTTAAACACCATTTTATGCTTTCGCGAAATATATAGATATTTTTTTGATACGCACGAATCCCATTTCGTAAAGGAGTGGATGTTCCTTTATTGCCAAATTTCTACTACTTTTACATTTAACAGGGCTTTGACCATATGTCCTCTGCGAATTTCGGAACTCTAAAGCACATAATGAGACGTTTAAGCTATCATTTACTTCACGAATTTCGTTCAAGACTTACTTCAAGAACAACGTGAAAGAAAGAGAACTAAGCACGTGTCCAGCTGACATACCATAATTTTCAAAGTTACCCACAATGCTATACGATATCCGGATGCCTAGCCAACTTCGGCAATTTCCGTAGAGTCCTCGGAGGTTCAAAATTGCAATCAAAAATACTTTTTAGATTAGAGCGTCTATTCGCGCGGCAAAGGAACAGAGTACATACATGAGCTTCGGTAAGTGAGCCGTTTTTATAGTAATAGCTGATGTGTGCGAGGACACCTAACGCTGATCTTTCTTTAAATTTTGAATACGCTCAGCGAGCGACTATGGAGTGAAATGCTTTCTCTGTTAAAATTCGTAATACTACTAAGGAAGGTATTCATGGCTGATGTCCTATAAGATGAAGACTTCAAACTCGCGCGAAAGTGGATTGCTTAGTAATCGTGGAAAATTGAGATTTCAAGGATTATTTCAGTTTATGAATTAACTTTTTTCTACTTCTTAGTAGCTAGTAATAAAACTTAGGCCCTCTTGTCAGTTGCGCAATGAGACGTTGTTACCACCACCCCACCCCCCAGTGCAGGAGTTCGTGCATATATATATATATATATATATAATTAAAATTAAGACTGGAAAGTGAATTATGCATCATAGACTTGGTTTCAAGACACAAACCTACATTTAAACATGTATTGGACTGGGGACTTTTTTTATTTTTTCTTAACTGATTTGAGTGAAGGAACTTAGGGAAATGCTTGTTATTCATGATTTGAATTTTTTTTAAAGCTTGTTGATTCTTTCTTCCAGAAAATTAACACATTCAAAATGTGGAATATATGCACACAGCATAAGATGCTCAAGCAAGCAAAGAATCTAAGGAGAATTGCAAGGTTGATATCAAGAAGTGCACTTGGACCTGGGCCAGCTGGTCTCAATAATTTACAGGATAGACTATTTCAAGTCTACCCAGAGGTTGCTGAGGCAATTGTCAGTAAAAGGCCAGTTGTTGCATTAGAATCAACTATTATAACACATGGAATGCCTTATCCTGAAAATTTAAGGTATGTTGATGCTAACAAAACTCCCTTACTGTGGAGAAAAAAAGGGTTCATCAAAGATGGTTGGGATCAACACCAGTATCTGAGCGACTGCATGCCTACCCCTCCCCTAACCCAACAAAGGTCACCTGATAACAAGCTAGAAATAAAGATGGGTTAGGGGAGGGGTACTGAGGTATCCAGTTGCTCAGATACTGACATGTTTTTACACCCTCTGGTGCAAACTGATTTTCAAAACACAATTGGAGGCATTTGGGGTCATTCCACATTTTAGAGCATTCTATCATGTTTCTGCCTTAAAGGATATCCTGTCCCTCTGTGTTTTAGGATATTCTGTCTCTCCATTTCACTGCCATTCTGACATTCTGTAAAATAGGGTCACCTCTCTCTGTAAAATTTTCATCTTACTGTAGAATCTCAATTAAAAGTAATTGTTTAGCTTTAATTTTTTTTTCTACTCAGAGTTGCTAAGGAAGTAGAAAAAATTGTGAAAAATAATGGAGCAATCCCAGCCACCATAGCAATTATGTCTGGTAAAATCCATGTAGGTGGGTGTGATCTTATATTTTATTTGTTTTTTTGTTTGTCTTTTTTTTGTTTCTTTTTTTTAGAGGATTGTTGGAAAAAAATTATGAGATAAGTATTCAAAGTCAGTAGAAGCAGATGATGATTCAATGATTTTATATTTAGTGATTATCAATGTGAACTCTTGTTTGCCAGAAGAAAAACAGGGAAGAGTTAAGATTGCATTTGAGGTTACTGTTCAGTTAATCATTCAATGAATGTTTTACACCCTTTAATTTCAAACAAACCTCTTTTATTATATAGTGACCAGCTGTAGACTCTTTTGTATTTAAAAAAATTGAAAAGAAAAAAAATGTCCATAGGTTTGTCAGAAGCAAACTTAGAAAGGTTAGCTCAGGATACTAATGCTGTAAAGACATCCAGGAGAGATTTGCCCTACGTTATCAGCAAGGTGATGTATATATTTCAATTTTTCATCATTTTATTTTCAACTACAGTTCTTAATAAATTTTCCACGGAGGATCTTTCCTAAGGTCTGGGGGTAATATCTAGTTTGAATCTGAGAATGCATGAATTAGCAAGTCTCTTCTTAGCAGACTAGTAATCATTGTCTGGTGGCAGTCTGTGTTCTGAGTTAGCATTATAATGAAGTTAGAAGATATTACCCTTTACTTATAAGTATAAATGGCTAAATTACAGTAGCATTGTGTTAAGATTACTCTAGTGTTACTTTGCACATTTCTCCTGCTCTTTTAAATTTGCTAATAATGACTAAAATTTACTCTGAAGGGCAAAGAATTTGTTCTCTGAGAGTTTGGAATGATTGTAAAAGCATGTTTCAATGTTAACATTGGGGAAGCCTTAAAATTGCCTCTGAGGATTGACAGCCTGAATGCACATAAAAACTGTAATTTCTTGTCATGCAGGGTCTAACTGGAGGAACCACAGTATCAAGTACTATGATTGCTGCAAATGCCACAGGTATTCCAGTCTTTGTTACAGGAGGAATTGGTGGTGTTCATAGAGGAGCACAATCAAGTAAGTTCAATCACTTAATTGTTAATGACATTTGTTTAACTTAGACAGCCAATTAAAATACAATCTTGATTTTTTCTGCCAATACTGGGATTGATTGCTGAATCTTATGACTGACATTGTAAACTTGGATGTTTTTTTTTTCCCAACGTTACAAATTCTCTTGTGCTCTTTTGAGTGGGTACATTCCAGATTTTAGTCATACAGACATTATAAAACTCCCTGGTCCTCTGAAATACATCGTAATAGTAGATAATACATTGATAAGTAATTTTGATGTTAATTCATCTCCCCTTGAGCAGCATTTGATATCAGTGCAGACCTTACTGAGCTTAGTAAAACCCCAATGGCAGTTGTTTGTGCTGGAGCTAAATCTATTCTGGACATTGAATTGACTCTTGAGTATTTGGTAAGTGCATCAGAATTAAGTTATGTGTAATAATGAGCAGCAGTTAACAATTATTGACCTGGGTGGAGATAAATATATCCAGCAATTTCACCAATACTGGTGTGAATAATATTTCTTTCTCTATATGCCACGCAAGTATCAAGAAATAAGTTTGTTTCTGTCAATGTACTTGAAAATGGTTGCAAATTAAACTCTTGCCCTACATTACTGCTTGGAGGTGAATAGCACATGCCAATCACTTCCAAGCTATCCAATCAGTACACATGAAAAGTACTATTTACCTGTGAAGTATATACCTATTGCAGATGATTAAGATTTGACTGCCATTTAGTTATTTCAGTGCCCCTTCGATTACATGCAGGGTTAGCTCTGAAACTTTAATTAATTATGATAATTCATCTCATTGCTTGGCTAATGTCAGTAATAAGAAAGAAGTGTCATAAAAGCTCTGCAGAGGTTTATTGGAGGAAATTGTTACTCTTAATTCCTTGTTCCATTCAACACACAACAAAATGTGAATTGAAAATGTAAAAATACAATTCTGTTCAAAGTTGGTTATAGACTTTGTATCATGAGGGTCACAGTATATTTCACATAATCTTGTGCAGTTTTTATTTTCTTCCAATCTTTAACGGGGCTAATTTGTAAATTGTATTGAATGATAAATTTTGTAATCGTTAAGGTATGTATAATTTTTCATTAGGTAGATAACTAGGTTGAAGCAGTTTGTGTTGATTTACTTTCTATAGAAAATTTTACTTTATTTCTAATAAATTTGTATTTTGTCATAGGAAACACAAGGTGTTCTTGTGGCTACATATGGAGACTCCTTAGACTTCCCAGCATTCTTTACCCCAAAAAGTGGATTTAAGGTACAAAATACAGTTGTATTTGATCTCAAAACATTTTCAAAATTCTTTCTGTAAATATTTAAATGAATGACAGTCAATATTAAGTGCATGATTTTCAATTAGCATTACATGTAATGCTTAAGACAACCACAGTAATGACATCAGTAGTATTTCCTTTGCAAATTCGGAAAGGGTGTAGTTATAGGAACTTTCTAGGCTTTTGTTAACAGAGTTTGACAAGACGTGAAAGAAAGATTTGCACTGTGAGCATTTAAAGGAAGCTAAATGGAGATCGAGAGTGACTAGTGTTGTACTATTGTGGAATAGTGTTGTCATTTCCAACAAAACTATTCGGATCAATATCAGTATCTAGGCAACTGCCCACCTACCCCTCCCTTAACCCAACATTAACCCTAACTTGTTATCAGTCGACTGTTGTTGAGTTAGGAGAGGGGTAGGTGGGCAGTTGCCCAGATACTGATATTGATCCAACTATTCTAGATAAGATGATTGCTTGGAATACTATTGTTTATTCTGTGTATTTTGCTTGATCCTGTGTTTTGCTAACTGCATTTTTCTTCATGCTGGTTTTTCACAGTCTGTTTGCAATATACAAACCCCAGAAGAGGCAGCTAAGTTAATTGGTGAGTTTTTTTTGGTCTAAGCAAAGCAGCAAGAGTTTTTGTGAGATTCTTTGTTGAGGCTCACATAAGCTCTTACTATGGTGACCGAAACTGTCTATGCTTCTAAGGCTATAGAGGGTCTTTTAAGAGAGCCTCGATTGTATGAGGATTTCTCATTGTTTCTGACTACTCTGCAGATGCGAATTTATCACTAAAATCTAGCAGTGGAATAGTTTTAGCTGTCCCAATCTCCAAAGAGGAAGCCGCATCTGGGGAAATCATCGAGAAAGCTATCCAAAAGGCTTTGCAGGAAGCCAGGTATTTATCATTAGTAATGAACAAGGTAATAATGATCCTTCGTGTTAAATCAATTTTTGATTTTGTTTCATAAGTTATTGTATTTCGCCATATTTTACATAGTTCTGTGTCTGTTCATCATATTGCTCCTACGGCTCCGTACACGCTGCTAGTTCTCGTAAAAAATATCAATAGCCATATGCAATAGCCACATGCAGTATCAGATGTAGCCATCCGGCTTGGCGTTCGGCCTC